TAGTGCACTCGAAACAAGTCATAGGGTGTCACAGTCAATGTGGACAGGGGCTTTGGTTCTGGATCAATGTTCATTGGTGTTTGTTCGTGTTTGTTGGTGTTCATTGGTGTTCGATGGGGTTCGTCCTGCTGTAAGGACCTGTGGATGTCCAAATTAGGTCAATTGAGGTGGTCCAAGGGGGGACAAACACCACTACAAGTGATCCAGCATGCTCCAAGGAGGAGTGGTCAGACAGGAACATTGGTATGTTTTAAGATGTATTTTAGTTGTATTACCAGACATGCAATAGACATAGGAGAGTCAGAGAAAGATAGTTAGTGCACTCTAAACAAGTCACAGGGTGTCCCAGTCAATGTGGACAGGGGCTTCGGTTCTGGATCAATGTTCATTGGTGTGGGTTGCTGTTCTTTGGTGTTCCATGGGGTTTGTCCTGCTGTATGGACCTGTGGATGTCCCAATTAGGTCGATTGAGGTGGTCCAAGGGGGGACAAACACCGCTTCAAGTGATCCAGCATGCTCTGAGGAGGAGTGGTCAGATGGGAACATTGGTATGTTTTAAGATGTATTTTAGTTGTATTACCAGACATGCAATAGACATAGCAGAGTTGGGGAAAGATAGTTAGTGCACTCTACACAAGTTGCAGGGTGTCCAAGTCAATGTGGACAGGGGCTTCAGTTCTGGATCAATGTTCATTGGTGTTTGTTTGTGTTTGTTGCTGTTTGTTGGTGTTCGATGGGGTTCGTGCTGCTGTATGGACCTGTGGATCTCCAAAGTAGGTCGATTGCAGTGGTCCTAGGGGGGACAAACACCACTTCAAGGGGTCCAGTGTGCCATGATGGGGAGTGGTCAGACAGGATCATTGGTATGTTATATCATGTATGTAGGTTGTATTACCAGACATGCAATAGACCCTAGGAGAGTCAGGGAATAATGGTTAGTGCACTCTAAACAAGTCGCAGGGTGTCCAAGTCAATGTGGACAGGGGCTTTGGTGCTTGATCAATGTTCATTGGTGTTTGTTGCTGTTTGTTGGTGTTCATTGGTGTTCAATGGGGTTCATCCTGCTGTATGGACCTGTGGATGTCCAAATTAGGTTGATTGAGGTGGTCCGAGGGGGGATGAACACTGCTTCAAGCAATCCAGCATGCTCTGAGGAGGAGTGGTCAGATGGGAACATTGGTATGTCTTAAGATGTATTTTAGTTGTATTACCAGACATGCAATAGACATAGGTGAGTCAGGCAAAGATGGTTAGTACACTCAAAACAGGTCTCCAGGTGTCCCTGTCAATGTGGACAGGGGCTTTGGTTCTGGATCAATGTTCATTGGTGTTTGTCAGTGTTTGTCAGTGTTTGTCCTGCTGTATGGACCTGTGGATGTCCAAATTAGGTCGACTTTGGTGGTCCTAGGGGGGACAAACACCACTTGCATGGGTCTTGTAGTACCATGTCCTGGTCTGTCCACCATGACAAACACTGATGAACATGGGCAAACATTTGTGAACATCGGTCCAGCATGGATGGCCCTGAGTAAACATACTGGAGCACTTGTTTACTTGTTTGGAATGCATTAATCAGCTTTTCCAGACTCCCCTAGGTCAATTGCATGTCTGGTAATACAAATAAAATACATCAGATAACATATCAATGTTCCTGTCTGACCACTCTCCCTCATGGCATGCTGGACCATTTGAAGTGGTGTTCATCCCTCCTAGATCAATTGCAATTGACCTTGCTAGGACATTTACAGGTCCATACAGCTGGACGAACACCAATGAACACCAACGAACATCACTCCAGAAGTGATGCCCCTGTCCACATTGACTGGGACACCCTGTGACTTGTGTGGAATGCATTAATCACTTTTCCCAGACTCTCCTAGGTCTATTGCATGTCTGGTAATACAACCAAAATACATCTTATAACATTCTGATGTTCCCATCTGACCACTCCCCCTTGGAGCATGCTGGGCTGCTTGATGTGGTGTTCATCCCCCCTAGCTCAATTGCAATTGACCTGTTCTGAACATGTCTAGGTCTGTACAGCAGGGCGAACACCAACACACACTGAAGAACACTGTTCCAGAACCAAAGCCCCTGTCCACATTGACTGGGACACCCTGTGACTTGTTTAGAGTGTGCTAACCATCTTTGCCTGACTCTCCTATGTCAATTGCATGTCTTGTAATACAACCTACATACATGATATAACATACCAATGATCCTGTCTGACCACTCCCCATCATGGCATGCTGGACCCTTGAAGTGGGCCTGTATGGACAAACACCATTCCAAGTGGGCCAGCATGCTCCAAGGCAGGGTGGTCCAGTGGGCATACTGGTATACTATCTGATGTAGATTCTCTATTTCATTGTAATACATGCAGTAATATAGACATACAGGAATCTGGGAATGATGATCAATGTGCTTGAACCAGGTCCCAGGGTCTCCCAGCATTTGGACATGGTCTGGATAGGGGCTTTGGTAAGGGGTTGATGTTCGCTGGTGTTCATCTGTGTTGTCTGTCATTCCCCATATTGTATGGACCTGTACCTATCAACCTGAGAGCAGGGGAAGAGGTTTCCATGGTATGAACACCATTTCAAGTGGTGCAGCATGGTCTCAGCAGGGGTGGTCAGGTGGGCACACTGATAGAATATCTGATGTAATTTATTTGGATTACATGAAAGTCAATCAACCTACCAGAGGCTGCAAATGCCATTCCATCTGCTCCAAAATGAGTGACAGGCTGTCACAGTCAATTTGGACAGGGGCCATGGTGCTGGTGCGATGTTTGCTGGTGTTTGCAGACAATTTCCCATTGGCAGCAGACTGACATGGGCCAAATTGTCAAGGACCATCCAACTGCAGCCTTGGTTGATCATGCAGGACTGGAAGTGGTTGGCCCAACTGTCCAGTCTGGGGCCAGTGGTTGGGAAACTTTTCTTTCTGTTTACCTGTCAGCTTTGGATCCAGTTGGATGCAACTTGGCTGAGAGGTTCAGAGGGAAAACCAGAGCCAACATCTTTGGAAGATGCCATTCAGAGTTGGACTCTGAACCAGACCTTTGTTGATGTAGATTGTGGTTCCCATTCCTGTGGAACTGAATCCCAGTGTTGCCTAGTGGAGTCTGATCAGATACCTGGCCCAAATGTGAACCCCCCTCTTCAGCTTTGCTCCATCAAAACAATTCCAGATCAATCCAGCTGTCCATACCATGTCTGTGCCACTTGAATGACATGGCAGGACCATTTGGATCACACCAGAAAGGACCCTATGTGTCATTCCCCTCCTCTTATCCTGGGGATGCTAATCCTGTAAAGTTTAGCAAGCATGAAAGCTTGTCAGGAATGGTTGTCCTGGAGGGCCTGAAAGTCACAATGGACAATGACAATGGTTGCAGCATTTCTAGGTGTCAGAATATCTATGTAAGATATGTTACCCCGCTCTCCCCATGTTCACTCCATCAAAACAATTTCAGAGATTGATCTAGCTATCTGAATCATGTCTACCCCATGGGTATGACATTACAAGACCATCAGAATTGTGTTACAAAGGTCCCCATATTTGTTTCATCAACATACCTGATCCCCTCCTCATACCCCAGGGATGGTGATCTAGTAACATCAGGAGGGGGTGCCAGCTTGCCAGGGATGGATGTCCTGGGTTTTATCAATGCCACTGAAGACAATGGAAATGATTTCCAGCCTCCCAGAAGTATTTCCAAAGAGATACCACTTTGTGGTCTGACCATCCTTCTACCCCCTATAGATTTTTTTTCTGACCACCAATTTCATTCAAATTTCACCTTGGACATCCCAATGGACATATCTATTGACTCCCAGCATTATTTCCCCCAAATTATGGTCAGGAGTTTGTAATTATAATTCCCCCAGGGGCTGTATCGTAGGTGCATGCTCACTACTACATCCTTTCATAGTCTGCTTTTTCACTAATCAACTCACTACTCATCTTCAATCCAAATAAGCAACTGGTTCCCTATTTGTTTTTGCTATTTGGTAGTCCATCATTGGTAGTCAGTGCTCATTGCTAACTCCACTTTTTTTTGCTAATTACTTGCTAGTCATCTTGGGTCCAGATAGGCAACTGGTCACTTATTTTTTGGATTCTTAGTGGCTGTGCTGCTTCCCTTCACCAACTTTCTGGTCCCTGTGTATTTATTTCCTCATATCATGGTTCCATGCAGTGGCTGTGTAGTGGCTGTGTAGGTTTCATTCAGTGGCTGTGCAGGTTTCATGCAGAGGCAATGGTGGAGTCTGGAAAGTAGAATATTAGCCCCTGATGTGCATGTGAAACCCCTATTGATGCATGCATGTGACAGCCCCTATTGATGCATGCATGTGACAGCCCCTATTGACACATGCATCCCCTATTGATGCATGCATGTGACAGCCCCTATTGATGCATGCATGCGACAGCCCCTATTGATGCATGCATGCGACAGCCCCTATTGACGCATGCATGTGACAGCCCCTATTGATGCATGCATGCAACAGCCCCTATTGACGCATGCATGCAACAGCCCCTATTGACGCATGCATGCAACAGCCCCTATTGACGCATGCATGCGACAGCCCCTATTGACACATGCATGCGACAGCCCCTATTGATGCATGCATGCAACAGCCCCTAATGCGCCAGACTCTGTGCAGGGTCCAGGAAGTAGATTATTATGGACAAATTTGTGAGAAATGTGACATTGTGGCAGCAGTTTGGATGTATATGAGACTTGGGAAATAGTTGTATAAATTGCCATACTCCAGCAATCTATATGGGGTTATACAAAGGAATCTGAATTCCCAACCACTGATGGCAAGAAATCAGGACTCAAATTTGAATGTGGCATAGAACTATATGAGAAGGCATGAATGTACACAATAACAAACAGATACCAAATTTCACATGATTTTCTACAGTAATAGGGGATTTCACAAAAAGACACTGGTAGGTATTGGGATGCTGCAAATTAAATTGTCATACTGGTTAGTAGAAGGAAACCAAGGGACTCACCAAGAATAGTGAAGTACATAAGAGCTGATATTGTCTTATTTCATTCCAGGAATTTCTTTGCTGTGGACAATTCAAATACCACTTCCAGCATTGTGGTAAAGAATATGTCTTACACATCTGGTTTGCCTGTGCTATACCCACAAGCATGGGGCACAAATCATCCACCCTGTCACCATGCTGCTGCAAAGCTTCAGCAATACATGCATTGACAATCTCTTGGACACCTGATTTCTGATATTTTTGGACAATCAGTGTCAGATCCTGCTGCAAATCCTTCCTTGTAGTACCCCTATCCTTGACCTGCAACTGGAAAAATAAGTATTCAAAGACAATTACACAACCTGTAACCATGAGCTTTATATTAAAGCAGCCTCAAAAGAGATAATTCACCAATGCCATGTTCTACAAGTGCCTTCAGGGGATGCAGCTGTGATGTGCACAATTCAGGGATGGAGATGGAAGTGCTTCTGTGTCTGATGAGTTGCTATGACCAACCAATTCAATACATCATAGGCAGCTGGCAAAAAAAAGAATTGAAACATACCACCTGACAAGATATCAACAGTAAAATGGAACTAATGTTATAAGTAAAAAAAAGAGTGACCAACCAACTGTAAAAGATATGGGCAATGGATGAGTGCAGGATGCAGAATGGAAAACATACATTCTGGGGATAAGTTAGTCTTTGTGAGGAATTCAGAGGAACTGTGACAACTAACATTCTGAGAGAAATACAGGAGGAGAAATGAGAAGAAGGCAGACTACAAGGAAAGAGGTGCACCCACATCCTACAAAATGCCTCAGCAATATTGCAGAGATACATGCAGTGAGCAAGCTCACCATCTATTTGATGAGAAGGCCTTGTAAAAGGCATGCTAAATAGGCAATGTCAACAGCACTCACTCCCTAAGACCCAGAGATGAAGAGTGAATCAGTAAGGACTGTGAGTATGCATTCTCCTCCAACAGATGCTTCCACAAGATCACTCACATTCTATGAATGCAAATACAATGGGGTAGGAGAGAAAATCAAATTCAGTAACCATCCATGGCTATTTTTCATGCAGCCACTCACAAACTATGCATGCAAATCAAGAAAGGCAGCAGTGAATATAGTCACCATGCATCCACCAACATCTGCCATGACTCCACTCACAAGCTATGAACCCCATTCCAAAAGGGTGGGAGTGAACACATCAGCATGCATCCACCACCATCTGCCATGACTCCACTCACTCCCTATGAACCCCAGTCCAACAGGTTGGGAGTGAACATGTCAGCATGCATCCACCACCATCTGCCATGACTCCACTCACTCCCTATGAACCCCAGTCCAACAGGGTGGGAGTGAACATGTCAGCATGCATCCACCACCATCTGCCATGACTCCACTCACTTGCTATGAACCCCAGTCCAACAGGGTGGGAGTGAACATGTCAGCATGCATCCACCACCATCTGCCATGACTCCACTCACATACTATGAACCCCAGTCCAACAGGGTGGGAGTGAACATGTCAGCATGCATCCACCACCATCTGCCATGACTCCACTCACTCCCTATGAACCCCAGTCCAACAGGGTGGGAGTGAACATGTCAGCATGCATCCACCACCATCTGCCATGACTCCACTCACCTCCTATGAACCCCAGTCCATCAGGGTGGGAGTGAACATGTCAGCATGCACCCACTACCATCTTCAATGAGTCAACTTACATTCTGTCAATCACAGTCCAACACAGCAGCCACAATCACCTTCAGTGCCAGTTATACTTGCAGTTGCAGCATTTCACACACCCACTACAACCTAATTAGCCACCCAATCCTCCAACACTCTGGTTGCTTACAAATGGGAACCATGTTGAAAGGTCATTTGCTAACTTGTCCAGTTCAACCTGTTCAACCACCTGGTTCATGACCCTCTTCAATGTCCTTTCTGTAGTCAGTACCCTGTAGAACTTGGTTTTTACTACTCACTTCATTATGGCAAATTCAATGCAGAGTCCCAAGTTTGACTGCTGTGATGACATAAGTAGTCCTTGCAGCCCTTCCTCTGTCAAAGCATTTGCTGTGCACTTCAATAGCTCTTCACAATCTGCACTCTCCTGTTCCATGCCTGGAGAGACACATGCTAATCCACAGTTTTTTCATTCATGACTTACTTACCAGTGACCATCAGGTAGCTTTGAGGTGGAAACTTCATTTCATTCAGCCACCCTTTGATCTTTTCCAGACAGCCCTTTTGCAGCTGTTTTTCTACCTCTGGTGCCTCTTTCATTGCATCATCTTCAGTAAAACCCCTTTCCATAAGCTCATCAATTGCATCAAGGTTTAAGGTATCTGCCTTTGTTAGTAACACAATCACAGGAACTGTGTAAATCCTAAATCCTTGCACCAAATCCAACATGTTATTTGTGAACACATACCGTGCCCTGAATCACACTCATTAAAGAACTTCTTTTCAGCTGCTGTTACCATCCTACAGCTTTCATTCAAAGGAATGCAATACCTAAATCAATTCAAGGACCAGGTCAGTGCACTTCCGGGCATGCTAGTCAGAGATGTCCCTACCAAATTGCATGTATTCTCCTCTCCAGTTTGGTGGCCTTGGCATGATATGTGACGAATTTCTTCATTCTATCAAACTCCGCCTCGCTCCCCGCCTCGAATCCACATGAGTCATGGAACACAAAGTGCATGTTACTTTTAAACACTAGCTCATCCTCAATGTTATGGTAACCACGCTGCACAAGTTTGATGTGAGCCCTGCATAATTTCATGTGGTGGCCTTACCTTCAGTGAACCCTGCACCACCCCAGTATCAACCTGGCAGAATGATATGTTAACAAACATGAAGTACATAGCACATACACATACCTTCTTTCCCTCTCCGTCGAAGATCTCAGGTTGGTCCATAGTGTTACAGACCCGCTGTAAAATAGTTGTTTTACCCGCATTTGCTCTGCCCATGACAAGAATGCGAAAACGAGGGATGCGATCAATCTGCTCTTTGGCCTCAGTAGGATCTAAGCGATAGTTTGAAGCCCGTGTAGGGGCGACTGCATGCGAAGCAACATGAAAGAGTGCCTACAATCAGAATTACAACTAGTCACACACCAGCATTGCCACTCGGGGTTTGAGAAGGGATGTGATCAATCTGCTTTTTGGCCTCTGCAGGATCTAAGCAATCGCCTGAAGCCTGTGTGGGGACGACTGCATGCAGGGAAACTGAAGGAGCAGCTTCAGTGGGGAGTAATATACTAGCATCGTGACTCGTAGGTTGAGAACGCCGCAGCGAATGCCACCAGGAACGAAGAGATCTCGGCGCCATGGCGATGTGAAGATGAGAAACAAATCTTAAGATGCCTCGAATAGTAAGCGTGCTGTAGTACGACCGTTGGGGACGGTGGTGGTGAAATACGAAGGGCAAGGGACTGCGGATTCGAGTAGCGTTGAATCAACGTGCCTCTCTGTTGTGCACAGCCTGAGACGTGTGTAAACTACGACCACCAAATTCTTGCTGGGCCGTCCCATTTCTTCCCGTCGTCTGACTGAGTCCTGGTGAGGCATCGGCAAGGGAAAGACTCGCCTATCGGTCCTTCCTTGTTATCTTCGATTGCTCATAACAATCCCAGTGAAAGCTCGTCCCATACTCTCTGCGGTACGAAGCCAGCTCGATAGGTACACTAGTTATGTTCCTGGTGGAACGTACTACCGATCTTCTCAGTGGCCTTGTGTCTCCGTGCTCGCCTCGTCCTTCACACCAGACACTGTAGCACAATGGGGCTTCCCCACAGCTCCTCCCTCGAGGATCTGGTTTCCGAAAACACTCTTCCACAATACTCGGTCATGCAGTTGGTAAACCCTCAAGCAATATGTCGCTTTGTTAACCCACCTAGTATTAGCACGAGGGGTACAAACGACAAGTGGCCTGTCCAAGGCGCCCGCACAATCATGGGGCCAGGGTCTGAACCACGAACCGACGTGCTATGACTGCATCCGCTGGTGATGTCGACAACGACCATCATTGAGCATGCCAACTCTATTGTCACCCCTCCGCAGTACAGGACCCAAACTCCGTCTCTAAAATGCATCACCAGTGAGTGCTGTGTTCTGACCACCCCCTTAATCCCCCGTAACTCCACCCAGAAGAGATCTTATTCTTTACGTTGTGGGTGACTGCAACCGATAGCCATGGGAGCTGATATAAAATTTGGAGGACAATCTAATGGTACACCTATCAATCTCCATGCCATAGTCATTCAGACGCCACTACGTAGTTTTCCAGCTAGACATCAATAGAATAACCTTTTAGAACATGTGCCTTGGTGCTCCTTCCATTGGCAAATGGTTCTGTTGTTCTCTGAGAGGCGAAGACAATTCTATGGCCATAGATACATATCACATTACGCCTTCCCCACATATCGCTGCTTCTCATGCTCCCTCCAGAATGACTTCATGAGAGTGTTGCCGCCGGAATCCAGTGCAGAGACCATCAGAGCATCTCGATTGTACTCGCCACACATTTCACATAACGAGAATAGCTCAGGCTCGAGTTCTCGTCGTATATCTGGCGTCAGGATACACAACAGGTCGTTCGTAGAGTCGATGTATGCCAAGAGGACGTGCCCTACATGTTTTGTGAAAGGCTTTGCCAGAGTTTCAGCTTTTGTGTTTCGGCAGCAATCGCGCTGTGTCGTGTTGTGTACACACGAGGGACAGTTTTGACAGTGGTGCAATGAGAAGTCGACGGCTTTCAGCAACGCCGAGCGGCTAAGATGGTGAAATCCAATACCGAAGTGTTCCTGCGACAAGTTTACTCTGCTTAGCTCCTGGCTGGGAACGCATGTGCCTGGTGGTCAGCAGCAGTCGACGCAAGACGAAGACTAAATCCGGGAGCATATGTATAACTATGTCACGTTTCAGATGAACCAGAGAGCCTGCTATGGAAGTGACGCACTGAAAAATCGCAAACGAGGTGGCGGTGTCGTGGTGGATGGAAGTTCCCGATAGGATTTTACAGAGCAAAGACCAGATGCTCCCAAGGTCGACTGAATGCACAGCAGGCTGCCAATGGATATAAGAATGTCATCGACTAAAGTGTTTAAAGTGATGACACTCTGTCAGAACAATGCTTTGCGATCAGTTCCAGATAATGTTCTTTCAATTCTAATGAACCTCCGCATAGGTGAAGTCGATCGGTGAAGGCATCGAGGCAGCGTGTTACGAATGCTTAGACCACCTTGAGAATTCCTGTGGTGACGCGTTACCGAACCCTGCTACTTATAATCAGAATAGCAAATTGATACAGACCTTGAGGTGCAAGATCATTGAGAGGTGTATCAAGCTTTTGCATTGACCCACAGGAAGCCCAGGTCCTCAATTCCTTCTCCAATCACATTGAAGAGGCATACAAAACTATCTACAGACAATTCCCCTGTGGCTCCCGCCACTTGCACATCGAGGGCGTCACGTACTACCGCAATGGTGTGAGATATTTTAAGCTGAAACAGACATCGAACAACAGATTGCCTTCCATCTCAGTGCCATTCATTGAATACGGTGCTGGGATTGTTTCGAGGTATGCCGAGTCCGAAATATTGGGAAAACACCGAAGCTCCTCGAAAAGCAGAGTAAGGACGTGAGGACACATCCTTACACAATCTGTACCTGCCGGCAGCGAGCGAACGCGCAGTGGGCTTCGCATAACCCTAGTCGCTAGTTTTATGCCCATTGGCGCAAGGCTACCAGTTACTGCAAAGGTTGTGCAGGTATACATGTAGCTAAGCAATGAGTTCAGATACTGTCAATCCCCAGCCACTGCGAAAACGATAACATGTAAGAGAGAGCTTCAACGCGCTTACTCGATGCAAGTGCGCCATTGGTTCCAGATTGTTCCCCATCTGAAACGAGGATAGGTGTAAAGGGTTCGTACACTGTTTTCAGTGCAGATACAACCACTGTCGCAAGGTTACATCCATACGTCAGAAGCCACGCCAGACAAGCTTTTTGGAAAGAATTTCACCCTCCTGGAGTATAGTATTCTCTTAGACATTCTATGAGTCGGAACACAACAGATTGGGTAAGCACATGTTACCATAACCCCTGCGACGACAAATCGGAAAATGGCTGAACAGTAATAAGACTGCTCAGTATGCTGGTCACTGCTATTGCTGCCTCAGGATTCTGAACGCGCAGGGCAGTACTAGGATGACTAGTAATCGTACCAGGTCAGAAGTGCGTGTAAAATAACTTACAATAGGTGAACCAAAACAAGATTTAACATCTCTTTTGTAAGTGCATCTGACAACATGGCCAATTTTGATGGTGACTGGAATAAATGTTCGACATATGCACGAGATGTCTAATAAAGTTCAATCACTGGGAAATGGAAAGCAAATTCGACAAAATATCTGTGAACTCACACTGTAATCCAGCATGTTCGTCAACTGGCCCATACGATACAGGAAGGCACGGAATACTGTGAGATGGAGGAAACAGAGTTCTCTAAGCATTCGCACTCCGGAACTGTCTTCGTCCATGTCCATCTCATACCTAGCATCGGATTTTTGGGGTGAATCAACCATATGCTTTCCCTTCCCCAAGTGCTTCCTGTCACTCCGACCTGCTGTTCCACCGCCACTTGCGACCTGAAGTACCGAGCATATAGTGACGTCACCACCACCGCTCTCTTTACAAGTTCCGTGCGGGAAGCCCGGGTGACGTACTTGGGAGGTACATACATTAGAAGAGTGTAAACTTCACTTGTACATACAAGCTCAAGTTTGTCAGGTCCGTTAGTCCCAGTAGACCTAGGAAGGAAGCAGGATGAGGACAGAAGGGCAGCCTACTTTAATGCAAATGACAGGAAGGCACCTGCAGAACCGAAGGATGAATGCAAGAAATTCTTTGATGGAATGGACAACCAGCTCGAGACGCACCTGGCCTAACGGGCAACTTCAAAAACTGTGCACTCCTCAGAAAAAGAAGAATGTCGTGGTGTGAACCCAGTTGTTCGTCAAGTTCGCTGGTAGTTCCAAATAAAAGTTCTAGTTGAACGGTCAAGAAGGCAGATGAACCTCTGGGGCAGGACACCTAGAGAGTATGTACTGAACGGATGATGTCGTTCCTGAGGGGTGCGATGTAGTCGAAATCCATCCGGTATCCACGGACGACCTGACTGTGGCCAGTGCAGTGATATAAGACGTGCACAGGACATCATCCCCTCGCACCCGTCAAATGGACGACGCAGCCCAGTTCAATGCTTGCGTACGTACATACGCATCTTCCTCGGGTCATGCTGACTGTGGGCAGGTTTACAATCTTATCCAGCTGATCCCCCCGCAAAAGGTTACATCGTGCGGGCATATCGCTAAACTGGCCGGTGTGCCTCGTTAAGTCAGACATGTCAACCAACATATGTCCCCCCCTGCATCCGTCTCCTCGACTGGTCTGATTATCCTCAGTGGTCAAACTACTCGGTCAACATCCTCAAGTACACCCTGGCACCAGGTCATATCCACCTCTGGCATCGTAGCCGACCACAGCGGACTGGGTGCACTCCAGAAACGTGCTCTTGAAGGCGAGAGGGTGTCTATCTGCTCTGACATACTTGGAGAGTCCTCATCGAGTTCACTAGATAGGGGTGGCTCCCTGATCATGCTGTCATTCCGTCTGAGGTCGAGTCCGTTGATGAGTGGGGAGCGTGAGGCTTATCACAACAGTGTACTTGTGTAGTCATTTTCACAACTTGACTACCACATATAATAATGTCAGACTCGCTGTACGCAGCGTGTGCAGAGGTCCTCGGAACATGCCAGGGCCTTAAAGATGACCTCGCAGCTCTGCTGGACCCCTCAACTGGCTTTGCTCCAAGATTGCGGCATTTGTGTCGCGACAAGTGTGTTGTGTGTCTCATCCGTGTCCAACCTCGCTCACTCTGGTCATGCTATTAGAATCGACGAGCTCGAGCGCACAGCGTCGACTGATGTCTCACAAACTGAGTTGGACGCTCTGTGCATGGAAGCCAATACATGGGGGCTCTTGCAGGCCTTGATGCCATAGGTGTGCGCCGTCGATCACGAGGACCCCGTCGCTGACCTGGGTACAGCGCATGCAAAATGGATCCCGCATCGTGCGTCCACCCCCAAACCCTCCTTGCAAAAAACCCATTCACGCTCACATCCACCCTCGCACAGGCAATCATACACGCTTCGCCCCTCCTCTCTGAGCTCGTCGTTGTCCGAGAGTGGCTACATGAAACAGCATCCACAGTTCGGCATCCCGAAGTCACGACTGGATACTGGAAGTTTACAAAGTATAACGTGATGCAGGGATTGAGGACAGGCGCGGGTGCGAGGGAGGGTCTGGTGAGAGAGATAGATCCAGATGTGGTCAGTCGAGGAGATGGGAAAACACTCGCTGCTGATGACACGGTATGCAATTCTGTGTCTGCTTGTACTGGATCACGAATCATGGACTTGCCATAGGCATTCGAAAAAACACTCACGCAAGCTATCTATTCATTCATTCGAGCTGGACGGCTAGTCAACACGGTTGAGCTGTGTCGCAGAGCACATCAGCCATGGAGAGCTGCTAGTATTCGAGGATCGTTGTTGTTCCAATGGCAAGCAATGGGTATGTCTGCACACTCTCGATTTGATTTTTGTGTGGAATTCATGCGGTGCGAAGGGAATGAACAGTGTGATGATGGGTTAGATGACGAGGACAATGCAGAGGGATGGCAGGGAAATCAACGCCGACGCCTCTGGAAATCGACCTGCATACGTGCTGCTTTGAATGTGAGTTCATTACCTTACGCTTTCATGTTCTGTTAACACGCTCCTTACAGCTTAACCTTTCTGATCCGGAGCGAGTCGTGTATGCAGCACTCACCCCCATGCCGCAGACATTCACTGTCCTCAGGTCGGCATGTCGCACTTGGGAGGATCATCTTTGGGTTCAAATCAGTGTTCTCTGTGAAGAGAAGCAAAGCTCAGAAATGTTAAAGCTCAGAGGGTGCTTTTGGGAGGGCGCTTTAGCAGCACTTGAGGAGATGCCAGTGCCTTTGAATGGTGCGGACGAGGAGGAGGAGGAGGAGGAGGAGGAGGAGGAAGAGTGGAAGAAGGAAGTTACTTCTGCGCTGGAAACGCTGGGTGGAGTGGTGGTCGAGGACGGGTAAGATTCGTATACCCTCTTCATTGCTCTCATTGACTTTTTAACAGACCTCCAGCGGACAACGCCTCTCATGTATCTCAACTTGCCATCATCCTTAACCGCATACAACCGTTGCTCAACACCATTGCAGCTGGTTTGAGAAATGGCACATACGACCCAGACTCATCCGAGTGCGTCCCGCTACTGCATTTTTGGTGATTGCTCTGACAGTACATCAGGTACCCAACTATGCATGTATACTCAATTTACTTATATGGGTTGGTTACACATCACATGAGGTGGTTGCACTTGCTGACTAATGGTTGCACTCTCTCCAATAGCATGAGATACATGTATCATACAAGCAACAGAGGTTGCACTCTCTCCTGTAGCACAAGATGTATGTATCATAGGAGCAACAGAGGTTGCACTTGCTGACTAAGGGTTGCACTCTCCCCATTTGGTGGTTGTGCTCACTGACTAAAGGTTGTGCTCTCTCCTGTAGTGCAAGATACATGTATCTTAAGAGCAATGGAGGTTGTGCTTGCTGACTAAGGGTTGCACTCTCCCCATTGGGTGGTTGCACTTGCTGACTAAAGGTTGCACTCCAGGTAGGATGGGGCATCCTTCTTGGATCAGAAGGATAGGACCACCTGACCTCCCCCTGTTTATATTTTGTTAGATCATGTTCATCATTGTTTGTCATGTCTTGACCACCTTTACCAATGTCAGTAAGACCATCCACAGTGGTAGAAATCTGACAAACACTGACTCTGACAGTATATGATAAGTTTGCACTTGACCACCTGACCTCCCCAGTCTATATTTTGCTAGGCAATGTTCACCATTGTCTGCCATGTCTTAACCACATTTACCAGTGTCAGAAAGACTATCCACAATGTAGCAACCTGAAAAATGCTTTCTCTGATGGTATATGATAAATTTGAGTATGACCACCTGACCCCCCCCTTTCTATATTTTGCTAGACCATGTTCTGTGTTGTTCAGCATGTCCTGCTTGCCTTTACCAATGTAGTTAAGGTCATCTAAATCACTTGGATCCAGTTTACTGCTTTTGTCCATGATGAGTCAAAGATACAAGGAACTCAATGACAGCTGGCTCACTTTTTGTCTCCTATGTCACTCTTGCTGTAGTACCACTGCATTTCAACCCATGCCTTCTGTACTGCATGTCAGAAGGGTGGACACCCATGTGGCACTGGAAATCTCTTACATTACTTTTCTTCAAGCATTGGACTCTGATGTCCTTGATCACAGCATACCACAGGCTGCCATCGTCACCATGTACAAATATGCTAATTAAAGCTTCTGTCAGTGAACAACATACCCATCCAGGCTTTTCTTACTTATCACCTCTTTGGAAGGTGTGGGTCATGTGTTCTAGAACTTCCTCCCTTCCATTCAGGATGTCTTCACCTGCACTGGTGAGGTTTGTCACTGGCTGGATGAGCTTAAATGACTGCTGGTGTCTAATTGAGACCTACCACTTAGCTTGGAGGATGATGGAAGGGAAATACAGGTCTTGTTAGATGGAGGGGCCATGTCAGGTTGGGAGGCAAAGTAAAAAGTTGGAGGGTAACCCATGATGTCACTTGCAATTCTCAGTTAGCCAGGGCAGACCCTGAAAATTTTTCATCAGGTTGGGCATGGCATTACATGTTTTGGATTGGCAAAGGCAAAGAACCAACATTCCACCACCATGGTACCCCAGACACATTCCCAGAGAGCCCTCAGAGCTGCTTCCAATGCATCCTCCACTGATGAAAGTGAAATCAGACATGCATTTGACAATGTCATGAAGGCCATTTCTCCTCCATCTCATCATTCAGACTCAGCATGCTCTTCTCCTCTGTCCCCATCCTACAGTGTAATAATTGGTGGTCTCCTTTCCAGAGCAATGACTCCTACAGAAGATCCAGATTCCTCTGTTGATGAGGATGAACTGAACCAGATATATGTGAAGTGCCAGGCCATGGTAAACCACTTGAGTGGGTCAGAAGAGGAGCATCAAAGCAATGCCTCTGATGATTCCTTTGTGAATGTGCATGGCCCATCAGTTGCACCATCACATCCACCCCATCAGGACTTGAGTCAGGAGTCAGGGGCACCTTCTGTACATGATATCATCAGTGAGTCTCTTCTGTGCTCTTTCTCTCTGTCTGCTTATGATTGCTTCTGAAAGTGTGTTCCATGGCCAGGCCTACCACATGGGGGATGGCCTACCAGACCCTAGGGACACTCTGGTATGAAACTTGGATTGATTCCAGCATCCTCAACTTTCATCTCCTGTCCCAATGGTATGCTGTCCAGGGCAGGATGCATGTTCACTATGCCAACTTGTTCTCTGTCAGTCCATCTGTCAGTGGGGGAACCCATGCCTTACCAGATGCACAGGAGATTCAATTTTTTCATCAATACCATCTCTGTGATTCCTATCCTGCTGATCTATCTGTTCCCATTGCCTTTGTGGTGATGCAAAACAGTCACTTCTTTGTTGCAGTCTTTGATTATTGGTTGAACCTTGCATTCATCCTTGGAAGGCACATCAAATGTGTCCCTGAAACCCCCCATCCCTACTATGACCCATTGCACAATGACTGGAACACATGGAATGGCCCTTTCTACTGGACACACATAGCATCTCTTCATGGATTTGATGCCATCGACCCAACCCAAGTTGATGTGCAGGTGTACAATTGGTCACAGAATGGTTTTGACTGTGGGCCCATTGCATCCTTTGTCATGGAGTCACTCATGAGAGGAGGGCTATCTGGTGATGGCAGGCCTACCATCCACATCCTTCCAATTCCTTGTGGTCATCATCTCTGCCTAAGAATGCTTGTCATGGTGAAGGAGGGCTGTCAAAGGTGCTGGGAGGCCTATCATTACTTGTCTACAACCACCCTTCCACCTGGCCACATATGGACACAGTGGGATGACACCAAAGCCATCAGTGAAGACATCCTCATGGATGTGGAAAACCAATCATCTGGAGAGCAACATGCTACCATCATCTGTGAGTTGAATGTCATTGGGGCCAACTGCCTTTGCTGCCAATGGGGGGATGACTTCAGTGATGTAGTGAACCCCAATGTGCACTCTGATGGTGACTTTCTGACTGACACTGAAGATGAAGGTGAAGACCATTGTTTGCCTCTGGATGCCAAGTCTCAGCATCTCAGGGATCTCCTTTGGTGCTACCCTTATGTGAGCAGGGCCAGAGCCAGGGATTGACTTCCTCCTTGGGCTGCCCATGGTCATCAAGTCAAAGGGGAATCCACTCCAGATGATCCCCTTGAGATCATCCAGCAATGCAAGCATCTCAAGGACTGGTCGGCTGGAACAATGTACCATTTTCCATGCCCAGCTCCACCAGTATACCTCCCTGCATACCAGGGTCAACAATGGAAGTGTTTTGATCACAGGTTTGATGAGTATGAAGGAGGGCCTGTCTTGGAAAGCTTGCACCAGGACCACAACTGCAATGAGATCATGGAGGAGCCCTACTATCAGCCTGGGATGTGGACATCCTTTCAAGATTATGGCTATTGTCTGCTGAGTTCCTTCAACCAGATGTTCTACTTGGGTCCCCCCATCAGATTGTCAGACCATATCCTCCAAGTGGGTGTTCCAGCTAACTACAAGTCTTCTCATCAAATTGGCAACCATGTTACTGGTGAGTGCTCATATTCTGCCCTGGTGCCCTCTTCTGATTGCTTTGTTACAGGAAATTACTCCCTCACCTGGCAGGTGCCCCATCCATCAAGAGTCAATGTAGATGATGTGGTCATACTGGGTGCCTCTCAGATGATTTAGATTGGCTCCAGCACCTCAGAATGTCTCATGAACACCTTTGTGAATGGGTGGCATGAGGATGGACATCACATCTGCCTGGACCTGGAGCTGGATCACAAGTTGGTGACTCCAGAGGAGTTGGAAGTCACAGTGGACATCAACAGTCTCATATGGGTGATGCATTCCCTACAGTTCAACACACCACTGCCCATCTACCTTGGTCCCATCATCAAGGAAAAGGCTCCTATGCACAACCACAATCATGTGTATGTTGACATCCTTGTGCCTCAGTCAGAGGCAGATTCCAGTGCCATTGGAAGCTGTACCAAATGGTTGACCATGGCATTTCCTCTGTGTGGAGTACCTCACACAGTGTTTGGTGCCTTGAGCAATGCTGCTGGCACCATGAATGTCTACATTTGCTTCCCCAGGATGATCCACAGGGATGAGATGACACACAAGCATGCCAATTGCATCCCAAAGGAGGTCCTCGACTTTTCTGGGAGCATGTCCTACTTCCAGTGATCTGTGCACATGCAGATGTTTTGAGTGCACCATATGTCTCTCTCACTCTGAAGGAAGTGCAGTTCAAGGCACAAAATGGTGGCAAAACCAAGAAGGCTGGTTGGCCAAAAGCAGTCCCCTTTTCTATGCAGGTGTTGAAGCAGATCCAGAAGACCATGGAGGCAATCATCCAAGAGGATCCTTCATGATTTGCAAACTATGGTTCCTTCTTCTTTGTCCTGGAATGCAAGGGAATCAAGTTGTGGACAAAAACCACCCTGTCAGGAGTGGTTCAAATGCTGGTCCAAGCTCTCCTCCATGGACTTCCAGCTCTGGATTGGTCCCACATGGTAGACAGGGCCAATGGGGAGCTTTTGGTCAACTTTGGAGTCAGCATTCACCCCGCATGTGATGAAAAGCTCATGGGATTGTGGAGACTGGATGCCCTGGAAGCTTCCTTTGGGGCAGGTGGATATTTGTGAGGAAATGCCCACCACACTTGCATGCTTGGACAGTATGGGGGGATCCAAGCAGAGATGTCACAGGAGTGAGCAAGGCAAACTCATATCCCATTCAGAAGTGCTTATAATCTGGCCTATGAGGTGATCCAACCCAATGACAACAGTCCCACCTTTGTCATGGACAAGGATGCTTATGCCCTGAACAATGACTTCATCAGGGAATGCATGCAGGCCATCAACATGTATTCTGGAGATGCAATGAAGAGGTCATATGGGGTGTGAGATGAGTACAGGATGAGTGGGGCTGCTGTGGAGCAGGCAATAATGGTGGTGCCACAAAGGGTGATGCATTTCCAAGCTTGATAATGCTCATATCTGATGCTTCCATCTTTGCAGATGGAAGAGCTTTTAGCCTCCAATCCTATTCTCTGGATCCCAACCAAAGTCTGGTTGGAATTTATGGCTGGACACATCAGGGCCCTCCAGTTGGCTCAGATCTCTCTCAAGGAACTGGAACCACCCAACCTTGGGATTCTGACTGGCATCATCTGCCACATGATTTGGTGCACATCCACCACTGCAATAATCCTTGATTTCCATGTGAGAGAGTCCATGGCCCTTCTGCAGGTCTCCAGGGTGTGTGAGCGGTTGGGAATGTTCTTCCTTTTGGACCTGGACTTGCATCATGTTCCCCATCTTCCAGAAGTTCAGGATCATGATGACCTGGAGGTGCTCAAGCTGATGGAGGGAAAGTTGAAGAGGGGTGATGGACAACCTGCCTGGCCAAGGATTCCCCCTCTGGATGAAGTGGAACAATTTCCCATTGGCAGCAGACCAACATGGGCTAAATTGACAGGGACCATCCAACTGCAGCCTTGGTTGATCATGCAGGACTGGAAGTGGTTGGCCCAACTGTCCAGTCTGGGGCCAGTGGTAGGGAAACATTTCACTCTGTTTACTTGTCAGCTTTGGATCCAGTTGGATGCAGCTTGGCTGACAGGTCCAGAGGGAAAACCAGAGCCAACATCTTTGGAAGATGCCATTCAGTGTTGGATTCTGAACCAGACCTTCAGGACAATTCATGCCTGTGAATTTAAGGCCTGCAATGCATAAATAGCAGGGAGTGGTGGGGCTGGTCACTGACAGTCAAGCTTTGCAGAGAGGGTCAACCTGTTTTTCCCAGGACCCACAGCAGGACAACCTTCACAGAGGTCACCATGGAATGTCTTCTGGACAAAGCCTGGCTATATTTGGGAGTATTACCAGGTGATGAAGAACAGGACACCCCTGGAGGAGTTTGAGGTCCTGGACCACCTTGGCAGGATATTTTCTGTCCTTCAGACATTACCTGATGTGACCAAAGGGAGTGAAAAGAGTCCTGGGAAGACATGGTGGGTGGAGGGTGAGAAGGTGGTTCTGGTGACAAATCCCAAGTTCTACAAGATCAAGGGGATCTCCACTGAGAAGGAACAGCAACAGGCCAGGAGACAAGCATCTTGAGTGGTAAAGCCCAGGAATGCACTACAGATGGAGCTCCTGGAGCATGCAGGATATGACAAACTGCTGGCTAGCAAGGCCCTCATCTTAGAAAGGCAGAGGCTGAAAGATGCACAGACTAAGAAGTCATCAAAGGCAAAGAATGCTTGAAAGCCTCCAGCAAGAAGAGGGAAGGCCTTGCATAGGGTGGAGGGTAAGGGGACCACCTCATAGAGGGAAGCAGAGGGATGGGGGGGGGATGCAAGGACATGGGTACAGAGGGAGAAAGTGATGAATGCAATGTTGATATAGATTGTGGTTCCCATTCCTGTGAACTGACACCCAGTGTTGCCTAGTGTAGTCTGATCAGGTAGCAACATGTTTGGCATCTTGGGATGATACCTGGCCCCAACATGAACCCCCCTCTTCAGCTTCACTCCATCAAAACAATTTGCCACTTGAATGACATGGCAGGACCATTTGGATCACACCAGAAAGGACCCTATGTGTCATTCCCCTCCTCTTATCCTGGGGGTGCTAATCCTGCAAAGTTTAGGAAGCATGAAAGCTTGTCAGGAATGGTTGTCCTGGAGGGCCTGAAAGTCACAACAGATGATGACAATGGTTGCAGCATTCCTAGGTGTCAAAATATCCATGTAAGATATGTTACCCCCCCTCCCCATGTTCACTTCATCAAAACAATTTCAGAAATCAATCTGGCTGTCTGAATCATGTCTACCCCATCTGTATGACATTACAAGACCATCAGAATTGCATTACAAAGGTCCCCATATTTGTTTCATTGACATACCCAATCCCCTCCTCATACCCCAGGGATGGCAATCCAGTAACATCAGGAGGGGGTGCCAGCTTGCAAGGGATGGATGTCCTGGATGTTATCAATGCCACTGAAGACAATGGAAATGATTTCCAGCCTCCCAGAAGTATTTCCAAAGAGATACCACTTCATGGTCTGACCATCCTTCTACCCCCCATAGATTTTTTTTCTGACTGCCAATTTCATTCAAATTTCACCCAGGACATCCCAATGGACATATCTATCGACTCCCAGCATTATTTCCCCCAAATTATGGTTGGGAGTTTGTAATTATAATTCCCCCAGGGGCTGTATAATGGCCTGACATGATGACAGTGAATAGGTAATGGGGTGAATGATAAATTATTCACTTACTGTTTGAGTTGCAAGGATTATCCTTTGGCATAACAGTTACTTGCTGACTGTGAACAATTCCATCCACCACACCCTGCAAGAATCCAAATGACTGGTGTATGGAAAGAGATCAAAAGAGGCTGGCACTAGGAAACATTGGATCTCACTCTCCCACTGCTGCTTCAGGTTGACAGGGCATACAATCACATGTGACAAGTCTGGGACATTACCATCTGGAGTGTTGAATTTTTGACCAGCTAGAACACAATGAGGGGATTGCAGAAATATAACAATGTGATGGACTGACCAAAATCTCCTGGAAATGCCTTCTTCTTCATGTAGACATACCAATAGTAAGTGAGACACACAATCACACCAAGCACCTGAAGGGTCTTCCCCAGTCCCACTCCATCCATCAGTAAGATGGGCTTGCCCTTGAACACACTCTCCAGCATACAGTAGATTCCAATGAGTTGGTGCCATCACAGTTGGAGTGATTCCCTCTTCTCCATCATATTTTGAAGTCAGGCCTGGCCTTCATCTGACCAAGGATCAATCATTCCATCCAGGTCAGTCCATTGTTGGAAGAAAGGAAGTCACTGATCAGGGATTCTGAGTTTCTGCCACAATTGCTCATCAGAAAATTTGGACAATGCCTTGACCCCTTCCTTCCAATCTGGCTCAATTGGGGCATCTAGATCGAGTTCCATGGGCTCAACAGATTCAGCACTATCAAGATCTTCAATTGAGACCAGCAGTGCTTGGGTGATGGCCTGGATGTCATGTTTGTTTGTGAGACTGAGTAAGATATCTCTTAGATTTTTGGCAAGTTCTATAGATATTTTGCAATCAGTGGCAACTCATAATTCTGACACAACTTACTGTCTGAATCCTTGCTGCCTAGTTCCTTGCAAATGACTCTCAACATTTTGACTATGTCTGCCATATATTGTTCCACCCAAGTGCGCCATTCCTGGTCATCATATTGGACATAGAGTTTCAATAATTTGCACAAATCCTTAATGAACAATCTGATAGCACTGGTGGTGTGGGTAGTCCCCTCAACACTGAATGCTGTTAAAGATCACATTGAACTCCATTATATTCACATCCCAATTGTCATGCACCTTTCCAGTTTTCCATTACCACATTGTAGAGTGTATCCATCAAATGTACATTGCATGTGACCCCCTTACAATACCGATTCCAACTCAAGGTGAGAATTGTTCAGCAGAATTTGATGATGGCCTCCTTCAGAAAGCTTTCCCTGCCTACATATGCATCATCCCCAAACAGTTTCTGGGCAAGTGGGGTCATGCAATTGTAGATCTGTGCAGGCTCAGCATGAGGCAACTGGATCAGTGTGGTATTACACTGATTAAGGTGATGATTATACATACACTCTTTGTGCCCAAATCATGCAGCATTTGATTGGGAGCTCTGCCAGCAGTCTCAAGGACCTCATCAATAATCTTGTTGACACCCCATTGAGAGGACCTCTTGCTGATGAAGGCAGCCCATGCAGTGCATGCTGCTGAATCTTTGTCTAGCACATGCTTGGCCATGTAGCAGTCCTGGGCCCTGACAGGCATGCCCAACACCATAGTCACATATGCCTTGACCTGTGCAGCAACTTGGTTCATCCACTCGGGCACATAGAGTGAGGGGGAATCTTCGGGAGCATTGTTGACTGTTGACCATGGCTCCCCAGGAATCTGAATGATTGCCTGCCAAGATGGCACACCCCAAGGCAGTCCTGCTGATGTGAGAGCAAGCAAAGCAGCTGTTAATGACTGAGAAGGCATTGCAATCAAGTAAATCCAGAAAAGAAATAATGATCAGTGGAAGTGGAGATGGTGAGTGGGAGAAGAGAAGAGAAGGAAGGAAGAATTGATGTGAATTGCATTCTTATAGTCCAAGCCTTGTGTATGTTAATGACCATGCCAGCATCAACATGTTGATCCAATGTATAGTCGCAGAGTTTCCAATCAGATCAATAATTGATTGACTGTGTTTAGTCAAACCCCAAAAAATCAGGTTGCATATCTGATATGATCATGAATAGCATTGCCAGAGCTGCTGACATTGAATGATGCATCGCAGAGGGTGCACGGCCATCTTGGATGGCCACCTGCATGTGGGTCTCAGTGTTGATGTGACATGCATGTTGATGATAGCATTGACCATCCCAGATGGCCAACTGGCAATTGACCCTATGGACAGCTTGGACTAGATTACTGACAGTGATAATGAGCAATATATATATATTGTACACTGGTATGGGCAAGTACTCTTTGGCCATCTTGGATGGCCACTTGCAACACAGGGTTTAATCACATGATCAAGTGCATGAGGCACACCCTGGCCATCTTGGATGGCAGGCTGCATTGGAAGTATCAGATCATGTGATGAAAGTCTCAGGTGGCAGATGGCCATCCAAGACAGCTGGCCATATTGTGCACTTCAGTCACATGAGCCAGCTGCCCATGGTGCAGGGTGGCCATCCAAGACAGCCACACCACACAGTCAAGGGTGGGATCATGTGACCCGATACCCATGGTGTTGGATTGCCATCCAAGATGGCCACACTGCACTACCAAGGGTAAGCAAATGTGATGATGGGCCTTACTGTTGGTAGACACCTGGGACTGGACTACTGACAGTGAGAATGAGCAACTGATATTTATTTCACATGGGTATTGAGAGTGTATGTTGGCCATCTTGGATGGCCATCCAATATGGCCACATATAGCTGTCCAATCATCTCCTTAATGTCACCTTGTTTACAAGGTCACTCCAACCCAAAAATGAGATGCTTTTTTCAACATCCACACATCTGCCTGTCAATTGACTCTGCACAGCAAAACCCACCAGTCATGACTGCACTCCAGCATGGTAAACAAGGTGCCTGCTGGTGCTGCTGGCTATGTTCTAGTAAACACATTGCCTGTATGTATTACAGATGTCATCACATATACTTGGATTGCTGCACTTATATATGATATTTCATGCAATGCAATTTGTAGCATTGTGTCTGTGACTCAAGTGGCTGTCTTGGATGGCCATCCACATATGAGCATGTCGGTCACATGACCAATGCACCCATGGTGAGGGATGGCCATGTTGGATGGCCAAGCAGTATGAGTGCACTTCAGTCATGTGACTTGCCTACTGCAGTGCAGGATGGCTGTCCTGGATGGCCAAAGCCACCATCACATGATCACTCACCCTACCTCATGATGCAATAGGGGCTCTGTTGCCATATACAGAACCCCAGTGCCCAAATAGGAAGTGTGTGGGGTTAGGGTCAGCCAAGAATTGACCCTACAGGGGCTCATAACCCTAAGTAGCATGTCCTCTGCAGCTCCAGCCAGAGCTTCCATGCTGATGCCATACACTCAGTTTTCCATAGACTGACTATGGCCTGCCTGCAGGGCTTCCATGATGTCTTCCCTGTCCATCTCTATCACATCCTCCACTGCACAGCCAAGTTTTCATTTCTATGCTGTTTGGATGTGTCACCACAAGTTGATGGTCAGCCCAAAGTGCATGATTGGAAGGCTGTGCCTGCTCATAATCAATGAGAGGTCCTTGGAGTCAAAGAGGTGGTCATAGTTGACAAAGACATGGTTTCAATACAGGTCCACCACATCTGGCCTGTCTGGGAAGCATGCCTTGGCTGCAATCTCTGCAAAGGGTCTTGCCAAGGCCAAGTCCTGTACCAAGATGTCACTGGTGATGGCATCCAAGGCATGAGGGATCAGCTTGTCCTTCCCTGTCAATGCTGTGGTCTTGAGGTATTGACAGAGCAGGGAGACATGCTTTCCCAGCACTACCAGGTTCCATGTCAGTTGGGTCTGAGTGTTGCAATAGGTCATTGCAGTGAGCTCTGTGCCATGACTTGGTGCACCACTGAGCATCTGGGCTTGCAAAAGTAGCAAGCTTTGCAGCTCTGCATACTTCTTCAACCATGCTTGAAGGGCACTGGTGTTCCATATGATGGCTCCCTGCCTGATCATGGCAAAGTGGGAAAACATCTCCTCATCTTCTAGGAAGTGCTTCACCAACCTACCCCTACCCACAAGCTGTGGATTTCTGACATCAGACAGGAAGGAATAGCCAATGTCCTTGTTGACCAGGTCCTCTGCAATCTTGTCATAGTCCACTCTGATGTCCTGACCCATCAGGATCCCCTGTTCCCAGGCCTCTACCAGCTTGGCTTCTGTACCCTCAAAAACCTTGCAAAGATCAGCAAAGTCCACCTGCTCCCCTTGGTAGAGCATTGTCTTCCAGGTCTTGGTGTCTGTCCACCACACCTGAGGAAGGCTCATGGTGTCCAGGGCTAGGGATGTCACTCAGTGTTGCAGGGAATGTAGATGAGAGAAACTGTATCAGGTGTTCTCCACAAAGAAGTTCTTCAGGTCTGAACAGTGCTCCTCATCATCCTTCTGGGGGTCTGACTGCATGCAACTGTGGATCTGGATCTCCATGAGAAAGGTGAGTCGCATGCAGTACTCCAACCTGGCTATGATTGGGGTGACTTGGTGTGGCTCTTTGAAGGCACCATCTTCTCTGAGAGTCATCAGGGCAAGACACCTTTCAGTGGGATTCACAATGTCCCCATCCCCTTGATGCTTCCATGCTGTGCTCCAGAGCTGGAATAGCAACTCATGGATGAGTGGAAAAGCCTCTGCATCTCCTTGTCCAATGCAAAGCACTGCCAAGAGGTCCAGTAGCTTGGGATCTGAGCCAGAGAATGGCCCTCCACTGTACTGTTGTCTGATCAACATTGCCAGCAGAATCACCACTGGGACAATGTACTGTTTCATGGTTGACTCATACAGGTGCTTGTGGAAGGGTGTGTTTGACAGGCCACTGGAAAGGAATAAGTGACCAGTCACTTATCTGTGGATGTATGGCTGCTTACCTTTTCAACAGATTGGGGGAATTCAACCTTTTCCAGACAATCTCTCCTGTGTGCTCCAGCAGGGAGAGGCCCTTTTGATAGTATACTTGCACCATCTCTCTGAGTCCAGGAATGTCTTCATCATCTGTCTTGGGTAACATGACCAGGCCACACTGCTGTCTGATGTTCTTTCCAGGAAGGTGCTCATGCCACTGTGTTGTCGATAACCAGGGGCTTACCATGTGACCATCTAGTGGTGTTTGGACCACCTCCAATGTGGGCTCCAGTTCTTGGAGCAACAGGTCCACCAGAACCTGTTTGGCTGATGGCTGGCCCTGCCTTTCTGCATGATCCTTGATCTCCCAGAATGCCTGCAGATCCCCTGTCCCTTGCTTCAGCTGTTGGACTTTACAAGCTCTCCAATTTCTTGGCTGTGGTTCCATTGGGTGATCTTTGGAATGATGTTTCCTTAGATACTCTGTTGACCTGGAAAGAAAAGAACAGTGACTGCAAGCCATGGCATCATGAACTTTCAAACCATGGACCAATGTTCTAGGCCCTCTGATGTCAGTGGGCAACTGATCAGCCACCTCCAATGATATCAGCATCAGCTTCAAGGTCATTTCACTGTAGGTTGACTGTCTCCCATGAATCTTCACTAGATGACTCTCAACATCTCCCACCCCCAATGCCATCTGACAGACCCAGCAGATCAGGAAGTGGAACTCTGCATTCACTGCAAGATCCAATGAACTCAGAAACTCATTGGAGATGAGTCCTGGAGTCATGGTCAATGGCACTGAAGGTGGTACAACATTGCCAGTGTTTTGTTTGTGAGTTTGGATTGCTGACTGAAGGAACTTGAGTCTGATTTTCAGTAAATCAACTCTGATAGACCCACCATGAGAGATGGCAATGGTGGTGCTGGTGCTTGGGGGGATTTTGGGAGAGGGGCTGACTTGTAGGCTGTAGGTGACACCATCCTTACATCACCCTGGATAGGTTACCCAGACCATGGACAAGTGACCAGTCACTTATTTGTGGGGAAGCAATGACACTCACTGCTGGTGGTGGGGGTGAATGCATGATTTCATCTTGTGGAATCAACTGGTGAGGAGATGGGATCCGACCCAAATCCTCTGCTATCTGTTTCCCTCTTTAGCACTGTGGGGTAAGGACAGACAGGTGTACTCCATCTACTCACTGGTGATCCAATGGACCTTTGATAGGGCTGGTGTGCCATGACCATCCATCATTCCCATGTCTCCAATAGCTATAAGCATGGTACTCACATCCCTTCTGTCACTCTCACTGATATCATCATGCTATAATGACATTGGGCAGAATAAGTGACTGGTGTCACACACCAAAGGTGTTTGGTGAGGTGGACATGGATACAGCTGATGAATGGAGATGAAGACCATAGCCCTCATGTGAAGAAGGACAGCCAGGAATGTTGGCAGTCATCCCTCACACAAGAACAAGTCATCAGTGCCAGAGAAAAAGAAAGGGAGCAGGTTAAGCACTGGCTAAAATTCTTAAATGCCCATGTACAGCATTCTGGTTTTCGACATATCTCTGCCATTTCTGCAGATACCAAGACCATTCCCACACTTGCTTGTAGTGCTCAGCCACGCAATCTTACCTTCCAAAATTGGAAAGGATTTGTGCACTCCACATGTTTCTACAGCACTCCCTCCAAAAGACACTCATTTCACTAAATTCTTCTGATATGGCTGCCTCTACATCAATCATTTCACTTGTCCCCTTTGCTAGGGACCATGGCTACATATATCTACCAGGAGTTCCTACCAGCTTCCATCCTGAAGCAACCTGGTACATCCCACCCTCATCTGTGCCCTCTCAGCCCATCCAGCTTGGACAGTGTGTTCTTTTTGTCAGTATGACCTCTAGGAGGACATTCTTTAGTCACCTCAGGTCTGTAATTCACTTGGAAAGGTCTTATGTGGTCATTTCAGTCTCTCCAGTCCAAGAAGCATATGGATCCTTCCTCCCTGCTCCCTGCAATGTCTGCATACTGGTCTTGTCCATCATTCTTCCAAGATTGCAACAGCTACAGTATAATCTACTGTTCTCCACTCTCCCTGATTGCATCCATGATGAGTATGATGCACATCTTGCCTCCTTGTTGCAAGATACAGCAGAAGACACTCCCTGTTCATCCTCTCTTCCAACAGAGCCTCATTCATGAAGTTTTTATTTGCTTCACTGACTGAGAGGATGGTTTGGGGGGGAAGGTTGCAATTCCCTATGCTCCTGTCACCCCACAGACCCCCAAAGCTTGACCCCTGTTGACATCTGACTCACCCTGTCCACTTTTGGATGTACTATATTGGCATCAGATCAGTGCTGCCTCTCTGTCATCCCACCTTGGCCTAGAAGTGATCTCTTCGAGATGTGACATGCACAGCCTCCCCCTAATGCAATTCCAGTGCACTTTCCCAGTTCCTGACATTACTTGACTCATACTTTGACATTCTGACTGTCTTTGACTCACCTATTGCCAATACTTACCAATCTTTTGACTTTGCTTACTGATTCTTTGCTTTTTGGCTTGCTAATCCTTACCAATGCTTACCAATGCTTTCCAAGATGATTACCCATCACTTACATTCCTTACTGATCAGTTACCAATCACTTACCAAGTGTTTGCACCTTGTTTTCCAAGGGCAACACCCCTGTACTGTATATAAATCACTGTACTTAGATAGCAAAAAAAAGAAGACATCAAAGAGCCCCTCTTGCTTGCATTTTATCATCACTCAGTAATTCATTCAGCAGCTTTGATAGTTGAGACTTTATTAAGGGTCTAACTATCATCTACTTCACTTATCCTTGTCTATCATCAATATACTTTGCTCCAAGCCCTCCCTGAACTCAGTGCAGCTTAGGTCATTGAATTAAGTCATCATCCATCCTTCTGTAGGCTGACAGCAGTCTACCCTATCACATTCTCTCACATTCCTGCTTCTTCTTCATCAGAAGCACCCCCAACCCTCAGCACTCATCTTTGAGTGTTGTAGCTCACAAAAACCCTCCCAAAGAACAGGTTCTACCATCTAGGTACTGCATAGGCACACCACCACTCACTCTTTTTGTCTTTTGTGTTGGTTTTAGTTGGTTTTCACCACTGAACCACACTTTGACTCACACCAGTTGCTTTTTCTGGCTTGGGTCAGTCACTTACCAAGTGCTTGCTGGCCATGCTGGGACCACCTGCATTACTCTCCTCCTCATGGGTCTGTGGTGGTGATGTCATGGGTGGCTAATCACTTTCTCCTTAGAATTGCACTCACCAAGTCCCTGCTGGGCCCAGCTTCACTTCCTTGGCCATGGGTCTACAATGGGCAGATAAGCAACTGGTTGCTTATTTTTCTGGTTGATAAAGCCACTCACCAAGTCAAGTTTTCCCATGGATGGATCATTCTGAATAACATGCTCAGAGATATATCCAAATAAGGAAACAATTTCCCACCACTGCTCACCTGTATTTCTGGCCCTAACCATCTACTGCCAGCTTTCTTGATGTGAGCTCTGAGACTGTTAGCAAACTTGAAGGGTTTGGGACAACCCATGGCAGAACATTGACAAATGAAATCTCCCTTGCCATCCTTTACCACTTCAATGGTCTGGTTGGTATGAGCCAGGTGAATGGTGGCCTTGGAACAACACTTCTTGCTGTGAGAGATATAGGGATTCTCAGCAGAGAAGGTTTCACCACAGGTTGTACAAGCATAGATAGGCATGATGAGATGGTGGTGGTAAGGGGAAGAGATGCAAAGCAGAATATTTCCCACAGTCATCTCTATTAATTTGGTCTGCCCACCCTAAACATCCCAATTTGGACATCCCAATTAGGCAATCCTTCTCAACATGTTGGTGTATTGTGATATTGGCACCTGTCCCAAATTTATGTCCCAACTCAGATAAGCAACCAGTTGCTTATTTGTGAGGTTAATGTGCAATTGCAACTTCCCTAGAGGTCATGTAGAGTTGGCACTCTTACTGTTATATCACAAGTCCTGGACACATGGGCATGCATGGCATTCAGGGTATGAAAGATAACTTGATGAAAATCCAGGATCTTGTGGCTGTGAGGTTGCCCTCAGTGGCTGTACAGTTGCCTTCACCTGCTATGTGGTTGCCTTCAGTGGCTGTGTAGGTTGCCTTCACCTACTGTCCAGTTTCCTGCAGTGGCTGTACAAGTTGCCCTTTCAACTTGATAGTTATCTTCCATCCAGATAAGCAGCTGGTTGTTTATTTTTGCTAGTCATTCATCAGGTAGTCAGTAGTCACTACTATGTCTGCTTTTCTGTTAATCACTTGCTAGTTGTCTTGTGTGCAGAATAAGCAACTGGTTGCTTATTTTCTCTACTAACAGTGACTGTGGCTCGCCTTTGCCTGCTATGTGGTTGCCTTCAGTGGCTGTGAGGTTGCCCTCAGTGGCTGTGTAGGTTGCCTTCACCTACCATGTGGTTGCCTTCAGTGGCTGTGTAGGTTGCTTTCAGTGGCTGTGAGGTTGCCCTCAGAGGCAAGGGTGGAGTCCAGAAAGCATATTATTAGGTAGTTTTCAAACAGAGCTTCAATCTGAGTCTGAAATCATTGCTCTAATCAACTTTCTTTATTTGTGTAAGTTTTGCAATTCAAAGGACTTCTGCAGAATTTCTGGTTTTCAAACTGGCTCTTATGTGCCTTCCCTTGCTACCTTTTCCCCCAAAGTGACATTGTGGTCATACAGTGGCAGTTTTAATGTATAGTCATTTTCTTTTAATAATAATAATTTTTAAAGTTTACTGGAGTAACATGCAATGATCATAATTTCTCGCTTGGTTTGCACCCCACCAAGATGGAAACAAATGCGCGCGTCCCGCTGCACCGAATACTGCAAACGACAGGATAAATACCATGACCTGCGTACCTCCATCTAGGGCTAGGGCAACATGAGCATGAGCCAGTCTCGCAGACCACGTGTGCAAGGGAAAACGTACCAGCTGCAACGATGTAGTTGTACTTCTGGAACCAACGCGGGCGCCGGGTACGCAACCACCACTGAGAGGTGAAGCCTACAATTAAAAAGGACAGCGCAGAAGCATTAATTCCAGCTGCAAGCGTCCCAATAAATCCACTAAAAGCAAATGACGAATTAGGGAGTTTCAGATTGCCAAACTTCTAGTATAATACCCACCAAATGAGAGGCGTGTAGATGAAATCAGATCGAAGTTTTGGCCAGTACCGGTGAACTAGCCAGAACGGGATAGGCACAAACAAACCAATGACATATGACAGCGGTACCCAGTGGTACCTGGAACCAATGGAAAAAAGTTCATTACTCAGCCCTCCCCACGCAATGGCTTGTGAATTGTACTGCTGAACCTGCTGCCCAGACCAAACATTCGACCCTTGGACAGACAATAATATATCGCTCCGATTGCTGACGATGGAGTTCATCAGAACTATTGTGAAACGTCAGTCAGAGCCGAACAGGAATGAAAGTGTTTCTTATACCAAAATTGACAGCAGCACCAAATAGGGTTCCAAGTACCTGAGCAGCGAACGCAGCCCGGGGGGGTAGTTTGACGTCTGTCATGGAGGTGAACATATGGGTCAATGCAACTCCAATAGGAAGAACCTACATTGAGCTACTTTAAGATCGCGTAGAAGCAGCTGGGCTTGATTCATAGTATCTAGTGAGGTAAGTTTGTCGAGTCAACCTGCAGGCAGTATGAGAAATTTCGTTTGACCCACTGTAACTGTAGAGCACAAAGTACATATTTGCCATCGGCTTTCCACGATGTAAGTACCCTGCTACCATCTGCACAAATGTTTCTGCATGTGGCTGTTAGCAGTATTCGGAATTCCATAAGATGCGACTCACGTATGGACAGGGGAATACCTGTCATGGCGTATAAAGCCACGATAAAGAGAATAAAAACTGTAGCTAACAGGAGGGCAACGACCAAACCCCACCAAGGAAGTGTCGAGTCGCTCTTGTAAATGACGACGAGGGCGACAACCAGAGAGAGCACTGCAGTGAGACCATACCAACTGTTTGGAGCATCAGGGTACTGCGACGTTGCTCAGTTCTCTATCTATATGTCACAAAGAGCTTCACCTTTAGCATTTGTGCATAGTGTGGGTCTAGGTCATCCGTAATCTTGACTTCTTCATGTCGACCATTATACTTCCAGAACCTCCAATCAAATCCCTGCCACGTGCGCCAAAACGATGCAGGGCTCAACCACGTCCAAGCGGCGCACATATCATCATAGTTCCATAGCAACACGTGCGTGATCGTAGCCGCAAGAGCAAGGTTAGTGGCTATAAGATATACGACCCAGGTTGACGCATAGTACGGCAAACCTTGCTCCGCGACAAGTTCAGAATCCACTTGATAGTCCGCATCCATGATCAAAGACTGATCATACAACGTTCCATTCTCATAAAAGAGAACTTGGGAAAGCTACATGTGCTGAATCAGCTACTGGAAATGTGTTGAGTGGACCTGACATACGAAGGGGAAGTTTCGTGCTTTCCAAACATTGCCATAAAAGACGGCCATAAAGACAGCGCTGCCACATGATGTTAGAGGTTTAAGTAATCTTTCAAGAGGCCATGCACGTGCTTACATGCAGAGAATGTATCCGAACAACACAGAGAGCTTTAATTAAAGTGAGAACGTTGGCGCCAATTTACGCGCGCATGCTCACTTACCAAAGCCTTGAGAGGAACAATAAAGGGATTGAGCGCGCTGATGTACTGTGGGGAGAGTAAATAGGACCGAAGAAAAGTCCAAAACCTGCCTACCTGCCAATCGAAGCAAATCGATAAGACCCCGAGACCTTCATTACCATTACTTCCACCAAAAAGGCGTGATACCGCAGGGTTGTCAGGAAGAACAAGGCAAAATATAGAAAAGCCTGTGAGCAAAGGGAATATCCACTCTGGAAAGAGTTCCCAGACGAAGATACTTTGAGCAACAGATTAACCTTTGTGAGCAATTGAGGCTGTTGGACAACTTACACGCTGAAAACAGTCCAAAATACTTGAATTTTGCGTTGCGCAGCTGTCCCATCTCGGAAAAGGGCGTCGAACATCGAAACGAGTGGAAGGACGTTGGGATAGAACATCTTGGAAGGATAAAGCAAAACGGCTGGTGGATCCGTCAGTGAGAGGAGGCGAAGACAATCTGATGCTTTACTGAAACTCACATCTCATCAAACCACCGATACCATAGCCGAGTAACTGACTCGAAAACAGCAAGAAGACGGAAGTAGCAGGGTTCGGATTGACGTCATAATACAAACGCTGAACGGCGAGAACCTCGGTCGCTAGAGCCGCATTTGAAGCGGCACTAGCCATGATAATCACGAACGCGTTCTCTTTTTTGTTGAATGGATGCTTTTGAAAACGTCGAAATATGCTTGATCTGTGCACTCGAGACAACTCACGGGATTTAACCAACGAAATATACCCCGTCTAGGAATAAAGCTATCCATCGCCGTGCCGATAATGTATGACATAATAGCCAGGAACATCAACGACACGGTCAGGGTTTGCTGTGGAAACTGGTTGAGACGGATTCGAGATGAAAACTTCGGGTCCTCGCACGGGTTTAAAGTAGTATATCTCAGCTGTCAATAAATTAGTTAAAAGCGACTGTAAAACCAGAAAATAATACCAAGTGCACTGCCAAAAGCAGACAACCCAAAACCAATGAAGAACGAACGGAATGTCCAAGGGTTAAGGGATGGATCGTCGTCCTCCGAGATAACGTGTGCCACGAGTTCGCGCTCGTTGTTGGGCACTACATCATTCGCCTTACCAAGTGATTCTGGATCTGCCTTGTCGTCCCACGAAACCCGGGAGATCATTTCGGGACTGGGGTTACCAGCGGGCACACCATCCGATTTTGTAACGGGCCGAACGAGGTCGTTGATAAGTCCTTGCACCATAGGTTCGTGCCACGAAAATCCACGTATTGTACCATCGTTCCCCTCCTCCTTAAGTACTAGAGACGGTTGACGGCAAAGAAAGCCCGAAGCAATTTAACAGGCTCATAGCGATTCATTCCATCAGGATTTTCGGGGCCTTTCATACTGATGGAGATCGGAGTACACGCTATCAGTACATGTTAGTGGACTGTCGCAGCAGATGATCGACTGCATACTTGGCCAGGCCGTTGTCGCAGTGGTATTGGGAGAGTTAGGTCACGTGGGAGTGTGCATGATGCTTGCCCGATAGTACGTGTTGGTCCGCGGAGCTATAACCCCCTCCTTACAGACATCGCTGAGAAGCACACACTTGCAAACCAATTAATATTGACTAGCGGTGAGCTGGCAGCTTCCCAAGTTGGTGAGCAGACTCGCGCGATCACCGTCACCAGTATCCCTCGCGACGTGTGCTGGGCCTCATAGGGCACGGATGTGATCGCCACCGGGAACAACTTGCCATCCCGCGTGGAATATACAGTGCTAGTAGTAGCCGTAATGACGTTTCACCCAAAGAAACTCAAGGTTGGCTACTTCCACTTCGAATGTCGCCAAGCTTCTCTCAAAAAGTGAGTACCCTTGACTGAGCATGTATGTATTTCCCATTCTCTCTAGATACATGATCATTGCAGGTGCTAAAATCTAGCCACCTGACTTGTTCTACCATCATTGTGGAGGTATGTATACTGGGTCTCGTTCTCGGCCTTCTCTTATGTCCACGCCATTATACGGCATGGAGGCCCGTGCATAAAAGTTCCCGTCGATCCCAACCCTGGCTGTTGCCGTGGCCACGAATTCTTCGATCAGATCCGCATTCAAGGTGCGCCATACCTTTATCCGAGCTCGAAGCTCCGTAGGTCGGTTAGAGATGGCTGGACAACCTCCAGCTACTGCAGCCCCGCCTGCGGTTGGAATGAGAAAGGTAAATGTGGTTATACGTCACAAGGAAATCAGTTTTGACCTGTGGGCGTCGATGTTAACTCATTTCAAAGTAGAAGGGCGATCGGCCGAATGGCCTGTTATGATTCGCCACGAAGCAATCGAGGGATGGATATATGTCTCAACTACTATTGGCTGATCTCTTGACCCTCCCGATTCTTTCGTGGCAACTCCATAGATAACTATAACTTTGCACGCTTTTCACCCACGACGCATGGAGGAAAGTAATACATACTACAATATCATTACACATGGTATTGCAGCGCGGCGCATGCACCTGAGCTTCTGCTGATCGGATGGATAGTCAGACTGGTGGCCGGGGTCCACGCGGAGAGTCTTTGGATCCGACGACGCCATCGCGTCGACATTGTCTAGATCGCACTTGCACCCACGGCCTATAAACTTGGCACACATTGCCAGCGAATCGATTTGCGTTGCAAACCAGACACACACAGTAATTGACATCTTTGGCACATCGTAGTAGGTGGGATCATGGCAACCTTTGTAACCCAGCCGTATTCGATGCCGCAGACGTCCAGCGCCCCATCTCGGCGGGAGCCAGAACAACAGTTCGCACCGGACGACGACGCTGGAAAGAAGAAAAAGACAAAGAGGAGAAAAGTCAACCATGCATGCCTATACTGCCGTCGAAGTCATATGACATGCGACGAAGGTAGGCCTTGCCAACGATGGTGAGTATGACTTTAGTACATCGTACGCTCTAGAGATTCACTTCTACTTGCAGTATCAAACGTGAGATTGGCCATCTATGCCACGATGAACAGCGCCCACCAAAAGCAACTGCGAAACCCGAAGCTGTGACACCTACCAGCACAGAACCATCACAACCTCCTCGTGCGGTTCCTACTGTTTCACAGTTGATGTATGCTTAGTACGATCGACAGAGTCAGTATACCCAAGCCCTGCTATTCCCCAATCAACGAGCACGTCCTGGTCGATGAATGTCCCTCAAAATACTTTTCTATACCAACCCGAGACACTTGGCAACGAGTTCTCCGTCCTCACGTCCGTATTCTGTGTTTTATATTGTATCCCCGACATATGATGCTTCTAGGGACTTTTTGGAAACACTCGACGACGGTTCATTCTTCACTCCACCGCCACGGGCAGTCACACCGTCTCTGTCATCTTTCCCCAACACGTCGCCGGAGACCATGAGCAGTGCATACGTCACTACAGCTCCTCCCCCAGCAGATAACGCGACCAATCCGGCACCTCCCCCTGATCCGCTGAAAGAAGAAGAGCCAGTACCCCCTTTACTCCCATCTGCGACCAAAGCGGAGAAATTTCTTCTCACTGCTGCCGATCAGGAACCGGGAACGAGAGATGAGCGCTTGAATCGCGTCATTCAAAGCAAGTATGAGGCAGGTCTGCTCAAGCCGTACGACTACGTCAAGGGCTATGCACGCTTATCAGTCTGGATGGATAGGAAGTAAGGGTCATCCGTCCACTCTTGACACTAGCATTTCACATTATTTGTCTATCTCAAGCGTGTCGAAACAGTCTAAACAGCAGATACTACAGCCTTTATCCATTCTTCGTCCCAAGTTCAGGGTAGGTCACAACACTCTGCACGTTCCACTGACCGTGACTTTTCTCCTAGGCCGTAGCGCAGTCCCTACGAGACATTGTAGGTTTGAATCTACGTGCCTATCCGAAATGATATGAAGTCACTTGTCAGGACCTCGTTTTCATTGAAGAAGCCTTCGAGCGATTGTTATTAGACTATGACCGCGTCTTCTCCGCGATGGGCGTTCCAGCTTGTCTATGGCGCCGTACGGGTGAAATATACAAGGGAAACCGCGAATTTTCTGAACTCGTTGGTGTGGATGGCTACATGATGCGCGATGTGGGTGGGTACATTCCGTTCACTTCATTCCCGCTAACGGTCCACAGGGCCGACTCTGCATTTACGAGCTTATGGCTGAGGAATCCGCTGTCAATTATTGGGAGGTAAGTATCAAGGAAGTGTTTGTTGGGAGGTTTGCCTAACTCGACCTAGAAATACGGACATGTTGCCTTCGATACCACTCAGAAGGCAGTGCTCACGTCGTGTGTGTTACGGTATAAGCCCGTCATTAACACCCATTCCTCGAAGCGTAAGAAGAACGACGAGGACGGCCCGAGCGAAGAAGGGCACGTGAACTGCTGCTTTTCGTTTACTATTCGGAGAGACAAGTGGGGAATCCCTACCATGATCGTTGGTAACTTTATCAAGTGCTGACAACTTGCAAACCCGTGTCCGTGCCTCGCCAGGACAGGAAACGGACAGACCTTGTCACTGCAGAGGAATAAACTTCGCAGAGCATGCTGGATGCCTAATTACTCTGCGCTCCCGCGAACAGGACGTGACGATTGTTATTTGTATAACTTCGTGACCTTGCACCACGTGTCGTATTATGGTGTCGCAGTATTTCTGATACCTAAGAAAAACTCTGTATATATGTATACTATGCAGACGTATGTCAGCTTTTTTTAGGTCTAGCGTGCAAGGGTGTGATCGCTTTTATCCTTCCATTTCTTCAGGGGGCGGTCCTTGTAGTTCCCGATTGCGATCCTTCCGAGTGGCCTGAACGACGTCGTCTACTCTAAGCAGCATTCGAGCAGCCTGGGATAATCGTCATGTTTTATGCAAGGTGCCTCAACTGCGAATGGCTCACCTCAATGGCCGTTTTAAATGTTTGGACCTTGACACTAGCGCTTTCGTATAGCCCATACTTCTTCATGTCTACAATCTTTCCCGTTTCACCATTGATGCCCCACGAATGCTCTCCCATTGCATGCTTCGCTCTCAACTCCGTCAATACTCTAATCGCATTTCCACCCGCATTCTGCACGAGGGTCCGTGGGATGACCTCCATGGCATCAGCGACGGCGCGGAATGGCCATCCTTCAACACCAGTTACGCTACGTGCCTTCGTATGCAGTCCGACTGAAATCGCCATTTCAGTCGCACCGCCACCTGGTGCGAGTGCGGGTTCGAAGTAAACGTTGCGTGCGACGGAGAGTGCATCGGCGAGATTACGATCGATTTCGTTGAGGATGTCTTTGGAGGGACCGCGAAGGAGAATAGTGCACGCCTTTGGGTTCTTGCATTCGGTAAGGAAGGTAAAGTATCTGAAGAACGAGTGCAAGTTTTAAGTCTTCTTGGTGACTTCACACCGGGGTGCGACTCACTCGTCACCTATTTTCTCGATGTGGAACAGGCCACATTTCGTTCCGACGTCAGCTTCCCGGAGGTCCTCTACGCGGTTGACTATGGTGGCACCGACAGCCAAGGCGATGCGATTGTTGTCGGATTTGCGGACGCGACGAATAGCAGACACATTGGCACGCTCGAAGACGTGCTGCGCGATGTCTGATATGGTATTTATTGGAGGTACCTCGAGGGAATGATAAAAATCTCACCTGAGATACCCTTCTCCGTGATGACAAGGTCAGGCTTGAAATCCAGAATCCGCTTGCACTGTGCAATAACCTGTTCTTCTTCAATCTCCTGCGCACGGGCCCAGTCCGTCTCCTTCGAGAATTCCATATTGGTCTGGCTCTCTCCCTTCTTGTACTCCAACGGACAGTCAAGGAGAACGATACGTGGATTCTTTATCCGTCGTCGCATGTTCGGGTGCGTGATATCCTTGTTGAGCATGACGCCATCCAACACTCTGGATTCCTCGATGGACCCTCCTGGAATCTTCTCTACGCGGGCATAACGCTTGATATCGACAGTTTGATGTCCATTTTCTTCAGCCGCGACAGTGCGGACGGCTTGCAACGCCAGGCGGCACATGAGGTCAGACCAGCGCGCAACAAATTTCGTCCCGATCGACGTCTTAATGAGGGACAACATTTCCTCATCATCGTTCGTATTAATTGGGATCGAGATACGTTTGACGATCTCCAGTGCCTCTTTGAGTGCCTTGTTGTATGCGGAAATGATCACGACGGGGTGAATATCACGTTCGAGCTGCGCGAGCGACTGTGCAAGAATCTCACCCGCTGACGCACTAAGCAGGATTTAGAAACATGATCATGGTGGTACGTACCCAGAATGATGACGCTGGTGGTACCATCGCCGCATTCCTCGTCCTGGGTCCTACTCAGTTCGATCATGTTTTTTGCTGCGGGGTGTGCTACGTCGATCTCGCGAAGGATGGCGTTTCCATCGTTTGTAAGTCTAGTGAAGATGCGTAAACGAAGAGTTCCGCGAGCCATCAACAGGACTCCTCACAAGATTCCACCCATAGGATCTAAGATCATCTTAAGCATGGCTTTCGGTCCCAAACATGTTCGTATGACATCGGCGATGGTCTACGTTGAAATTGGGACGTTACGTCAGAGAATATGCATCGAGAACACGACAAGTGTACACAGCACCTTGGCCGCCGTGATATTTGAGATCTGTGCCTTTCTCCCCGACTGCCTCTCGGGGGCAGCGTCTGTGTTCGCGTTAGCACAGACGCTCAAGACACGGTACTAAAAGCTCGTACTCATCACAAACACGGGTGTCTGTCCGCCTGCCTGCATGTTGACCTTTGGGAAGTGGTTTTGTCGACAATGGTTTTGCACTTGTAGCCTCTCAGCTCGCCATCATCTTGGCACAGCCACATTTCTAGATGGATAGCATGGAATAGGCTCGAGTTCTAATTTATTCAATCCTTGTAGGTAGAACACATGAGATGTAAATGCAAGTCCGATGGTAAAAGAACGAGAACGAGAGTAGAGAGAATATCACTAATGAGAGAAATAAAAGCGTTCAACGAGAATGTCAATATGCTAAGGAGGGGGGAAAAACGAGAGACTGTAGAAAACGATCAGCAGCCAGTAAAAGCGGCGTATAAGGTCGGCGATGATGGGTGAGTCAGAGGGACCATGGACATCTACGGACTGTTCACAAACAAGCTATATAATCCAGTCCACGTAGTCCATTATTGCAAAAATATTCAGGTGATTTAACGTCATCACGATTGGCTCTCGAGCAGGGTCCGATCGATGGCGGCATTGATCATCGCTTTACGTGCCGTTAAATCCGTCCCAAACTGCTCCTCCAATTGGCGTCGAACCTCGCGTTTCGTGACGGTGTTCAGGTCTGCAGTCCGTAAAATATTCTGAACAGCACGCTCCAGGTCAACATCGCTTGGCGCCACAGGTCCAAAGTCCATCTCCTGCGTCATTGGTATTGACATGTCCAAATAAGTTGTGGGGGGCCTTGAGAACGTCTGTTGAGGTAGTATTCCGACTTCGCTCATAGGGCGCATATGCGACATCGCCATTGACAGAGGAGTATTGCGACCAGATTGCATACCAGCTGGGAGTACGCCAAACTGCGAGGGAGCGGGTGATTGGCTACGAGGCTCGTAGAAGGTTTCGTGGCCATACAGGGATGCAGTACGAGACTCGGCGTATCCTTCCTTGCGGAATTGGGTGGGAGGTACCCAAGAGCCGATGCTGTGATTGGATTCTCGGTCCCACAACTCATTTTCCTGGAAGGTGTCAGTCCTTTATTGTCAAAATGAATGGCGAGACGACGCACATAGTCGTTCCATGTCTTGAGGGGAATAGAGCGAGGATCAAACTTGCCTTCATCCTAACCCACAATAACAGTGATCAGCGACATAATGCATTCAAGATCAAGTCACTCACGTGAACGATGATCTTCTTGCCAGATTCTCCTAGTACGACACGTGTGGCACCCCATGAGAAATCGTCCATACGCCAAAATGAGTAGATTGGAAGCATGAATGAGAAAATCGGGATGGCCAAGATATAGAAAACCATCCATCCAACCATGTCCCATTTGCGACGCAGAACGAACACCAAGGCTTGCAAGCCGTACACGGCGGCAATCATGACAAGGGAGATGAAGGGGATGGTATTGTGCTCGTAAACGACCGACACGATCAAGTAGACGATCTGTAATCGTATCAGCATCATCACCCTCCAAGGAGAATGAATCAACCCACATATGCCACGGTGACGGGCTGAATCAGCGTCGATACGAGATCCATCATGACAATGAAACGCATGGAGAAGCAACAGAAACCACAAAGCTGATCCAGGAACATGAGTTCACCAAGATTATGGATGGTCGAGTTGATCCAACGACGACGTTGTGAAAGCAGAACCTTCCAATCGTCTGGAGCGACCGTCTCGGCATGAGCGTCCCTGATAAATTGCGTCTTGTACATCGGGAAGTGTTTGAGCAATAGGGTTGTCAAATAACGATCTTCTCCGAGATGTAGCAAGTTCTTCATGTGTAGGGTATCGACACGGTTCTGGGAATAATCTTGGGTAATTTGATTGGAGACGAGCAGGGGCTTGTGCGTGTCTGGCGTGCGCAGACGGAACAAGGTGAAACAACCAGGCAAGCAAGTGACCGAGCCGAACAGACTCTCGAACGCCTTCGCCATGTGATGGGAGATGAAGTACTCGTACACCTAACGAACCGGCCTCAGCCCCCGCACCAAACAAAGACATCGCACGGGCTATACGCACCTGCATCATCGTCACAATCGACTGTTTGGCATTGGCAAGGGATGTTTCGCCACACACGCCAAGGACTTTCTTGTCGTGAATCATCCTATGGCCGGTTGGTTTCCTCGATTCCCCTACCAAGCAGTACGACATGACTTACGCAGAAATGAGGCGGTTAAGCGCGTACGGCTCTGCAGTCGTATCTGCATCGACGGTAAATAGATACTCGTAAAATGTCGGGTTGACGCCGATGACGTTCTTGATCTGGTGATACATCTCGAGCTCAAGGGGATTCATCGGCGTATTGTAATGCACCTAAAACCCGCTGTCAGCGCCGCCCAAAAATTCGCGTGAACGTGAACCAATATACCTTGTTCAAGAAATGCATGACCACCATCTGTGAATCACGCTTACCACGATTTCCGGGACGTGACCTCTCTGTCGGCTTCCCGACCTTGACTGACCACAAGGTAAGGCACGACATGTCCAGCACACTCGTACAGACCCGAGTACACTTTGGCCATATTGTGCTGTCGGGCGCCCTCGCCGATCGATACAAAACTGAGTGGCTCAGGGTCCAAGTTCGGGTCAGCACCCAGAATATCAAGCACGATACGTGGTGTCGGGCGATCGTTGCCAGATCCGACGATGTTCCCGTCGCACACGATGAGGATCAGTTTGCGCTTATCGTCATACTTGAGCACGGCCAATGAATTGATCGTACGCCGAAGGGACTGCCTCGCCTTCAGTGTAACACGGGACTTGGCAAATCACGAACTTGTCATGGTCCTCGGGTGCACGAACAGCCCCGAAATTGATCGACGCGAATGAATTTGAACCCGATGATGGAGACCATGAGAACCGAAAGGACGAGCAAGATATATTGCGAGAACAGACACTGCGGCGAATTTCGATTGTCGACCGCACCGATCAAGAATAAATTGCGAAGACACGTCTTCTGGCTTTCGAGCGTTGCAGAATCAAGTCCAAGACCATCGTTAAACTGCTTCGTAAAATCCTGCCCGGAGTTGATCTTGAACAGGTCGACGATGGTGGAACTCATGAATTGTGTGTCGACGCTTCCGCCCGCTTGCGTACCGGTAGGCGTAACGACAGCAGGCGGATAATTGAGATACGTGGTTAAATCATAGATCAACCCATCGAGGATGCCGACCGACGATCCGCTATTGGCCATATCCTTAATCTCTGAAGGCGTGTACCCCACGTACCCAACGCGATTATTCCACCGCATGATCGTCATGCTCTCGAAATACCAGTCCGGGCGAGAGTCATTGGTAAAAGCACGGAAGTCGTGGTACTGAGCATTGGGATCGGTGTTGTTGGCAGGAGTCGAGCGTCACCCAGGGGCTCACAGAACCTGAGACGCCGTTACATAGCGCGCTCACCTGTGTCTTTGTGTCAGAGGAGATCACACTATGATAATGACTTCACATACCTGCACAGGGAAAATTGCATCTGAAGCCATGCCACCATACTGGAGGACAGACTTCGTCGACACCACGCTGACGACACGCTGATGCGTCGCCGCCACGGCAGTCAAATCAAAGACCTCTCCCCGAATCGACGTATAGACGTTATTTGGATTGTTCTGATATGAGTGCGACGCCAGTTCAGACGTGCTGAACACATGCTGCGTAGGACAGATGACCAACCCCAGCACGGCAATGACAAATACCGCACAGGCACATATTAGCCAGATGACCATGTTCAAGGCCAACTTTTCTCTCCACGCTTGCCGCACGTCCTCGCGTTTCATGCGTCCGAACCACTTCAAGGAACGGAGAAGGAATCCACCAGGTTAACATCCAGCAAAGCATTACCCATCGTCTCCGCGCAGACGACTCCTTGACGATTTCGGTGGTTTCGCCCTCTAAGATTTCCCCCGGCAGCGTCTCCTTCGGCATCAATCCCTCCTTGTCCGCGTTGTGGAACATGTTGCGAGAGGGCGCGTACGACTCGGTGCCATAATTCGAATTTGAATCGTCGCGATCGCTTGTCAGCCGACTCCTCCCATCGAACTCGTCACTTTGTACCGTCTTGGCTTCGTCGTACTCTTCATCGTATTCCCTATGGAAAGAGGAGCCTCGACCAACGAGTGGAGCCTGATCACCGTACGCATTCGCGTAGGCAGATTCATCGACTCCGACTGTAGAGGGGGTCAGGTATGGGGCATAGGGATCGCCGCCAGATCGGGCATCGAGACCAGCTTCTACTTCTGCTTCGCGCATCCGGTTGCGCTTCTGTTCTTCGACGTCGGCTGCGCGTAGATAGTCTTCAAGCGCGTGGAAAGCGGCTTGTGAAAGGAAGACCTGCGAGGGTGTATATTGAGCTTGCTTCTGACACCCAGGTGGGAGACTCTCACCTTGTGCTGTCCCAAAACCACATCGGTCTCTCCAAGACCCAAAGCCACCCGCATCCTCTCAATGCGTTCTGCTGGCGTCTCATTTCCGTCACCAAGAAGTACCTTGCCCATCGGATCCCTATACCTCTGACAAAACTCGTCCGGAGCCATACCGACCTCAAACACACATGCATTCCTCTTCGCAACCTCGACCAACCCTGAGCTGCGTACCTGCCCTTTGACCGACCGTCCCTCGAGCTGATTCGGAAGTTGGGAGTCATTCGGGTTGATACAGAACACAAACCAATTGTGTGTGTCCCCCAACGTCTCGAAGAGTGTGTCGAGGGCGGCGCGGAACTCACCTGCGACGCACGGAGTACCTGTGTTCTGGGAAGTAGTGACGTCCTCGTCCTCACGTTCTTCTTCGACGATGGGAGGAGTCGTGCCAGTGGCAGCATTGTCACGGGGCATACGACGAACAGTATTTTTGCGTCGGGTGGAAGGAGCGCGCATGGGTTTAACGGGTTGTTGGGCCGCAACGATCATGTCCTCGCTCTTAGGATGGGCCTGTGTAGCAATGGCTTTGCCCGAGAAGAGACCTTTGACGAAGGGATTGATGGACCCCGCGCCTTCAGCACCATCCCCGAGGCCAGCGCCGGCCGCCGTGCCGCGAAGAAGAGCCACAAAATCGGGGTTAAGAGCATCGAGGTTGCGCTCTAAAAACGCCTCTGAGGAGTATGTCACCGGGCCATTGAAATGGCAAACGGTGAACATAGGGAAACCAGACCTATCCAAGCCACTTCCTAGTTTAAAGGAGGAATGGTTGCCCCATCGCTTGGCGAAGGCGTCGACCATGGTGTGATCCGTCTTTTTGTGGGATCGGCGAGCTTGGTCGTCCATGATGTGAATAAGGCCACCGGGTTTGTTCTGGAAGAGTCGGACGCATTCGGAGTTGTCGAAGTAAGAAATGGGGGGGACATATTTAGATATGCCTTCTGATTGGTATTCGTCGACGTGGGACTCAAACAGCCGTTGTTGAATGAAATGGTGGAGTCGTTCGTTGGCGAAGTTGATGCAGAATTGATCCAGCGAGTTGGATCTGCCCGTCATGTTCTGTGGACCGGGGAGATCGAATAAACCGATAAAAGTGTCGAAGTCGTCTCTGCAGAGACGTTGGTTGACATGCTCGTTGAGCCATGCGAAAAGCAGGGAATAAAGGGTTTTGGCGAGGTCGTCCCTGTTATCAGATGCTCCGTCGGGGTCGAGGAAGACGGTGCAGAGTTCCTTCTTGACCAGCTTGGTCTTGTATGACTAAGGCGTTCTCAAGTGCCGAGGGTTGCACGCCGAGAAACTCTGCTACGAGGGCGAGGGTATCTACGTTGCGGACGACGGCAGCGTCGACGTCTCTAGCACGGTCGATTGTAAATTCGAGATTGCCGAGATGGAGGATGGCGGCGATGAGCTGGCACGTCTGGGCAACATGCCGTTTGGAAAGACCGATGGTTTTGAGGGCGACTTTGAGTTGTTCAAAACGGTGTGCGTCGTCGTCCCTAACTGCGTTGGGACGAGCACCTGCGCCGCGCTGACCGAGATACCGGTAATGTACCTTCTCTTGGAGATGAAGATGTTGCCTCTCCTCCAGAGAGGCACCGGCGACGAGGTAGTAGAAGATGTGGAAATTACGTTCGCCTGAAGGAATGGAGGCGACCCTGTTTCTTTCCAGATAGTAGTCGAGGGTCTTTATGCCACAAAGGCGACCTCTGTCGGTGAACTGCAGCTCTGTGTACTTCCCAAAGCGGGAAGCGTTCGGATTGAAGAGGGTACGGGCGTTTCCAAAGGATTCGATGACGAACTCGGCAGCTGGGACTTGATGTACGAGTTTTGCGCCTTTCTTTCCGGGATTCGAGACGGAGAGTTCGAGAAGGGTTTTTATGGCGAGACGTCTATTTTCGGACTTGCCGCTTGCGGTTTCGCCGCTAGACTTAGATAAGCAAGTGATCAGCAAAGGCAGGGGGGAGAGACACACACCTAAAAAGAATGGATTGATCCTGTGCGGTGCGCCGCATGTGGTAGTAAGCGTTGTTGGCGAGCTGGAAGATGTGGGGGGGCAGACGGGATTTTCCCGGAGAAGTGTCGCGGTACTCTGCGGCATACTTGTGGAGTACGGAGTCGGCGTTCGAGGAGACGTACTTGTGTGGGTTGAGGACGACAAGCGCAGGTGGGCCGAGTGCGGTGTAGATGGAGTCCGCCATGAAGCGTTCGCGGAGACAAGCAACGACGGCATCGTCTGTGACGGGCGACAGCGAGGAGAGGTCGGCGACACCCTCGAGCTGCTGCAGACTCATCGCGACGGACGTCGGCCTCGCCATGAAAAGAGAGAGACAGAGACAGACAGCCAATCAGGCGACGAGCGAACGACACGGCAATATGACACCTTTCCCACGGACACCCTTGCTGACTAATACATGTCCATCAGTACCGCATCCTCTTCCTCGCCGCATGCCCGTCCTCGCCCTTCCTCTTTCTCTCCCTCTCCTTTCCCACTTCCACCATATTGTCCCTCGTAATCTCTCTCGCAAGCTCGGGCGGAACTCCTCCCCGTGGTGGACGCATCGATCCATCCGAATTGATCCCCGCCATAGTATATGGCCGGCTATACCACCAAGTACTAACCAGTGCCTGATGGCGTTTGTGGGCCGTCCTGCGTCTTTCCACCTCGTTTCAAGGGGGGTTGTGGATTCGCCGACCAAACACCGCGTGTATTTATCCCGCACTGCCTAGGCAGGTTCGTTCCCTCGACCACGCCTTCCCTGGAGATATTGATACTCTCCGCGCTCCCTCCATGCGAGCAAACATACGTCGGCGAGACCTCATCAAACAGTAGTCCAAGACCAATCCTTTGCGCTTCCTCCCTCTTCTCTTTAGTTTCCTCGTTGATTTCGGCGTCGTCTGGGTACAACAGTACATCATCGAAATCCAGCGCAGGTACCTCATCGAAATCCGACACAGCACGACGTTCATCGACATTAAAGAAGCATATAGCAGGTGAAAAACACGGCGACAATTCGATGTTCTCGAGCGGGAATGTGCCGTACATCGTGTAAGATGACGCAAGCAAGTAGAGATTGGAACAAAGCAACAAGCAAATCCAAGATGATGATAAGACCTGTGAGAGGAGGGAACCGGAGAAATATCGAGCAGACGGTACAACGCGAGAGTCAGCCGCGTCCGATGTCGCAGGTCGTACAGAAAGTAAATATCGAGTCGACCGTAAGCTATGGCTGGAGGCATTGACCAGTGGTAGGACCCTCGTACATACCCTCGTAACATGGCCTTGTAGTCTAGAGGTACGATACTTGCTTTGGGTGTTCTTAATTGCAAGTGGCCTGGGTTCGATTCCCAGCAAGGCCCATTTCTTTTCAACCTTTTTACTTCATGCTACGTGTATACACTACACTATGTCCATCAATGTCACGCGGTGGGGGGTTGTAGTGCGTTCTGCCGCCAAGCCTTAGTTGCAGACGTCGGGGTTATGTAAGCAACCGCCTGCACTGAACTCGCTGGCGACAGTTGGTACGTTCGTTCCATGGCTAACTTCAACTCCCTACCGCCAAGCGCCAAATCACTGATGCAGCGACGCATTTGGGAAATGAACATCAGGCTTGACCCAAAACCCTAATTCCGTCATACGTATAGTACTCGTGACGCTGTGGTGACGAGCAAGCAGCCTTGGACCCCACGCTATCATCTAGTTCTCCAGAATGGCTCACGAAACAACGGATTCAAAAGAGCATCTCGATCCCTGGTTTGACGATGGAAACATCGTCCTTATAGCAGGAGGGAAATCCTTCAAGGTTTACCGGGGAACGTTGTCGGTGCATTCACCGATCTTCAAAGACATGTTTGAATGTCCACAACCTGCCGATCAAGAGGAAACGATTGAAGGATGCGCTGTCGTTCGCCTTCAGGATTCCGCCAGTGACGTTCGACATGTCCTCAGAGCGCTATTTCATGGCGAGTGCGTGATTGCACCTCTCTGCTGTCAATCTATAATCTAAGGTCGATCCAGGTACATTGCTTCCTCTCAGTCAATGCCTATGAGCGTTGCGACTGCTCTGCTCCGTCTGGGCAAGAAGTACGAAATCAAACTTCTCTTCGACTGTGTGTCTAGCAGAGTGAAGGAATGCTACCCTTCGGAATTGCTTCCGAATTCCGGCCCAGTACGCTTCGAAGGAACCCTAATCACCGAACGTGACCCCCTGGACTTCCAGCTACTCAATATAATTCGCGAAGTTGGATTGCTCACAGTCCTTCCCATGGCACTCTACGCTTGTGCCTTCTCGACAGAAATTGAGAAGCTTCTGGACGGGTATGAGTGGAACGGAGTCCACTACTTCGCTCTCTCCTGTCAATCAAAGAGCGTGTATGATTGCCAGAGATAGGCGCCCAGAGCTCGCCAAACGTGTATTCACAAGCTCAAGCCACAGGATCTTTCCGAGATCGGACGACTACTGCTTCTTGGAGAATACCACCTGTCTGCTATGCCGCTCACGGTGTTCCGCAACGTCCCCTTCCACCGATCCCTTGGTTGCATGGGATCCTGATTGGAATCGTAGGTTCTGCAAAGCCTGCGTCGAAGACTTAAAGTCGCGGTACCATAGGTACAGGAAGGATGCATTTCTCTACCTGCCATGGATGTTCGATGTGGGACCAAACTGGGATCAGGTCCGCAAAGATGAGGCGAGTATCTGAGCATTGACCGGAAAGTGTTCTATGTTTGGGAGCGGAAACCCTTACTCGAGTGTTTTGGATACGTTGTTCAGACTCTTCGTCAGCAACCATTGTATAGTACCTCATATGTACTGAACCTTGACACGGTTAGATCATAATATCCTCGCAGATCTCTCAAGCGCATGTCGCTTTCGTGTCGCGCCCGTTGCTAGAGCTCTTGAAAGATGAAGAATGAACGGTTGCCACACGCCACGAGGTTATTGTGCAATTCATTTCTATTTGCCAAAACTCCTACTGAGTAATCCATGTTAGTTAGATATACAAATGAGCGTGCTTAGTACTACAGAATGCGTAGTCATGTCGATGTGGTTAGTCAATGTGTAGGTGCAAAAGAAAGGGTGTAAATCAGAAAGGTCGAAAATATTGGTATAAACCGCAGTTTCATCCAAAAGGGAAAAAAAAAAAAAAAAGAAAAGAAAATGAAAGAAATGTTTTAAAATGGAGGGGGAAGGAAAGGAAGCCTTCACTCCCCAGCCCACTCCCCACCACTGGCCAACTTCGCGAACGGTCCCCTGCGATTAACGAGTTCGTCCCAGGTGCCCTCCTCGACGACCACACCATCCTGCAACACCACAATCCGATCGCACATCTTCATAACTGGCACCTGATGGGTAATCATGACCGTCGTCCTGCCCTGTTTCGCGCTCTTGAGGGTCTCGAGTACAGCAGCTTGATTCGTCCCATCCAGCGCGGACGTACATTCGTCTAGAACGAGGACTTTGGACGGCCGCGCCAACGCACGCGCGATCTGGATCCGCTGGCCTTGCCCACCTGAAAGATGCGATCCGTCTTCGCCCACGGAAGTGTCGTACCCTTGAGGCAAGCTCATCACGAATTCGTGGATGCTCGCAGCACGAGCAGCGCGCTCGACTTCTGCATCAGTCATCGACGTTGCACGCCCATACGCAATATTCTCCTTGACGCTCGCGTCGAACAGGTGGGGCTGTTGACTGACTACGGCCACGTGTTCGCGCAGATGGTGTACGTCCGTATTGCACAGTTGGACATTGCCAAGCGAAATCGATCCCGATGTCGGTTCGTATAATCTTTGAAGAAGTGCTGCGACCGTCGACTTGCCACATCCCGACGTACCGACCAAAGCAACACATTCACCCCGTCTGACTGTCATCGACAATCCTTTCAGTACGGGTTCGTCCACTTGATCAGGGTATGTGAATTCGACGTCTTTGAGGACGAGATCGCCACCGAGGTCCTGGAGCCTTAGGATTCCGCGTGCCTCGCTCGTCTTGTCCGATCGCAGCTGGGCAAGTGCATGCAGATCCGTCGTGGCCAGTACAGACTTGGCAATTCTCTGCGTGAACGCCATAAGCTGGGATCCGATGGTGACCGTAAAGACAACCAAGTTGAGAACTTGGACCATCTGCAAGTATGTGTACGTTCCACGAGCGATGAGGACAGCGCCGACGTAGAAGAGGAGCGCTTCAGCGAGGTAGATCAACGCGGATGCTACGCCGTACGTGCAGCCTTCGACAAAGGCCCCACGGATACCGGTAGTGAGACACGTCGACACGGCTTTGTCGAATTGGGCTTGTAGAACAGGTTCGAGAGACATGGCGCGAATGCTGCGGACGTTGATGATCGACTGTGCGATGCGATAATGTCAGTACGCAAAATATAGAATCGGGCGGAAAGCATCATACCTCATAATAAACCTTCGCAATCTGCTCTCTCGCCCTCTTATTCCGTAATTCGCATCTAGCCACCAACCCCGTCTGAATGCCCATGACGCAAACGAAAACTGGTCCAATGGCAACACCAACAAGTGTCAACTGCCATCCCCATACCATTGCCCATATCAATCCAAGTCCCATCATCGCCAGTACGACGAGACACTGCCCCAGTACGACAGAGACGAGAGCGCGTGCGTCGTCGGCATCTTTGATGAGAGTTTGGGAGAGCGCAGAAGGCGAGTGGGAGGGTTCATCGAACCAGCATTTATCTTGCGAAAGAACGCGTGCGTAGGCTTTGTTGCGGAGAGCACTGATCCATCGAATCGCCGATCTTTCCATGAGAACGTATTTGGAACCGAGGAGCAGCCCGTCCAACGCTGCGATGCCCAGTACAAGTGCCCCGTAAGTGTTAATAATATTTGCATTGGATGGATCGGCAGAGACTTCAAACATGAGGCGGGAGAGGAGAAACGAGAAAATAGGCATCATTGCCCCACTCAAGAGACATGCGAGGAGGCCGGCAAAGAGCAGAGGCTTGCTCGGAATACTAGGCCATATGAGACGGATAGTTTGAAAGAGGCCAGGTGGAGAACTGTAGGACTCAGCACTAGAATCGACAGGCGTAACCTTGGGTTTTCCCTTGGCATCGGGTTCAGGCCTGCGAGAGGATTTCTTGGACGGTGGGGGTGAAAATTGGATAATTTCATACGCTTTCCGCTCTTGCCTTTCGGCGCGTCGTCCAGCGGCTCGCTGTGCAGCACACTGCAAAGCCACCTTGTCCTTCTCAAATTCGTCATCATCTTCGACCATGAATTGCGTGGATGTTGAGGAAGGAAATGCAGGTGACGTGGGCGTGAACTGGAGACTCAACCTACTTCGTGCGTCGTATGCGCGTGGGGGGAACGTAGGGGAAGGAATGAGGATGGACATACTCGAAGGTCTGCGCAAGCGACCCTGTGTTTCCGAGCGTGTAGACGAGTTGGTCGTGGGGGTAAAAGTCGCATCGGCTGTTTTAGTCAACTCTGCCACAACATCCAGCATCCACCCGCCAAGCGCCATCGTCACGGGACGTACACCAGCCAACGTAGGCGCGATACTCATATGTCTATCGGCCATCGGATTTTCCCGTTCTCGAGCTTGCTCTGCTTCGGCAAGGATGCCTGCAACCTCTTCATATACAGGTGGACGCGCAGCATCTTCTTCATCCTCGAGTTGGGCACCAATTTCCTTCACCATTCTCTCCCACTCTCCGCCTGAACCCTCCAGATCACCTCTGAACCCCTGCTCGACGATACGCCCAGCACGCATGACATACACGAAATCTTCGGCGCCAATACTCGACAAATCGTGCGTGATGATGACGGTCGTTTTTTGGGAGCGAGTGCGCCACGCTCGGAGGGCGGCGGTAGTAAGAAGACGTGTGGGTGGATCCAGAGCGGATGTGGATTCGTCTGCATGTTGCCAACGTCAGCGTGAGCAAACGATTGAAAGAAGGAGGGGGTACGTGCCTAGGATCAGAACTTCAGAATCGCGAATCCTTGCACGAGCAAGTGCAAGGCGCTGTCTCATCCCTCCACTCAATGTGACACCATGAGCTTCTTCTCCCTCTTCATTTCCAGTCCCTGCTAAAAGCGTATCATAACCCTGGTCCAAACCCGCAACCCACCCCTCCAACATTGCCATCCTACATGCCTCGACGACCTCCTCCCGGGTCACGTCTTCGACGCGTCTCCCGCTTCCCACAGCGCCCAATGCAACATTGAAGTGGATCGTTCCGCAAAAGACGGGTGCACCAGCCGACGCTGAGTTTTGGACCACACCCGCAATATGGTGACGAAGCCACGTCGGATTTAAGTACCGCATATCCTGATCGTCGATCAAAATGTCGCCCTGAGACGATGGATGCCCTACCAGCGGAAGGGCATATTGACCTAGAAGCAAGGCTCCGATAGTGGATTTTCCACATCCGGAAGGTCCAACAATGTATGTCGTTTCATGTGCTGGGATGTACATGTCAATGTCGTGTAATACGGGGATCGTGGAGCGTGTGGGATATGCGAATGTGAGGTGCGTGAGGGAGATGTCACCAATAAACCGGTTTGGAGTGATGCGACGGAGAATTTGATGGTGAGATTTACGTTGTTTGGGGTGTGCCATGGAAGTCACGGTTGCAGTGGGAGACGTTGGTGTGCAGGCGGAGGGTGGTGTAGGGGGAGAGAAAGAGATGATGGAAGCAAGGTCGGCAGCTGAAGCTTTCCCTTTGGCAAGTACAACCAAGAGAGGGACGGTCATTTGAAGATTAGAAGTGGCAATTAAGCAGGCCCAGAATACGCTCATCACATCCCCTGGTGCGTTCTTGCCCTGTCTGACGAGGTACGCACCAAACCAGAATCCCTGAACAAACATGGCCATAGTAACAAATTGGGATGTTCCGGCCGTGATGCCCCATATTGTTGGTAGAGAAGGTAAAGCAGGAGGGATATGTGCTAGGAGGGATGATTCGTGAGATTGAGCATTCGAAGACTTCACGGCTGCAATGTGAGTGCACGCGCGGGTAACGAGGGATGCTGCGCGGGCCAATAGTGTTCGTTCGTGCGCGATACGCGGTGACACGAAAGCTTGGGAAAACCCTTGGATGAGGATAAGGAAAGGAAGCGCAGAAAGGATGACAAGCGTGAGAAGGGGTGACCAATAGAATGCGAGAACGAGGGAAGTGAGTGTTGTCGTGATATATTGGATGAGCTGACCACATGCGAGAGACGATGCTGTGCGGACATCGTCAGTCTCTCTGCATGTATGTATACCGTGTGGGTGAGTGAAGGGCGCGAGGATAAAAAAGTATGTACGTACCGCGCAAATTTGGCCATGAGACCGCCCGCTCCTACGGGAGCGTCGTTAGACGTGTCCTGCACGCCAGAAGAGTCGCCTGTACGTCGATCGAACCACTCCATTTCTTTACGTACGATTGCAGAGTAGACTTGTCGTCGTAATTGGACGACGTTGTGTTCACCGGTCCATATCCACAGACTGCTTGTGATGCTGCTCATGACGAGTGCACCTGCTCCCAAGGCGACCAGCTGGAGAGCGGCGAGTCCGACACCATGGAGTAGCTCGTCTTTTGCGGATTGGGGAGGGTTCGGTGTAAGGGGGAACGCTGCGAATGCATTGAATGAACGACCGACGACGTAGGTCATAAAAGGGGCTATTCCCCCTGCTGTGATAGAAGACGCGACGGCGGGTGTGAGGAGAACAAGTTTACGTCTCGGAGTTAGGAATGAGAACAGGATCTTCAGAGATGGTCTTGGTGGTTCCTCTGGTGATGATGGTGGATGAGGGGGAATGTTGTCCGAGTGCGAGTAAACGCTATCGTGTTTGCAAGTAGACGACGACTCGCTCATCGTCGTCATTATCGTCCTCGTCCTCGTCGACGGGTATGATGATGATGAAAGCGAAAGTCAGAAATGGGATAGGATGGATTTCTGAGTGTACGGCCCATTTTTTTTGTTCTGTCTTCACGCTATTGTCTTTGTGTTTCCTTTGTCGCTCGAGGACAATAAGAGAGAGTTTGTTACGTAAGCTGACGTCAGGAACAAAGGGCAACTTTCTTGATTAAGTAAGCCACTGGTGACATACCCATTGTCTATTATATAAGCAACAGGGCCAAATGTGGACAAACAGGCCATTGTCATGCCACGTGGGCTGGGTTTGCTTTAGTTTGCCCCCCCCCCTTTCGTATGGACGTCGGCATGAATTCTGGGTGAGGCGGGTGACACTGGCTAACCGTACTGCAAATGATGCAGACGGGGTGCGATGAGAGCTTATCCTGTACGTGCTGATCTCGGAAGTAGCAAAGCGAAACATGCAGGGAGCGAGGCCGCCAAGGTAATCGGGTCAATGAGCATTTAAGGTTCGTGTTCCACCGTGAGCTTGATGGCTTGGCAGCCGTTCGCGTGTCGAGGCCTTGCGATCACGGCTTTGGTCTGTAATCACGACCTTACACGACGTTCTGCTCCCTTGATGCGGAGAGACGTAATCGACATTGTGGTCGCTCCCTATGCGACGTCGCAATTCCATACACTTACTTACAGCCCTTTCGGAGCAGTTCAGCCCGGGGCGCATTCGACCCGCAGCATATTAATCGAATTCATGCGTACTAGCCCGTCCGGAAACCACCCAGTTTTTTTTCCTTCTTCCCTTGCCTTCTGCCCCATCCCTCCGCGTAGGATGATGGACTCCGTATCGGTCATCGCCTCTTTGCTCGTGCTCGTAACCGTCTTCATGGTGTGCCTCTACATCCGCCGACCCTCCCTGGCTCATATCAGAGGTCCAACTCCAGCTTCGTTCCTCCTAGGTATGTAAAACTGCCCATGCACTCTGTCCGTCGGTCGTCTGGACCCCACGCATACGTAAGTTAAATCTTGCCAACAAGGGAGCACGCTCGAGTTGTACCAAGAACAAGCTGGCGAAACCGATTTCACGTGGCAGAGGCGATACGGTGGTATCGTACGGTTTAAGAGTATTCTGGGCGTGAGCGTGTCACTCCAATCTTGCCGCGTTAGCTGTTGAATCCTTTCTCCTTTTTGGTCACTTCCTAGGAGGATCAGCTTTTGATCACAGATCCAAAAGCTCTCCGGCATATTCTCAGTGCATCTGACTTATATCCGCATCAACCAGAGCGACGCATGATGTCTGGCTTTATCAACGGTAAGGGTATCGCGTGGGCTTGCGGTGCGTAGTCCCCGATCCAATTCCTCCCCATGATCCCACGTGTTGTTCATCGTGTCACTGCCCCCCTTCCTTGCCGCAACCTATAGGCGACGCGCATAAGAGGCAAAAGAGAATAATACTCCCGGCGTTTGGTGCTCCCCATTCGGAAACATTCCTGAAGGCGTCAAAAGTAGCTGCTGAAGGGGTGCGTATGCGTCTTCTTCCCCGGATGTAACTCATTTTTACTTTTTGCCTCCATCGTTATGTAATGCCATGGGATTGTTTTGGTTTTGGCTTTGCCCACCGCATCGATGATAGGTGTGTGCCAAGTGGATGGACGTCGTCAACGGGACGAACGATGGACGTGCCATCATTGACATGTACAAATGGTTGTCTAGGGCAACGCTGGACGTGATCGGGCAAGGTATGAATGGAATATTACTTGTGAACCAAAACATAACGGCTTCTGTTTATTTAACACTCATCAATTTTCCGTGTCTGGTCTTAATTCTGAAATATATCTGTGCAGCTGCTTTCGGTGATTGCTTTGGGTGCCTCGACGATCCGAATCATATCCTTGTACGATCTTATCAGAATTCGATGTTCGTTTGAGTTTCCTTGCTTTCTTTGGCACCTGTACTCATATTTACCAATCTCATCTTCCCCTTTCGTCGGTCTGAATTACAGCGCCTCTATTCTCGGCTCTCCCCCTCCGCAGCAGATCTTCATGCTGGAAATTTTGAAGTATCTCCCGACGTGGATGACAGAGTACGTATTGGAGCGTAGTAAGGATAAAAGGTGCATGCTTGTGAAGCGCATGCGGAAGACTGTGATGGGCATTGGGAGAGAGCTCGTGAGGAAGCGGCGTGATGTGTACGCAGTGGGGGGAATAAATGAGTGCAAAGACGTTGACGGAGAGGACAAGGATGCTTTGGGGCTGTTGGGTGAGTTTACTTGACGATTTGTTTGGCAAACTTCTCATCGACCTGTTGAATGGGCGTAGTGAAAGAGTACATGAAAGATGAGAATGAGGAAGAGATATTAGCGCAGATAAGGTATGTGGGGCTATCTATCCGCACCTAGGATTCGGTATCCGGTCTTAATAAACCCACACGATTACAACTCTGTGTAGGACTCTTTTGATCGGTGGGCACGAAACGACGACGCATACGCTCGAGTGGGCTCTATTGGAATTGGCGAAGAGACCGAGTACGCAGGCGAAAGTGCGCGAGGAAGCGAGGCGGGCAGACGCTACGGTACGAGGACGTGACGGCGTGTGGCGTGTGGCGGATTTGGAGGGGATGGCATATACGGTGGCTATTGTGAAGGTGAGTGATGTTGAATCTGACCTTTTCTCGACGCCTCTCATTTTTCTTGTCTCTACGAAATCTCTTTAAACGTATGTAGGAAGTTTTTCGCTACCACTGTACCCTACCCCACGCCTACCGCGTTGCTGCAAAAGAGGACGTCGTGCCATTAGCGAAGCCGATTAGGACGGAGGCCGGACTTCCCATGGAAGAGATACGTGTTCCACGGGGGACGAGAATTGTTGGGTCGATCGCGGGGTATAATAGGTTTGTCACTGTTTCTTTCAATTGGTTCCCGCGATGTACTATTGAGCACCACTGCTAACGCGTTGTACCCACGCGATAGGAATCCAGATGTGTGGGGCGATGATGCGGACGCGTTCAATCCAGATAGGTGGATGAAAGATGACGAGAAGGAAGTTACCACGGTTGGTGTATATGCTAATTTGTGAGTCTATCCGTCTTCGACGGTCTGCCTATGTGAGCGACGATTGCTGGTTGTTCGTAATAGGTTGACGTTTTGGGGTGGACCGAGAGCTTGTATTGGCTGGCGCCTCGCGTACGTTCTTCCAATGTTGACTTGCGTCGTTTCGCTAACGACTCACTCGCTCCATATATGTCCCCCACATCGTAGCGTGATAGAGACACAAGTGTTTCTTATCGAGATAATCAGCAGGTTCGAGGTCTCCTTGTCGGAGAAGGCCACGAGGGTAAGAAGGGAGGCGTGTGGGGTTGTTGCCCCAACCGTGGAGGGAGAAGTGGAGAATGGGGTGCAACTGCCACTGGTGATCTCTCTCGCGCAGCAATGATGTCTTTTGGGTTAGTCTCATCCATGGCAAAGTTATCCAATATTATTAGCGGTTTCACGGTAATAAGCGAGAACTAGCTTGGGATCATGTAACTGCTCATGGGTCGCGCAATGCTAGCACCGACAGGTCAACTCTTCGTTCCAGTCTTCCGATCCGACACCCTCTGCGACGACGAAGAGTCGGTACGGATCATACTTATCCTTGATCTCTTTCAGCTTGGTATAGTGTGAACCAAAAAATGTGTATTGCCAGTCGATCTCGTACAACGATGCCTTGTTTCACGCATTAGTTGTCAAGCATTTCCTGTGAATGCCGAGGCTCGCTTACCTCGTTGAAATAGGTACCACCCTGAGGTGTGAGGTCATACATGCCCTTGATCCATGCCTTCAGCTGATCAGTTAGCCCTGCAATTTCTTCCGCGGTGGCACCCTCTTGCCAAGATACTCCGCAATTGGTTTTGACGATGGCACTACGCCATGCTGGATTGACACCTGCCGAGTCGGGATCAATCTGAGAGACCTTTCCTCCAGCAACCATGCTATGATAAAGGCGAAGGCATGCAGCGTCAATGCAACGTCGCAAAGGCAAAGCATGGGGAAACTTGAACGCACTCGAACGAGGCTTGGCAATCGTAAAGGATTTCTGCGACATCAGAGTATCGGTTCGCGAGCGTATCCCGAGATAGAAAACGCGATGTGAACATTATATTGACACCGTTCTGACCTGCGTTGCCAAAGGCGTATGTATACCACTCGTACCACGAGTCGAATGAGTAAGTCCCCGCCACTGAAGAGACACCCTTGACCCCAAGACCAAGCAGGTAATCCGTCAGGGGCTGCGTACTCATGTTCGCTGCTGCGGTGGATAAGTTGGGATTGATACCGAAGAAATACATGCTGTTGTTCCCGAACGAGCCGTACCCTCCCCAGCCCTCGTCGGTGAGATTAGGTTGAAGGCGTAGCACACCCCCTATGAGCTCCTTCATTACAGTTGCGTTGGTGACATTGGCCTGCACGTAGTACATCACAACCGGAAGTTGTTGGTATGTCCGGTAGGTGACAGACGTGACGATGCCGTAGGTACCACCACCACCCCCACGGAGTGCCCAGAAAAGATCAGGATATTGATCGTTGTTGACGGTAAGGTAAGCACCGGTAGATGTGACGACTGACATTTCAATGGCGTTGTCAACACCTCAAGTACCACCACGGGGTGGGTGTCAGGATATGGATTGGCCTGCGTTTCTTTTTGTACGCACCTAGACCGTACGTGGGTGAGAGTGCACTGTGTCCTCCACCTTGAAGCCAACCACCCCCAGCTCCTACGGACCCACCAAGGGAAAGACCGCCGACCATCATACGCCCGTTCTGGTTAGCGGTATCATAAGCCTCATACCATTGTACCCCAGCGCCGACGGTCAGGGCTACGTATGCCATGATGGATCAGTCGACGTTCAAACTTCAGGTCGGATGCAAGTACGCGACAGACCTGCCTTGGTACGTTTCGTTGGGAGGTGCTCCTTGGGGCGTAAACTGGGTGTCATATGTAATGTTCTTCATGTTGTGCGTCCATACCACAAATGCACCACGACCCGCACTACGCCCCAGAAAATCGTGTCTATGCAACATACCAATACCCCAGATCAAGACATACACAGGTACAAACGTAGAGCATCACCCACCCCGTGTTCTTAACGACCAACTTGAGATCGTATTGTAGTGCAAAATTGATGGCAGCCTGGATGTCTTGTGGCGTACGAGCATCGACGCCGATAACGGGTACGTTTCCTTGCTCGCAAGAAGCACCAAGAGATGTGTTGAGATAACATGCACTAATGGTGCCGTTCCTGAATATGAAGGACTCAAAGTTCGGAGCTTCCATTGAACCAGGCATCGAAGAACGCCAGCTTCCGTCTACCCACTCTTGAGCAACTTGCGTGCAGTTTCCAGACGGGTCAGTTGCTGGGTAACATGGGGAGGCACTAGGGACGGGATAAATAAGCGGTTGGGAGACCTGTGATTCGAGTTCGGCGAATTGATCTTCAGTTGGCCAACAGGGTTGCCCGAATGTACATAGGCATCCTGTGTTGTTGGAAGATGTCCTGGCGAAGCTCCCTACGACGAGGAGGGACAAGGCGATGAAGACGTCCAACATTACCGTAGCGTTCGATTGCGTCCGAACGACTCTTCGTATTTACCCAGGCTTAAATATGCTCTGCGTGCGGCCTGTGCATGGAATTTCGATCAGTACTTGTTAGCCTCAAGAGTGTTAGACTACAGCACGTTCGGTTTGACGCGATGGAGGCTGCGCAATGCAGCGAGGCTTCTCCGCTTCTCCAATCCTGTGTATGACGGATAGTGAAATCGTCACTCAAGTAAAACCTTCGCCCGGATGCTCAATAGACATTACTGCGTTCAAGGTGCATTTCCAGACTTTGGGGAAGTGAATGTTTATATGGAAAGAAAGCCGGACTGTCGTGCTTGGTTATCCACAACTGCACCATTATGTGAGGTGAAGGGTCACTAGTATCATTTATCATTTAGGTAGTCACTGCGGACGCTGTCGGGCCAAAGTGTTGCTGTATAATTCTGATCGGCCCATTTTCCGCAGTTAACTAATATTACGCCAAAGTGTCCGCGTGTCAAATGGGGTAATCATGGAATGGAGCGAGAGTGCGGACACCGTGACGAATGACTTCCGACTGAGCGAGGAGGTACATGCCTTGGAAGAGGGCAAAGCACCAATCAACGGTACTGAGTATAAACCACGTTGATCAGCCAGTAATACAGTCAACAGTTATCTGATATCCCAGGAGCACCACTCTTCATTTCCATCCGTACGGAACTGGACTGTACAGTGGCCACCTTCCAATCCAATGCAGAGCCCGAGTTCATCTTTCCCTCGCCAACCTTCAATTTCATCTCTCTTGCACTCTGATCTGCCTCATCTTGCCTTCTCTCTTTCCCCACCCATACTGTTGCAAACACAGCGCCGAAAACGGTGATCATGGTGTTGACGAGCACAACACTATTTATTGAGGCAGTGTTGACACCCAGGTAGACGATGATGATTTGGGCGATTGAGAAGAGCGTCGGGATGATGAAGTTGGTGGCAGCAATACGGGAAATCATGCGTAGACGCATTGCGAATGATGCTGTGGAGAATGTAAAAGAGACGTGTCAGTAAGAAGGGAAAAGATACACGACGCCCGGTGAAGGGGCTCACTTCGCGCGGGACGAATGTCACTCGTGACGCCCTGTCTGTTGGAGAGGCGAGTGCGGACGGACCATAGGAACGCTACGGACGCATATCTGGCATAACGTCAGTGTTCATCGAACCAAATGAATGGGAATTTGCAACACACGTATTATCTACAACCTGGGCTGTCCAATCGATCTTCAAGCATGGAGTGGACATCCACAAGGCTGCCATCTTTTCCGCGCCTTGCGGTCCTCTCGATGCATCTGCCATTTGTTTCGTCAGTACAATTAAATTGGTTATGCGAGCAATCTTGAGGATGACAGGGAGTGCGATTAGGAGGGAAAAGCGGGGCAGACCGAGATGTCGCGGTGGGTGGAGGGAGATAAGACGGAGAAGGAGGATGAGGTCGACGAAGATGCATTGAAATATGCCGAGGATGCCTATCGAGATATTCAACTGAGAAAGATGATATGTAAGTTTGGATATTGTGCACTCGTCATCGTCATCCGGCGTAATAACGTACCGCTAGTGGCCATGGGTCCGTCGGGGAAAGGATCGCATGAATCTTGTGTTGGAGGTATTAAGTGAGAACCCGTACTAGGGTGGTGTAAACACATACAGCTAGTGCATCAATCATGATTCCTGCAAAGAAAGCGAGGGCGATGACGGCGACGTTGAGGATGAAGATAGGCGTGCGTCTGGAATATTTATTGGAGAAATAGAACAACGCAATAACAAGTGGAACAAGCAGTGTGGTGAAAGAATGTCCTATCATAAGTGATACGAGCGAGGGATGGATAACATCCGCTTCGATGGGGTCGAGCACCGTCGAAGGACTGGCAGACATGGTGGAAGAACTTGGTAGGGGTGCAGCGACTGCGGTGGGACGTGTCGCCCAAGATTTATCTTCATATACACGGAGGTGGCGGTGATTCAACCGGCAAGGCACTGAGGGAAAATCGGCGAGATGGACTTGGATCAACAAGCCGGGAAGGCATTCCGGATATTTAGTATCCCCTGTCTACCCAGTCTTAGTACAGCTCACCTTGTCTCCACACTTTTGTATTGTAGCCACGCCTGTAACTTGGATAGCAGCGAGCTACGGCATCATATCTCATGTTGCCTGCATGACCTCGTGGTTTCTCACCCCATGGAGACCGAATGTTCGCAGCTGATGACCGCCCATTTTTTTCTCGAACCCTACCAAGGAGTGGCTTCTATTGTCACTGATCCAAATTATTGTATGGACTCTATTAGCACTGCCCTCGTCGGAGGCATTTCCTTCTTGATGAAATTTTTTTCCTCTACGATAGACGCCCAAATGTCAATGAGTCCGAAGAGCAAAGACCGCGGATAGCGTGATCAGTGTAAGGCCCAAAAATGCAATCTTACTGCCTCAGGAACCCACCTTCATATGTTCATACCATTCATCCATCTTTAGCGCTGTAAGGACCTCGACTCTCCAGCATATCAACAGACCTCACCGCAGGATCTCTAACCTACGTTTGTCGACATCGGAGAAGGCTTTGTAAGTTTGTATCGATGGTCGTACGGGAGGATTCTCAGTAGACATGTGAGCTCGCAGGATCAGTCGATCACATTTGTCATTCATGGAAAGGTACGATAGGAAGTGGGCGAGGTCGAGTGAAGGCGACGACCGGTCGGACTTAGGGGAAACCTCCTTTGTTCTGGCTTGTGGAAAGGAGCAGCCCGGTACGTCTTGGATAGGACGGACTATGGTTGACGGCGGATTGCATTACATTAGCCTTACGTACAACAGACGCTTGAAGCAAGATAGCACATGGTATGGGCAAGACCAGTGCATGAATCCCGAAACTATGTAACAAGCGCTGAAATTGAATTACAAGGGAAGGTCATGTGCTGATTGATCGTGCACGCAGCCAATCGATACTACTGATTGGATGTCCGAATTACGCCGGTCATACAATGCATAATCATACATACTAGGGCAAGGCTATCGGGCAGATTGCAGGACCGAAAAAGGACTCAAAAGACTAACTCAGTGGTTTGTAAGTAGCAGGGGCCCGGCTTCGTGAGAGCACAAGCAAGATTGTAGAGGTACACCACATTCGGGATGCCCTGATGAACAGAGCTCAAGTTCTGCACATTCAAGCTTGATGAATTCGTCCAGGTCGGCATCTACCTTCTGTTTGTCGTATCTATTTGAAAGACAGACAACGAGCGAGCGAAGCGGTGAAGACCAATCAGAATGTTCAGAGGGGAGTAGTTCTAGCGCTGCGCGATGCAGTTCAATATTCTCCTCCAAGTTCTGTATCATGGTTTGTTTCTGGAACTTCTTTGAGGCTACAAGCGAGGATGTGGAGACATGCGCCACGATCAACGTGCCCTGGTGGACAGAGCTCTAGTGCTGCACGTCCGAGCATGACAGCTTCTTCAAAGTCGGCGCCCACCCCCTGATTATCATGTTTGCTCGACAAACAGAGAGCAAGTAAGCCAAGTGAGAAGGGCCGATTGCAATTTCCGAATGGTCAAAGTATAATTCAGAGTAGCACGGAGTAAAGCGATTGCCTCGCCCACGTTATTTATTTCCCTATCTTTCTGGAATCTGTCACAGAGGGCCCTCGCCAAGTTGAAGAGGGCATGATGCAGGTCGTTATGCCACGGTAGACAACGCTTCGGCTTTACTCGCGTGTGGGAAAGGTCGACTGTGGAATCCATTGGATCCTGGAAGATATACAAGGTAGAAATAGCTGCATCTTCAGGGCAGGTTCAATAACCAGCACCAATGACACAGGAACAACGGAACCGTATGTTATCCTTGGACGCGAGATAGAAATGGGGTTGGATAATCTTGAATGTCAGAACGCTACCTGAATCAGCGAATTAAGCTAATTAACCGGCGTGAAAGAAGGCACAGGTAAAGACAACGGAGCATATGGCAGACATCTTTCGGTATTGGTAGGAACAAACGTAGGCATGACCACGCGGAATTCAATGCATGTAACACAAGGATGGACGCATGGGGTCTTCACTGTTAGATGCAGAAAGTGCAAGTCGGTTGGGGAGCGGAGAGGAAATTGGGCCGTATCGCTACGCTGCACCAGTTACGCAGATCAAAGAACTGGGAAGATGCCCGGTCAACACAGTTGGGGGTGCCAAGTGAGAGCGGACAGGAGGGACCTCTACCTGGACACGTTTCCATGGCATGTCTGACCCCTCCATATGGTAGTCTCGTCACTAGTCCCCCTTCTTCGCATGGGTTGATTCGAGGAGGGATATGATACGCGATGCCGCTGTCGACGTTAGGGCCTCCTGACAGATCTGTGTGATGTACACTGCTGCTGCTGGTCTGGCAAGCAAGGATGACGCAAGAAGACGACGGCACAACTTTGCTTACCGCGCCAGGTGCCTAATTATGATTATCGTTCGCCCGGCTGGATTGCAGTTCCCACTGCACGCGTGGCTGGCTACGTGCTGTCTCGTCCATCAGTGAACGAGCAAATACTGCCTGCCATGGCACTGGGTACTTGGCCAGTGAAATGAGTGGGATTTGGCTAACTGCAGGTTCTGGCGGCATGATAGTCGCATTCGCAGCCTCAATGAAGTTTTTTATGTAGACCACGGGCATCGCAGCAACCTGAGAGCGTGTTCACCTGCCTGTCGTGCCCGACAATGAGAAACCTATGTGGTGTTGATGGGGGGACGTGCTAACCTCATCTGAGCTAGAACGGCTCTTTGGTGTATGCGCATCCGCTCGTGCCCGACTGAAAGATTCAACGAAACGAGAAACTCGCACATCCAGGCATGAGCTCTCCGCCTCCTCCGCATTGACACCTTCATGCGGATCCATGCCCCCTATTGTCATCCTACTATTTCACCGCATCCTTGGTATGTAATGCACACCCATGATCCCGTCATATGGACATCCCTCTCACCTTTATTAATGCCAGAAAACGCTTTCAGATTTCGAACGTGAATGTCTGCTGGGTAGAGAAGGAGCTCAGGACGGGGGCATCGATGAAGAAGAGGCAGGAAAGGAGCAAAGAAGAAGAAAGAGGGGGAAGTTGGCAGATAGGTCTGATATTCTGGCAAGCCGAAGGTTGGCCCGCCGAGCGGAGGCAACGGGCATAGAGCCCGGAAGGGGCTACGCGAGTGTTTCGAAATTCGAGCGGTGGATAAAGAGTCGACAAGCGGACAAGGAAGGTCACTTTCATTTCCATTCATAATGTAAGCCCTGCGCTGCTCGATGAACACCTGTATATCCGTGGTCAGGCCTCCATGGCATACACCGTTGACGGCATATCGGCGTATGCATAGGTCCACTCTACATAGGGCCATCGTCGGCACGTGTTCGGTCACTTCGGAACAATGGCGTGCTTCAGCGACAGAGGTGCAAAAAAACCCGAGGTGAATTTGGGAGAGGAAGGTGGTTCCCAACCTTCTAGCGGGTGTCTTCACACTTTGAGGAAAGCCTTCGAATGGAGTGTTAAGTCCCGGAAGTATCCCTCTCTTCTGCCTCCTATACGTATCAGGTTAGACACGTAGCTCACCCGTGGTAAGATTCCAAGGCCTCGAGTATGAGAACGGGTGGACTGCCCTCCGGAAGAGCATCACTCTATTGCTCACTTTTTCACGGGCTCGTGAACTAGCCCAGGGCGTAGTCGACAGCCTTCTTAAGGGTATGATTGTGACGCCATGGCCAGCTGTATCTTACTCAAGACTAACTTTATGAACTCACTCCTCTCGACGAGCTTCGCAGGATGCTTTGTGGTAAGCAGTAGCTCTATGACGATGCCCGGTAAGTGCGCCTCAGGCCAAGGGAGACGAACTCAAAATGACAAATCACTGGTCACTGACAAAACAAACGGTCATTATGATGACACTTCCAGAGGCTATAGACAATGGGGTCTAGTACGTCTCCCCGCCCCGACGCCTTAATTCCCAGGTTGTACTTCAAACACGGCTACACAGTGAATAAGTATCATTTCACAAGAACTCGAAATAGGATCACCCTTACCATGCAACGCATCTGATTTATTGTATTCCGGACAGGGCAGCCAGATGCCTGGAATCTCATGTTCTCCTTGACTCCAGGACGCCGAGTTGGGAGAAGACATAGGACAGCTGAAGTTCATCTGCACCTTGTGCTCGGTACTTCCGATTCGGTACTTCACCATACCCTCTGCTCCAGGACCAACTGGAATAACAAACGTGAGCAGCTCAGCATGGAGATGCCAGTTGGAGAACGAACGGAATAAGTCTTTGAGCCAAAACTTGATATTGCTCTTCTGGCTCACGGTTTCCGCAGGGCGGGTCTTCCATTCACCGTGTTTCTCTTGAGCGTAGACGAGCACAAGCTCGTGGTCGGTCCCATTGTGGAGCGTGATGTAGCAAGAGCAGTCTTGCGTGACTCCGAGTCCCTCCGTGGTTTCGTTTGATGAGGGAAGCTGGCCAGTAAGACCATGGTCGGCTACGTTGGTTGCGAGTTCCTTCTGTTCATCTGCCATGTTCGGATGTAGGGGAAGTTGGCAAGTTACACCTGTTGTCCAGAGGCCTTTTAAACTTCTACCAGAAGAACCTCCTCAGACGGTCATGCACAGGACCCGGCATGATTTTGTAGCACTGACAGCAGTATTGTACCTCGTCTGCGTCGTTGATAGGAAGATTGTACCTCGGGCCTGGGCAGCGTTCCAGACATTCAGTAGAAATGACATCCTAAATGATAGCATGTGGAAATATGTAATGGAAGCAATCATCAGTTGCACTCGCCTGTCTGTCGATGTTTATCTGCTCGGACGAGAGAGCCTGAAGAGAACCAGAACAAGCTTTTCTGCGTTGTCCTCATGTTCCCTGTGGATTAGATGGTGATACATGTTGTGAAAGCCAAATCACCTTGCTTACAATCACAAGGTCACAAGGTCACTCCACCCCGAAATTCGTAACGTTTTTTTGGTCAGCCGCGATTATCATATTTTGGGTCTCAGCACTGTACTTCGCTGCTCCGCAACTCCGAAGTACCGCCATGTGCAATGTCACAAGCCTGACGCCCTCGGATTTACAGGGTGAACGAGCTTGATTTCGTCAGACAGTCCAGCACGTTCCTGTCTGTTGCTTTGCGTACGGGCGCAAGTGCGGTAAACGAGGTGCCTGCCGTGCAAAACGGCCTTATTCTAGTTCGTTACGTCGCTCTGAAATGTTTGTTCTAGATTGTTGCTTTGACAGTGGTAAATATTGTGCCTAAGCGGATTACGCTCTACCACTATGTAGGCCACCGGTGTGCGGATCTGATAACCCCGTTTCATAAGGCAACCTTAAAGGTACTGCACCTGGCACTACCTACCGTTGAAGCGCTGAACCCTTTGCAACTAGCCCCGAAATTTGTGGTATTCAAATCATTTTTGCTGTTGGGACTCCGTCTGGTTTTCCCATGTCAAGATTGGTTGTTGAGGTAAATGAATTGTGCGTTCACCATGTCTCTTGTAAATTCGTGCTGACATGCTTTTCTCATGCACCTAGGTACAGAAGACTTGCACTCGGAGATTAGCCTTCTCCAGCTTGCTATCGAGACATGGCCAACGGGGAGCATTTTGTAATAGGTTACTGCACTCCTCTACACTCCTGGCTCGGTCATCGCTCAGCTTGCACCGGCACTCTGGATGACCGCGACTCTCTGGGCTGACTATCATTCCAACACAACTGCAGACCGGTCTCCATACCACGCGACATAGTATTCTTGCGCTTGTTGCCCTTCCAAAGGTGCTATTCGGACATATGAGAGAGTCTCCAACGTCGGGTGAATTGTACAGAAGAGTAAGAGTGAAGTCTTGGATCATTTCATACACACCGGAGGTAACCGTCGTGCGGGATATGGATATGCTGGGTGATTTTTGAGTGAGATATTAACGATTTCATTCTTGATTGCTCGTGCATCTGGACCCTTATTTTTTTCGTCCAAGCAGATAAACATCGACAGACAGGCGAGTGCAACTGATGATTGCTTCCATTACATATTTCCACATGCTATCATTTAGGATGTCATTTCTACTGAATGTCTGGAACGCTGCCCAGGCCCGAGGTACAATCTTCCTATCAACGACGCAGACGAGGTACAATACTGCTGTCAGTGCTACAAAATCATGCCGGGTCCTGTGCATGACCGTCTGAGGAGGTTCTTCTGGTAGAAGTTTAAAAGGCCTCTGGACAACAGGTGTAACTTGCCAACTTCCCCTACATCCGAACATGGCAGATGAACAGAAGGAACTCGCAACCAACGTAGCCGACCATGGTCTTACTGGCCAGCTTCCCTCATCAAACGAAACCACGGAGGGACTCGGAGTCACGCAAGACTGCTCTTGCTACATCACGCTCCACAATGGGACCGACCACGAGCTTGTGCTCGTCTACGCTCAAGAGAAACACGGTGAATGGAAGACCCGCCCTGCGGAAACCGTGAGCCAGAAGAGCAATATCAAGTTTTGGCTCAAAGACTTATTCCGTTCGTTCTCCAACTGGCATCTCCATGCTGAGCTGCTCACGTTTGTTATTCCAGTTGGTCCTGGAGCAGAGGGTATGGTGAAGTACCGAATCGGAAGTACCGAGCACAAGGTGCAGATGAACTTCAGCTGTCCTATGTCTTCTCCCAACTCGGCGTCCTGGAGTCAAGGAGAACATGAGATTCCAGGCATCTGGCTGCCCTGTCCGGAATACAATAAATCAGATGCGTTGCATGGTAAGGGTGATCCTATTTCGAGTTCTTGTGAAATGATACTTATTCACTGTGTAGCCGTGTTTGAAGTACAACCTGGGAATTAAGGCGTCGGGGCGGGGAGACGTACTAGACCCCATTGTCTATAGCCTCTGGAAGTGTCATCATAATGACCGTTTGTTTTGTCAGTGACCAGTGATTTGTCATTTTGAGTTCGTCTCCCTTGGCCTGAGGCGCACTTACCGGGCATCGTCATAGAGCTACTGCTTAATATCAAGTATCTTGCGAAGCTAGCCTAGCAGTGAGACTGTTCATCATCCATAGTGAACGGGGTTCACCGCAGCTCATAACGTCGGTCATGAGGTGCAACGAATGGGATGTGGTATCTGCATACTATGAAGTCGCATTTGCGCCCTCAAAGAAGGTTTCCAACGATGCTAACTCTGACATGTCCTGAACGAGGCTGAAACGAACCCTGAACGCATTCCTAGTGGTGCATTCGTTATCCAATACGGTCATCACAGAAACATGTCCAATTGCAGGCTGCTACCTGCATAACTTGCGTAAGCGTGCAACATGAACGAACGCCAAGGGCCGCCCACGCTGGCCAGAACAGACCGGACCAGTTAGGGGGAGATTGGAGGACCGCTCAGTGTGTGGCGATTCCTTGATATCTAAGTTTCTGTGCATGTTGCTCATTGCTAGCCTTTCTGGCTCACAATGCCCTCTGATGCCCTACGATGATGCAGTGAGGTTGTGGGACGATACAAGCGAGGTCCCAGCGTGATCAAATGGACTTCGTGATGGCCGGAAATTCGCAGAGGCGACCGTACGGTATCATAAGGTGCTTGCAAGCTATTCGCCAAGCCCACATACCTCCAACCTCCATATACTCGGGTCCTGTCACTTGGGTGGGAGCATTCCCTCTGCCATTGACCTCGTAAATTGCGCTTGGGTTGGTTCGAAGATCTGTTGCGACCATTCCATGTACCCGCGCGTTTGTCATGGGTGATGAAAACTACGCTTTCAGCATGCTAGTCAGAAACGCCATCAGAGGCAGCGTACGCGTGATAACCGGATGCATATACAACACCGACTAGCATCGGGCTCCCACTTTTTTTCCCCTATGGATCAGTCGCGCCACTCGTCGCGCATGCTGCACGATAGATCGTTGGCCATGGATGTCACCAACTTGCATAGCATCTACATACCGTGACGCGTTGTCGACACTGTGCAAGAGGTCAGTTAGACTTTGTACGAAGTGAAGGGTTAGGGAATTCGATCCAACGTTAGGTCCGATCAAGTTATGCTGTTCGAACTACACTGCTAAGCCTACTCGCATGCACCCAGGACAGCACAGACCTGTCAACCGAATGATAAGCGGTCATCCGGCACGCCGGAGTCAATCGGCGATGGGAGACCAGCCGCAATGATATTCGGCTGTGTTGCGTTGTTCCAATCATGATGTGGTACATACTCGTCGCCCACGCATTACTCGCGCTCCCTGCATCCTTTCCTTCTGACTACTCTGCGTCTTGTTCGTGGCCTCAACCGCAGTGGCCGGGCTACTTTGACTTCGAAGTTGGAATCAACCGAGGGAGTCTTCACCTTCCCACTCGGAGAATACTAGTCTAGCCATCGGCATCCACGTGTGACACTTTGACTCCCTTGGCATGTTCTGTCAAGGATGTCTATAAGACACCCGTATGCTTCCCCGCCTTCGAGTTACCTCTATGCCAATGTGGTGAGCAAGTTTCGTACCCGAAGCCGAATCACAGCTGACTGATATCCTCCGGGAACGCATGGGCTATAGCCATATTACGACGAGCGCACCATAAACCAGTACCGAAGCACACAGATTAACGGCACTACCGCCCGCCATAATCACTATTACTACTATTATAGACCGCCTTCGTCCCAACTTCGCAGCTTTGTCCCTGTGAGCTATACCCCTTTTCCCTTGGTTGGGTCTCACATAAGAGTGGCCAGAGCTTGTCATCGGATTCTCTGCCATCCGGGATTCCCACGTCGAGAGACGACACCGCGGGTGGTTCAAATGCGGACTCAAATCTCGGGTTTTCTGGACATTATCCCAATCGAAAGTATCCACCACAGACATCTCACATCGGTATTAGCGTGAGTACGGGCGGGCCATTCACATGCACCTTAAGGGTCACTAACCTGGTTTTCGCTTCATCTCCTCAGGGTCGGGTACGGATAATCCTGAAGGATTTTGGAGAGTCCATGAGGACTAGACGTCTCTGGGGAGCCTCTCCACGCAACCCTTATGTTTCCCGCGTGCATATTCGCGCCCCTGCCCTGCTGTGCTGTTGCGACGTGCGAATCGATGATTATGAACGCTCAGCCGTCTGAACATGTCTGACCAGATGTCTGTAATCTTTTACCTCATCTAAAGTTTTTGACTGACACGTACTCGTGGACAGCAGTCCCCCGTTCTTCGCGCTCTGACTTACGACCCAATGATGCATCCCGTATCCAGTACCAACTATGTATGTCCACCCGCCTTCCGTATCGTACCTGCTACATAAGTTATGCCTCGTCTTGGCAAGTTTCCTTTATAGAATTATCATGCAATCTTACTTGTTGCATTTCCTTAGTTGTTATTGACCCGCGCTATATGAGTGACGTCCTGTGGTAAAAATATTATTTGGTACGCATTCTGTTATTTAGCACTGTTGCGGCCCTCCCAAGTTGGAGCCACCGACGACCTAATATATAGAGTTTCACGGACGCCAGTATAACGAGAATAGAGGACCACACAAGATAACCAAATGCGAAGCTGTTTAGTCTATTCGGGATGTCCCAGTGCATGTAAAAATGCATGATTCCATATATTTGGCTTCGGGTCTTTTCCCCACAGCTTGAGCCACCACGCACTGATGTCAGGAATTGCAGAATTATGTCCGTCGAGATGCCAGATTTGTTACGAATGAGCCAGTTCCGTTTCCCAATCTTTCCATTGGAGTGGTCTCAGATTGCTTAGGCCAGTGTCGGCGTCCCGACAATACCGCGAGGGCACTGCAGAAGTAGATTCATCTTGATAGCATCTGTGATTATGCGATGCGCCCATTTCTTTATGTCAGCCTCGCCTGTGCCAGTCTCGTGTTTGGGGTATACGGCCCATAAAGTCTCCTCGAATGTCCGATAGCAGAGGGTCAAGTCTAAGCATGCCGTAGGGCGAGCTTCTTGGTCGGGTCTAACCGCCCAACCCCTTATGCTGGCCTACCATGCGACACTTACGACCGGTCGATCTATTGTGCCATGTCGTGGAACAACGAGCACGGTAAGTGACTTACGAGCGATCCTAGTTAATTGAAAATATATATTTGGACGCGCGCGCCGTCTCCGGTTTGCGGAAGCCATGATCTGAACCGCAGTTTTCACCCACCGCAAACGCTCCATCGGACCTGTAAGATCAAGGACTTCAATTTAACGATTTGAGATAGCGACGAACGCTCACGCTGGGATCTGATAGAAACACGGAGCTGGGTTTGTGCGAAACGAATGATTGATGATTGGTCACGACTCTGATTCTGATTTATGTTACCTTGATTAGACTTGTCTAATTTTTCCTCACGTTTCTTGTATATCCTTTCATCGTCCCGTCTTGGAGGCGAATTGACTGTCGTTTCCTAGTCGATACCGTTTTCCTACGTACGTATCGTTCCGCTTGGTGGCCTCGAGAGTCGATAGGGACACTCATGGACACAGCGCAAGTCCGATTTCGCGAGTCCAGCTTCGAGCTATGGTCAATTGATAACATTTGCCTTCGTCCACTCCCAATAACGGGATGAACGTTGCGGTGAAAGACTTTTACCACACTGCTTGCCCAACGGCACTTATCTTCCCATTCAGAATTCAGCATCGGCTGGCAAGCGTGGTGATGAGATATATTCCGAAATTTCCTTGACGTCGGAAGTGATCAGTCGAGCACTCGGCCCCGTCTCCGAGCCGCGTAATGACGTCTAGAAACTTGTTGATGACGGAGGTACGGACTCATACATCCTCGCGTGTACGACAAAGGTACCCTGAATGTCAATGCCTAGTACTATACAAGAAGTTTGCAGCTGCTTACCGGAGGGCTGGGGAGCTCATGAACTCGATCATAATAACAAGAAGACAATCATGTCTTCTCTTCATGACGCGGCATCAAACATCCAAGATCTAGGGTTTCGTGAATGTACGCGTCGGCCTCGCGACTTGGCGGGACACTAAACGCATGAGTCATGCATTGATGTAATCTTGGTCACCTGGCACCCAACAATGGAACTTGCATGATCACCAGGAAGGAAATATGATGTTACCGATGATGACATTACGCCAGCACTCAGGCCTCGTTAGACTGAAACCCATAAAAGCGTCTGTTTTAGGGTCCCCCGCATGCTAGCAAGCCTACTCGCAAGGCACTTTCAGCGTCGGATATGGCACCCATCGGAAAACTCTACGGTCACCCTCGCCAGCCCCAAACAAAAGCTGTAGGATCCCTGTCATGTTACCCAGGTCATACACTGAGATATCTTTTGAATGGGGTACATTAGATCCTGAGCGCAGCCACTATCTCAGGCCTCGAGATTGAACAGGTACCTTTCGAATGGGGAGTCACGAACAAATCGCCCGAGTGGATTCAAAAGTTTCCCCTGGGCAAGATCCCCACTTTCGAGGATAACGAGGGGTTTAGGCTGATTGAAGGCGTGGTGATCGCCCGCTATGGTCAGTTAAGGAAATTTTCAGGAGATACCAAGGAAGGAGGATCGTTACTGACCGCGTTATCAGTGAGTTCGCTCGTCCCTGAGGCCGGCCTCCTCGGTCACAACAGGAAGGAAACGGCCCAGGTGGACCAGTGGATCCACTTCGCGGAGACGGAAATCTTAATCCCAGCAAGTTTCATATACGGCGGTATTGTTGCGAAGTTTTTCCTGGGATATAACGATGAGGTACGCCTACCTTTTCCCTGTTTTTCTTTGTCACGGTTCAGTCCCCGCGGCTGTGACTCACTTTTTCCCTGATCGTAGCAACATAAATTCTATCAGGAGCGCCTTGAACGTTCCCTCAAATTCCTGGAAGGCTACCTGGCTTCGCGTTCTTCTGGCCTGCTTGTGAAAGACATCTTGACACTCGGAGATATCGTCCTTGCCACGGCCGTGGAACGTGCAGGCCAGACGATCTGCGGGATCAAGGAGCGCGAACAGGTGTACACTCACACCTTCGCTCATTTCGCAAAAGTCACAAACGACGAGAGAATCAAGCACCTATTCGGAGAGCCTGGATTCGTCGACAAACCTCTTGTCTTCAAGGGGGATTGAGGGCGAACTCGACAATGGTGTCAGTGGTCACAGGCCCTGGGCAGAAGATATCGGCGACGTGTCAGCAGCTTTCTTGTATTTGTACTCATTGGCTGGCAATTTATCGGGCATGATTCCCGTCGCGAGAAAAGCATGTGAAAAACCGAAGAGCTTCCGGTACTACAACACTCACTGCAATCGGGAGAAAACGGCTAGCTTCCGTCGGGTCTTTGGTTTGACTAGGGGAGACTAACCCATTACTGAGTCGGTCGATCTACTATGCCATACTACGAGTGATGCACAACGAGCGTGGCGGATAAAAAAAGTGCATGCGCAACCCGAGTAAATAACGTATATACATTCGGTCTTCCCTTTAGGCGTGCGCCGTCGCCACCTCAGAGGCAGTCTTCGGCTCGCTGAAACCATAGTTTTCACCCACGGCGAACGCACGTGTACATTGAGCCATCGTAACAGACCTAATCACACCTCACAGTCAGAGCGAGTCCCAGTACAAATTAGGAAGTAGGATAAGGCACTCACGCTCGAGAGATAGGGTCTGTCTGATAGAAGTTAGAGACGGGCTTCGTGAATGGCTTGCCTGTCGCTTTAGCGGCTGAAGTCGCCTCGGCGAGAGTCTTCAACCCAGACAGTGCAAGATCCGCAGAAGTCCGTTCCGTCACGTCATATCTTACCAGAGTGGGTGAGATCTCCCACATACGGTCTCTCAACGTCAGTACGTCATCGTAGGGCAAAGGGGTACCAAGGACTTCTGAAAGAGCGCTGTTGGCACATTAGGCACATCATCAGCCACGCACACCCATAGCAATACTAAAGCATCACGACATACCGAATAATCTTCCAATCTTCCCTCGAAGCACCTGGTGGTGGCACCGCAGCCCGTCCCAACTGTGCACGACCTTCGGTATTTACCCACGTCGTGGATTTCTCCGTGTAGGCTGCACCAGGCAAGCATACATCCGCCAACGATGCTCCCAAGTCGCCGTGATGGCCCTGGTAGACGACGAATGCATCACTAGGAATAGATTTGGGGTCTACTTCGTCTGCATTCAAGAGATATATGAATTTGGGCTTCGTCGTAGAAGCCTTCTTCGAGGGTACGAATCCGATTTCATACGCGGCAGGTCTAGATGCAACCTGGAAGACGTCATAGTCAGCTACATCCCATTCAACCCACATACACAACCCACTCTGTGAAGTACAGAGAACCCATTCCAGTCAGGGGTAACGAACGTGTTCTTGTTCTTCTCCACGAACTTTGCAAGGGCATTATAAGCAGCAGCACCATCAGGATGTTCAGCAAGTGCGCTTCCAACAATAATCAGTGGTTTTTTTGCAGATTTGAATTTCGCTGCAAAGGGCCCCTTGCCAGCTATGAATTCAGCAAGGGCTTTAGCATCGGGACCTAGGTATTCGTAACCATAGGCAGTATCCACACGTTCACCGATAAGACCAACTTCTAGAGGGGTATGTAGCCAGCTCTTCCTTATGCGAGAATTGAGAACAGCAGCCTCGTGGCGGGGGTTCGTACCGACGAGTAAGATTAGGTCCGCCTCTTCCAAACCAGGAATCGTGCTACTGAAAAGGTAATTCGAGCGCACGTCAACACCGTGTACTGGAGGAGCATTGCCGTTGGGCTGGTCGAGAGCAAAGTTGTCCGAGCCTAGCCGGTTGAGGAGGTCTTTCAGAGCAACGAGTGATTCCGTGTCTGCCAAGTGACCAGCGACAGCCTGAATCTCATCGTCCTTCGCTCCAGACGAAGCCAAACCGTCTGCTATAGCCTGCAGAGCTTCCTCCCACGTCGCAGGCACAAAGCGTTCGCCCCGCTTGATGAGCGGAGTCGTCAACCTCTGGAACCTCAACCCATCGTACGCATAACGCGTCTTGTCGCTGATCCACTCTTCATTGACGTCGTCGTTCGTGCGAGGCTGTATCCGCATGACCTGGACACCCCGAGAATCGACACGGATGTTAGAGCCGAGCGCGTCCATGACGTCGATCGACTCCGTATTTTTCAACTCCCATGGGCGTGCATGGAAGGCGTAAGGCTTGCTGGTCAATGCACCGACTGGACACAGGTCGACGACGTTGCCTGACAACTCAGAGTCCATGGTCTTCTCCACATACATTCCAATCTGCAAATCGTTTCCTCGACCGGTCGTTCCCAGCTCTTCGACACCAGCAACCTCATTCGCAAAACGGACGCAACGTGTACACTGGATACAGCGATTCATCGAGGTCTTCACAAGAGGGCCCAGGTCCTTGTCTTCGACGGCTCGTTTACCAGTAATCTCGTGGAAACGCGTACGGTCCGAGCCATAGCGCATGGCCTGATCTTGCAAGTCACATTCACCACCTTGGTCACAGATCGGACAATCGAGTGGGTGGTTTGCAAGGAGGAATTCCATGACGCCCTCACTGCAAGATATTGGCCGGGTGAACAGAAGTCTGCCTGGAGACTACCTACCGAGCTTCGTGAACCAGCGGCGTGTTTGTCCAGACCTTGGAACCAGGCATGGCAGGCATGGCGCTGGTGGCTGTAAGAAGGCACACGTCGCTTGACTCCGGAAATATACTTACCATGATGCGACGGGCTTCGGGGACCGCTCCACTTCCACCAGACACATACTACCACAAGCTGAGGAAATTGACGGCTTGTTCGGCGCAAACGTAAACTCACCGGCAGTTACCAGCAATAGCAAGTCTTCATCAACAACGCAAAATCAGCTTCATGCGAAAGATTACGAGGGATAGAAATAAACCAACCTGTCGTGGTAGCAAAATCTAGACTGAGGTCAATGTGATGTACAAGAACAAGAACCAACAAGAATTCTCTGCTCACCGAGGTATAACCGCACCAGCAGCTTCGCATGCCTGAATCAAGGCAGTACCTGTCGCATCTTCTTGAAAACCCGTGACCAAATGGAAAGCGTGAGCAGACTCACCCTGTGGAACAGTCACCTCTTTCCCATCCACCGTTAAAGTAATATCCGCCTGACGGGCAGACGTCGATGCTATCGACCGGCGGCCTGCTAAGTTCCGTATGACATGCGAGTAGATTTGGTTTGGTGGTGTTAGAAGCGTGAATTTTCATCAAGCACCCAAAATAATACGTCCGTCAGCAAGTGTCCCTCTTTGTTATTCGACGCAGAGGGAGAATTGCCTCATACCTTTATGTTGAGAAGAACCACCGCGAGCAACCTTTCCGAGTTGCCCCGTCGCAGGCGCACGCCTCGACAACAGCCGTAGCATTACTAGATAGAAAATGACTTTGTGAACACTTGATTGCCGCAGATGTAAAATGCTGCACGATGACGCACTGGTGTATTTACTAGAAAATGGCAACTTCGTGAGTTTGTCGCGGTCGTCGGCGACGAACACCAGACACGGCTATTTTCCGATAGTTTAGGCGGAGATTGAAAATCCCCAGTTTAGTCAGCGGCCAATCACTCTCGACATATTTGATCCCGTTGGCTTCTTCCACTCGGCTCAATCGATTACCTATTACAAGGTGGTGTGTGTGTTCGATTACAATAATATTGTAACAAGCTGTCGTCAAACTATACATATAATGTCGTGAAACCGTGCAAGCGGTACATGCGGAGTAACGGAAGGGCGACGGAACGAAAGCAAACGCACCCGACTGGTCCGATCGTAGCAACGATAGTCATCAAGGGACATAGGTTACCAAGAGAACATTCACAATCAGCTTCTCCAGTTCCCCATTCGAGGCCAAGTAAACCTTTTCTTTCGCCAAAGGTCCAGGCGCCCAATCCGACAAGACGAATATCTCGGCTTCCGAAAGCGGCACAGCACCGCTCTCTTCTACCCTCTGTCGTATGATATCGGTTTGGATCCTCGTCAGTTCTGCTTCGTCTTCTTCTGGGTCACCGTAAAAACTCATCGGTCTCATCGGCGCACTTCGTCTTGATGGCGAGTTGAACGGCAAAACAGAGGAGAAAGACATAATTCCTGCGGCGCTCGTCGGAGAGTCGTTTGTATCATTCCCGCATTCGACCGTACGATCTATTGGCCAAATATAGCCGCCTGCAGCCCAATGAAGCTCCGGTGTAAGTTTGTACGCCTTCAAGGCGTGGTACAGAAGCGAATCGCCTCCTTTCAGCTGCATGCGTCGTTAGCTCGTCACATTTCCACAGCTTGCGCCGAGCCAAGTACACGATGCTGGGGAAAGAGATCACTTACATGAGGAACCAATGACTCGGCTAGCGACTCGGCTGGATTGATATTATAGTCTTGCGTAAGATAAAACGCCACCTTCCGTCCACGAGACAAGCTGAGCACTGGAGACAGGAGGTCAAGGAACCGCTCGCTTGGAGTTATCAGGGGATCCACTGATGGGCCGTAGGTCTTGAGGTGTACGGCAAACGAGATGCTCATGCGACATCCCTGGGTCACGGTCTCGACCTCATACTCGCAGTCGGCTAGGAATGCTGTCCACTCTACTTCGTCTGGCTTGCCGCCAACACCAAAGAACTTTTCTTCGATCCCACCTGCATCGCGAACGACCAGTGCACCATCACAATAGTGCACAGGAAGTGTCACGCAAACGGTGGCCACTCGACCATCGTTGCGAAGTGTCCGCGGTTGAGCAGGCATCCGACATCCATGAAGGACGATCTCGAGCCTGTCTCTGACAGCGACGAGATAGTGGCCAACTGGCAAGTTTGGAAAGAGAGCATTGCGAACGGCTTCTAGAATGGGGTGGTTGGCGATTTCGAGGGTGGCAGTGAGGGGGAGGTTAGGAGGGTAGAAGAGGGAGTCACTGGCACGATCCGGGTACACATTGATGCCTGCTGTCGTATGAGGTCGGCAAGCTGCAACCAGGACGTCTAGAGCCGGTGGGGTGTCGTAATCGACATCGATGGGGAAATCGAGCGAATGGGTAATGCCACCCTAAAATCAACAGGTGAGACCTCGTGTTGACTAGTGGGTTGCGATAATGACCTTACCTTTGAACGAAAGAACAGGACTAGTGCGGTTGGATCGAGTGGGATATGACCCGAGGCAGTGAACGGACGCGCTTTGGCTGCAACCATTCGCGAGATGCTGACACGGAGACTGTTCTCAGCACCATAATCCGACTGCATCCTGCGCACTGCTGGTCTCTTGGATCCACCATTTGATTGTTTTGGAAGTCGCTCGATCTCGAATTCTGGGACACTTCGATTTCTTGAGAATGCCACGCTGTGGCTATCTGAATGTCGACTGCCGTCTGAAAGCCGACTAGCAGCGGACGGTGTAGGGGAACTGAGGATCGATAATGGCAGCATGGGATAAGGCAGAGTAAGACGGAGAGAAAGATTGGAGGAGGTACTGAATCGAGGTTGCTATTTAGCTAAGATGGGTCCGGTGATATTATTACAGCCATGCGATGGGAGGGACATAGTTGGCTATTATGACGGTGGCTGGCTGCCTAATCCATCGAGACAACGTGTTGATACCCGAAAGAAGAAAGACAGGGGACCCATCTCCTTACAGAAGAGAAGGTCGGTGGGACGCATCTCTTCTTTGCACAGCAAGGGTCGCCACCACAATGCAGCTTCAACGTGGCAACGAGGAGAAAAAAAAAGAGACAAGACTATGCGAAACCACCAGACAAAACAATAATCACAGGCACAACAATCGGGTCGGTCAATTCACATTTTAACAACAAGCTTGCAAGCGACTGGCAAAGCACACCATGCATGTAAACACGTGCTGTCAGGGAGACGTGTGCATACAGCACACCACTAGCTGGGTTGAGTGGCACGTAGCTCTCCAGTTGGCAGTGAAACGATATCCTGGCAGTGCCGCAGCCAAGAAATCAGGCGCGCCATTTGTCGTGCGCGTTCAAGCTGTACGGCGCGCGAGCCCGGCATAGACGGGCCAGTTGGCAACCGCTTTTTGATATGAGCGCTCGAACAGGTCTGCATGTGAGGACTGCAGGGTTGAAACGTTGGACATTGAATCAAGATCATCGAGAAAGCGACCCGGATAGTGCGGAAACAATATGACCAAGACACCGCGGAAAGCCATGCCGGAGAGGTTGTCCGTCGGACGACTCGGATATGACTACCTTTCATGAAGAAGACGACGGGGCAAGTGAAGAAGAACGGTAACGTACAGCTGTATTACCCGGGACGGATTCCACCCCTTACGTACCCTATATCTACCTCCATCCGAAGATATCTAATCGGCTGAGCACAAGCGAACGAGATCGTATTACTGTGGACTCGTCCTGACGGAATATCGTATACACCATGGTCCAAGCCGGGGGTGTCTCAAAATCAACGCAGTCCTCGCCAAGTCTGTGACCGTGCAAGTCTTGTAATGCCCGTCTCCATCCCCCAAAGTGCACGGGCACTATGTATGTATACGCACCACCTCAACGCTTGGGAGTTCTGCATTCCTCACTTTCCACCTTAATACAAACCATCCAGCGGTATCGCCTGCATGTTGCCACCGCATGATTAATCCGCCAATCCGTAGCCCTAAACCCAAGAGTCCCCGATCATTGCCTTTCCGTCAAGTCCCAACTTCGTATCATAGTGAACATAGTGACATAGCAGGCATAAGTCACTTATCTCGTCTCATCCTGATAACACTTATATTCAAATTACCACTTCTACCACTCGCGAGATCATTCTCCTAGTTAGTATTAGGCAAAAAAGATCCCCTAAACCGCTCGGAACGCCTGTTCCAGGATCACGTTTCTGATACACGTGTGGTGATTTCGAAATGTTCGTGACTGCGACAACGACCAGTCACTGGTTTCATTTGGCCAGGGCGGCAGAAAGCCAATTCACAGCAGGTATAACCGCAACGATGTCGATGGGTCTGCCGTTTCCATTGTGCTCGAACACACACCATAACCACTTCGTGTTGTGAGGTGGATACCTTCCAGGTCACATCTCGACTCAGCTCGACTCCTGCGGAAAGATAGTTGCTACTGGTTCCGATAGGCTATGCGCACAGTCGTCCTTATATAGATAAGACGAGGGAAACCGTTAGAGAAAGTCGTTATCTGGCAATCACCGGGACATGGTTCAACTTTTGACAGTGTGAGACTGTCGGCAATTGGTTTGGACTGTCCCATATGCTATCGGCAATGGCCGTCGGAAGAGAAGTTTCCGTGGCAGCCTGACCCTGAGCTGACGGGGGCAGTTGACAATGTGTCTACTATGCAATGCCTAGAACTGGGCGCGGGATGGCCAAAGTGTCATGCGGATATGGTTGGATCGTGATCCTAACAACTCACAACGGGAGTCCACGGTGATAATCACCATTGGTATTGGTCCAGCACATAAACGTTTGTCCGACCGTCCCCGATGTTCCTTCCAAGCATCAAACAAATTCAACAAGATTAGACATTCGCACCTGGTACTACTTGTGGTGACAGTACGACCCAATCAGGCTCAAAAGGCATTCCTCATACCTCGGATGACGATTGTGTAAGTTAGATCGGGATCGTTCTTCTGACCACCGAAGATTTCCGTGCATTCGAAAGGAATGCGACACGAAAAAAGCATGGGAAATAGTACTGTGAGTTAGGCTACCATGCTGTGGCTTGCAGGGCGCCATCCTCGGCATGCCATGGCACGCGTTCCTATTCAATGCGCCAAGGTTCCCTGTGGGAGAGGGTTTTGTCGGTTGAAAAAAGTGCATTTTGTACAGGATTTACTATACGCTGCCACGGTCTACCTCGCTTACATAGTCTGGACGGACCGGAGACCGGGATCGGGTCCCGGCCCGGACCTGCTTGTGATCACGCAGTCCCCTAGAGTCCAAATAACTCGATTTACCCGTGACAGAAATCGGAATAATAGAAAGATACAGATTGGTTCGATGGCTGGTCAAAGAACAGCAGATGACTTCCATGAAAGTGTACGTATAGCTAAGGCCAACGCATGATTTGTTTTATTCTCCCGCCGATCCTCCGCGTCAGAGCGGCATTGGCCCCTTGGCGAGTTGCCATCTCGGAGGCCAGCCACTTGATGTCGCCATCGACTGTTCCACTCTGCAGCCTGAAGGCGCGGTAATTCGTGATTTGGGGGTTCGGTTGGGTAGCTGGCGAAGGGAATTGTTTTCTTCGCCTGATTAAGGGTACGTGCAATGCGGAAAATATTTCGCTGATCATTGACGAAGGAGGCCTGTGGCGAATATGGCATCATTCGACGTGTATCAGTGCAGTAATCCAGCTTCGTGGCACTTACGAGATCGATATATTGTCCGATCGGTGTCTGCATCCAGTTGCCATCCTCCATGATGAGGGTAACGACGTGCTGGACCTCGAAGAAGTGATCGCGTTCGATAGGCGGAGTCTGCACTGGTTGCACAATATCTTGGCCTACGTTGGGTCGATCTGCCGCTCGTAAGATGCTGTTAAGCCAAGCCTGGAGGAAGTCATCATCATTGACTAATGTTGCCTGATCCAGGGTGCCTAAGGGTAGACTGGTTAGAATCATAACCACGTCAAGAGGGTTCGACTGCTTACGATTATCAGAACTCATGGCTGATATAACTGGGGGCGTAATCGTAGACATTTAGAGATGCTTTGGGTTGCGCACGCAAGGTTAGTTGGCAGAGCATCCTCTTATATACTCGGAGCCATATCATCACGAAGCCCACAGCAGCCACGGGGTTGCGGTAAGAGTGACTTCAGGGGCTACCAAGGTCTCGATGACCTATCACTGGCCCGCCGTCGCTTTCAAATGTGCAAAGTGCGGAGAACGAACCTAAACGTTAGACTACCCATGGCTGGTAGCCCACCCGATCGGTCATAGACGCTGGAGAAACTCCAGAAGGTTCTCTCCGAGCCTACTAATAGCGTGACACGGGGGCTGATTCTGATCCGAAGTTTTCGAACATTTGCAATAAACACCGGGGCAAAGACTTGAATAGTTGAATGTGAGGAAGATCAATTGTCTGTCCAGCGTCCAGAGGGCATGTACAAAGAGAATTCCAGAGGGCGAGTGAAAACATACCGTCGTGTTCTGTGCTGTACAGCCCGTGTTCAATCTTATGGTAGTTTGCTTGTAACTGTCTGTGATGCTGGAGTGAATGTTTCTTTCATCACGAGCTGTTTCGGAAGTCCATGTCATACACATATGCTCTATTCGTCTCAACGACAGAGTCGGGGACTGTGGGGCTCCGGGATCATGTTCAACACGGATGCTGACTATTTCAAAACCATAAGTTACCATATCTTGTCAAATCAGCACGTTTTCTTCCTTGTAACTAATTCTGGGGAATTGCTAATCGGCACCTATCTTTCCCCTGGTGTGTTGTGCCCGGTTCGTTGGCTTATCAGCTGCCAGCCAAGGATGGCGACAGTTTTGGACGCCATGGCCTGCAGGCTGAGGGGGACTAGGATGGATATCCGTAAATGTGTCGTTCTGGATCGTGTAATCTGACGCGGGTGATCATTTCCACCGTTGCGCAAATAGGTGATATGATAGGTATGCACGTTCGCAGCGGTCGGTAGGTAATGTCAGTGCCAATTCTCATTATAATCTTGACAACAGCGAAGTGCAGCTGTTGTCACCGTGTGTAACTTTCTCCCTCTTCGTCACCTATGACTCGTTTATGGGAAGAATCATAAAAGTTCGTATTGCCATGGAGTTCTCACTGACAACTTCCCGCTTTCGAACGCTCACTTGCGGGTCGTGGGGGAAGGAATCAACGGAGACGAACTCTCGCCGTAGGCTTGCCAACTTGCAGGCTATATCGATCCACGGACTCCAGATCATTCATCACAACGTCCTCGCCCTCATCAGGTTTTTCAAATGGCTTGGTCACTTGTTCCTGCGGTTTGATCGCGCGCCCTTCGCTCAAGGCGTGACTTGCCATCAGCCGCTCAAGCGGTCAATATGCAATTCCCAACTGCAGCCGTCGATATCACTGCTGCTATTATTTCCCGTGTCAAGGCCACACGGTGAGCCTTGGTTGCAAGATCAGAGCGACACGGGAGGAGATTCGGACCGTCTGGTGGAATATTGAATTGAGGCCGAAGAAAATCCTTTTTTTGTTTGTTTTGGCGGTAGCTGTATTCGATGGAACAGTGTTACCGAGGCCGCTTGGTTTTGCAGGTTTTCACCAGCACTCTTTGAAGCTTGAAAGTACAGGGCGTGGCCGAATCACGACGGTGGAGCTCAGTTCAAAGCAACGCCATCTCCCTTCACCCCAGGCTGAAGACGCCTACTGGATGCTCTGGAGCTTGGCCAACTACAACCAGTGTCTTTGATAAAAGGCGTACCCATCCACACGCGCGACATGAAAGATATCCAACTATCAGCGCTCCACATGCCATCCTGGCTATTTCAGGATTCCTCTCATTGATTCAAAAAAGGGCAGGTTAAAGAGGGTAAGGGATCTGTATGCCACCCCATGTTGCGCCAGCATTTGTCGTGAAGCCAAACCGGCGCAATGAGATTCATAACGTCTCCAGCTTTTCCACTTAAGGCACAAGGTCTGGTAGCAGGATCATCAGTCCAACGGGTTAGTTCACCGCACAAATCAAGAGAAAAAATGTCTCTGTAAGTGAGCAAGTGCCAGCGACATAGCAAAGCCTAGTGCAACAAGTTTCGGATCCATGTCAGACTGAATACGCGAGTATGTGGCATCGTCGTCGCGATCGTGACATTCTGTTGTGCTTAGTGCACATAGCAGTTTACGTACGGCGATTAAGCGGGGAGGGACGTGGAACTGGGATCCCACGAATGGTCGCCCGATAAATACGGGACCACGGAGGGAATGCAACACAGGAAAAGGAAGAAAGCGCAGCCGCAGCTATCGCAGGTCTACGATTTCAAGGGATAAGTCCTTCATCTGCACGTGTCCCTTGTCCGCATCCTGCAAAGAGAGAAGGAAAAAAAGCGATGGTGATTCAGTAACAGTACGGCAAACGGGGCGACGATGGAAATGAAGTCGTGCACGTACAGGTATAAATTGGTATGTCAGGGTGAGGATGAAATGCTTCCTTGGCATCGCAGGCCAGGATGGTCTGTAAGCCAGGCGGATCTGTCAGCCGGAAAATCCCAAAACTAACGGATAACACATTGTCAATTTCAAACTCGGCATGTATGTGTGCTGTCTAGTGATAGCTTACTTTGGAGTGGACTTCGGTGCACAAACAACCGCAAACGACTCTGGGAGCATCCGCTGGAAGCCCGAGTGCGTGTGTAAGTCTACCGAGGACATGAAGCCTGTTGAAATTGATCGGTTGAATTAGGACGTCCGATGATAAGCCGATACGACATTATACACACATGATTGAGAAGGATGTGTATGGATCTGAAAATATAGAGGACATTAGGAGAGGCAGACGGATTTCTCCCTCAGCCACTCACCCATCCTAGCGTTATCAACGACCTCTCCTCCGTGAACTGCATTACCAGTTCCTCCTCGTCCATAGTACACGTATCGCTGGTCGAGTGTTGCTTTGGAATCAACAGTACGGTGACAACGTACTTGCCATTCTGATCCCTGCCGAGCAGGAGCCCGCATGTCTCGCGATTGCGCGCTGTGTTAAGAGCCGCAATAGATAGGAAGCGGGGAAGGCAGTCCCGTGGTAGCAGCACCGTTTTGAGATCTGGCACCCGGTCGTCCGCAGCTCTGTCTCGTATGATGCGGGCCGATTCTTGTGACGGGGTACGGTAGCGGTCATTGCTGACATGCTGCAGAGTGGATGATGGTGCTCCTTGAGGGTGCCGAGAGAGAGAGGGGTAAGCAAGTCGGGGCGGTGCGGGTGGGCGTTGAGTGGCGGGGGGGATGAGGGGAACATTAGAAGGATGGTGGAGTATATCGGCGGAGTAAAGACTATCTGAACTCGATCTTGACGAATCTGGAATGAAGAGTAATGACGATGGGGCGACGTCGGAAGCTTTAAGACTTGGGTAATTAAACATGGAGTGCAGGGAAGGGGTATAACCTTGCAGAAGCTGATGCTGCGACATGAGGTGAGGGTAACGGATACGTCCGTCTGGTGGCGCAGGTGATGTTGTGGTCACTGGTATCGGGTATGATGGGCTGCGTGAAGTTAGTCTCGGTTGAGCACGAGCCCAAGATGATACGAACGGTTTCACATTCTGTGGCTTGTTCACCGGATCCCTGCGGCTTGGTCAGCCTGGTAGCAGAAATGCAAAGACAACGCCGACCTAGTAGGGCTTTCCAGGGGCATGGGTAAAGGGACAGCTTCTCCGTATGGTGGTTCTGCCGTCATCGAGCGCTGGGGGTTTAGGGCAGAGGGACCAGCCACGTGTGTTGGAGGTTGGTTGATACTGTATCGTGCTGCTCGAGATGCGGCTTCTGCTTCTTGCTGGCGTCGGAGAATGCCTTGCTGTTCTCTGGGTCGTCGCCTTGCTGCATCTTCCTCCTCCTGTGTCCAGGTATCTTCCTGCTTCCACCTAATATCATCACGTTCTCTTCGGCGTTCTTCCGCACTCACAGGTGTCAACTGCTCGGAAGTCTCCCTCTCTCGTCTGTTCTGCACGGATTCTCCGCGAGATATAGTTGGCGCACGTCTCACCGCAGGAGGAACACCCTCTTTCGTCCCAACTCTGGTGTCGACCTGCAACCGACGAGGAGATTCCGAAGCCCCTGAATCTACAGTTCTATAACGGTATTCGTCCCTCCGTCTCTCGACTTCGCGCCTCCTGTTTGAATCGAGCCTTGCAGCTTCCTGAGCTTGCCATCCCGATTCGTCCGGGGCAGGGTGCCTAGTATCTCGTTCCTCTATCGATTGTCTCACATTTTGCTCCAGGGCAGCACGAGCACGAGCCGCTTCTTCTGGATTTCGACTCGCCCAACGTTCATAGCGGTCGACTAAAACTGGCTTCAGTTCCCCAAGATTTTCGAGGATCGCCTGACCGTTCTGTGGGACATCCATCAGCCCAAGTCCAAAGAAAGCGCAAACAAGGCATTTAAAACTCGAGTGCAACATATACAGAGTACATATCCTGTCAGACGGAGTACACAGCATTACAACAATAGTTTCTACAGAAGGGGAAACGGGGAAAGCGCTGGACAGGATACTCACGAGACCAAGGTTATGACGCTGAGTCGCTGTCAGGACTGTGTAGTACTCTTTGTGTGTGGGAAGTTTCTCGAGGATAATAGTAGCAGCTTTAGCAAACTCAACAAAAGCAGCCTCGAGATCCCCTGCGTCAGCGTAGCTCCGGCCTGCTTTCCGGAAACCGTCGGCAGCTCTCAACCACTGTTTCAGCCCTCTCGACGGGTCCCATAGATTGTTCACTGCACGATCTGCAAGCTCTGCAATACTGAGAGGCCTGCGGGCCGACAGGGCTGGGTGGAGGGACTGGCGGAAGGCTGAATCTGACGGGCTCATGGCTCGACACTCGCTGGGGGGGAACGGCAGAACAAGGGAGAGCCTCGCGCGCAGAGCGGTTAACTTTCCTTTTCCGGACAAGAGCTTCGGTTGGGTCACGTGACGGAGAACGTAGAAATAGTAACTAATAAATAAATAAATAAATAAAATAACCCCGAGAATCTTCCACCCTCGCTGAAGTCATTCAACTCGCGGTGCGTTGCAAGACGTCACCTCCATACGCTTAATCAGTCTGATTTTTGGGTATCTCTACTTACTTTCCTCACTATCCTACGAGTGGATAGAGCTTCGCAGGCGCTAGGGTTGGCTGGGTATGGGTTCTCTCGATGCACGCGATGTGCGCGCTACTAGGATGCGGGGATGGCTTTACATAGCATGGGTGTTTTTGTTCTTCATGCTCGCTGGGCTTCTTTCATCGAGGCGGAATCGCGGGGTCGTCGGCTCCTCAGCAGCCAGATCAAGTTGGTTCAGATCACCTTCCAAGTGGCTCCCTTTCGCTCTTTACGGCGACTCCAACGTCCTTGACGAGCACCCAATACCACGGCTCATGGCCGACGCGGAAAAGAAATTCAAGACATTGCTCGCAAAGCAAAGCAAAACCCTCCCAGAGGCGGTCGCAGAGTACAAGCGCCGGTACGGTCGAGATCCGCCTCTTGGATTCGACGATTGGTGGAAGTTTGCAACCGAAAATGACGTGAAGGCTAGTAGACGAATTCGATGCAATTGTCGAAGACCTTGCTCCGTTTTGGTCACTCAGTGGTGCAGAGTTCAGATGGAGGGCCTACGAAGTAAGGGAAATGCGTGACCCACCCTGGCAGTGATGCTAACCTAGATTGACGTGTAGGCTGGGCAGCTACCTTCTATTGATTTGGTTCGCATAGAAGATGGTCTTGCTATCGACCTGAAGGTAGAGAAGAAGTTCAAGGACACCGAGAAAGGACACCGGGCTCTCGGTTTCCGTCGGCTTCTTGAAAAGTTCCAAGATAAGGTATGTGTTTTCGAACTGACATCTCTCTGCAGCCGGCCAAACCTGGTGTAGCTCCCAGATATGGACTTCCCGATCAACGCAAAGGCGGAGGGTCGAGTGCTTGTACCTTGGGAACACCAGACCTATCCTAATCTCACCACTGAAGAGCTTTCAGGTGCGCATCTTTTTCCGGCCTTCGTAACATGGGTGGTGTAACTCTTGCACTATTCTCGCAGTGGAAAACTTTACTCCCGATTGGAAAGGGACAGGCAGTGTCTGGCATGCATTCCGTCGTACCTGTGCTCCAGATACCCAAGCACGTCGGCTATTCAGCTCCTACCGGAACCCGAATGCGGAGAAACCGAGGAGTCTACTTGGTCCCCAGAACACTGTCGACGAAGTGTTCAATTTTGCGGAGTCGGTCGATGTAGACCTCGACTACTGCCATTACCCCTGGGCTCATTTCACCCAAGGCCACTTCTTTTCTGACTGGCGCACCGTGCCACAATTATATCCCGTCTTTTCGCCTGCAAGAGCCAAAGGTTTCGCAGATATCAGGATCCCAAGTCATTACTATCACGGTCAGAATTCCCGCTATACCTATGGCTGGGATCCAACCAACGAAGATCCCAAGGAAATCGATGATATGGAGGTTCCCTGGGACAATAAGGTTGAGGTTATTTTTTGGCGAGGAGCCACTACCGGTGGAGGAAGCACGCCGCCTGGGTTTTCTCCTTTCTACCAGCGGCATAGGTAGGGTGATTTGGAGTCACGCCTCCAACGTGCTCATCTTGCCACCCAGATTCCTTCGTATGGCACATGAAAACGCCAAGGCAAACTATACTATCATTCACGAATCCCCTCTCAATCCCGGCGCATACATATCTACAACTGTCCCCGCAATGGAGCTCAACCGCGAAATCATGGATGTCGCCTTCGTGTCTGCGGTCGGCAGTTATCCGGGTGGCGAAGAAGCCCTGCGTCGAGAGCACCGGTTCGCACAATCTGTTCCGCTTGGCGAGCATTGGTCGTATAAATATCTCATCGACCTGGATGGCATGTCTTATTCAGGCCGATTCATGGCGTTCATGGCATCCGACAGCGCTGTCATTAAGTCGACTGTGTACAAGGAATACTTTACAGACTGGATACAACCATGGTGAGTCTTTCTCTCCCTTGGAAACGTCATGGCTGAGGTGACTTCCGCGATCAGGCTGCACTTCATACCTTTGTCATCATCTTATTCAGAGATATACAATATTCACGCTTACTTCTCCGGACCGTCGAGCGCAACCCTGAGAATAGCCAACATGTCACACGTCCCTGAGGTCAAGAACATACACACAAATGGGGACCAGCAGTTGAAGAAGATAGCACGAGCTGGGAAACAATGGAAAAAGACCATTGGACGCACTGTCGATATGGAAGGTTAGTTTTCGTATGTTCTGGGGTAAGCAGGAGATTGATGCAGGCTACTACACAGCGTATGTATATCGACTATGCCTAGAGTACGCCAGGCTCTGGGCGGACGACCGAGATGCATGGAGCTTTGTACTTTAGTATCATTAGCTTTAATCCTTGGGCGTCTTGGAGTTGTAGGATTTTCGTCATTTTTTGTGCTTGGGTTCGATGTTGTTGCATTGCTTTCCAACAGAAATACCACGTCATACCTTACACGAGTTCATCCGCGAGCACATGCAGAAGCTGTATGTGCAGTGTCATTACCTTCCGGATGTGCAGGCCTAGTAGGACAGTCACTTCCGTGAGTGTCCCCCCCTCGAGCACACCTGCCCAAAGGGGAGGCTAATTGTATCCTGTCGCATGCTACTAGTTATTTATTGCATGTTATTATCGCTTTCATGACTTGCAAACTGAGGTGGCGAGATACATACCAGGCGACGTACGCACGGTAATTTGAATGCTAGGGCTGTCGTTCGATATTTCAATGATTAACCGCACATAACGAACCAGTTGAGTGAGACTATTCAAGACGCATCCTGCGCCGCTGGCTAACAATTGAGGACGGGGGAAAGTGGTCTATCCCCTCGCAAGACGTGGACCTATCACAGCCGATCCTACGACCATTCGGCAGCTGTCCCAACCCCCCCGTTGTCGAAGTGGAAGGTTGGATTAACCCTTGCTTGGCGTGATTTTCTTTCCCTATCAACCACAGCAAAGGTGAAGACGACATCGACAACCTGACTGCTATGTACATTCCCTACTCCAATGTGCGTGTATTCTCGCCCCAAAGAAGACTGCCTCGGTGATCGTAAAAACTGCATATGTTGACTCATTGGAGTACGATTCCAATAAATGCAGATGTCTTCCGCCAGTCCACAATGTTATCCACCATCTCCTCTTGAAGTTTGAGTGCTTTCTTCTTATCCCCTAGGCCCTCCACGATCTTCCACGCCAACTCCGGGGTATTGTCAAACCTTTCGTAGCCAGACCCTGCGTCGAGAAGCAATTTGGCATGTTTTTCCTTCAGTACGTTCTCCACTTCGATGGCTTCCGGTAAACTGGCATCATCCCACATGGTCGTCACCAGGCGTAGCCGATCAATCGCTCCCTCTCCACACATCTTAGACAAGATCCGGCAGTTGCGTTCTTCAGTGCGAGAGCACTTGACTGTTATATCATGGGTATAGACCACGCCGGTAAGCATGATGGACCTCCGGAATCTGTTCGAGTGTGGGTTACTATCTCAACTTAGATGAGACAAGCTGGCTGACATGAAGCCCAACCACATCGATATGCTTTGAAACTTGTCTTGCTCAAACGCCGGCGTGTCTACGAAAACAAAACGTTTTCCTTTGTGGACACGCGTATAGGCGCTGACTGTTTCCGTACAAGCGTCCAGTGCGTCTGCATTCGGTTCCGGTGGCATGCCGATGAGCTTGTTGATGATCTGAATCCCTCCACATAAGCGTCCATCCAACGTCGACATTTTGTCATCAACCCACATTGCTCTTTCCGGAACCCAGTGAACCCAAAACACTAATAACAGTAGATGTGAAGATTATGAGGACTTGCTGGTAGAGGACACATACACGATCACGACATCATCGGGTTCAATTTCTGTCATGGAGATCTTCGCCTGCGCTCTACTCTGTGATAGCGTTAGTACATCCACGGTCTTTATGAGAAATTGCAACGTGCCTGTGGGGATAAAGGACCCCTGACTTTTCGATGGATACTCTTTCGGTAAGGAAGTAGGACTGATTGAAACTTGACTGGCTGCTTTCCCTCGTCGTCAGCCGGTAAGGGAGCTCGAAACAGCCTAGAATAATTGGAATTGTACTTCTGGATGAAAATGATCATTGCCTCGGATCCTTTCTGGGAATCGTAGCACGACAGCGTCGCCGAGAAGATCTCTGAGCCTGTAGAACGCTGATGAAGTCTGAGAGGTAGCCATATGTGAATACCATCATTAGTCACAGCAAACGTCCGATTTCGTTCCTCTGCAGATGCGACTCTGCGGAAGGCCCTCTTAGACAGGCTCTTTCCGAGAATACGATGGAATTTATCGCGGTCCGTGTTTTCAACGGTAGAGCAATCACGAAATTGGCTTAGATCGTCCGCCAGGAAGCTGCTGGACCAGCCATGATTCATCGTCGAGCCCCAGGCAAAGATACTTTGATCGTTGACCGTCCGTATGACTTCTAACTGAAGGCGGAGGAACGCGTTCTTCCCCTCCCCGTATAGAATAGGCATATGCACACCAAGTAACCCCAGCATCGAATACGCCCGGTCTTCCTCTCGTGCTGTCGTCCGGTCGGCCGCCCAAGACATAATCTGCGCCACACTGGGGCTGGTTCGACCAAGACCCTCCTCCAGCACATCAACCGAAATACGTGTGATGACGCTCAGAGAAGGTGCACAGCCCTGCTTGTCGCCAATGTACTCCCACTTCTGGTTGAGAAAGTGCACATTCACAGGTGCGATGAGTTCCTGGAGTGTCCACCCGCGAGAGAACCACTTAGGCCAACCGCTGAACTCTGTAAACTTGTCGTCGCGGTCTGTGGGAAGCGCAGAGGGCCTCGGTATCATGGAGAAACGCATAGCAGCGGTCTGAATTCGCATACCACACGTACATGGAGTTGATGGCCTCGGAAAGTTCGGCACTACCCCGCCTGTCGATGCAGCAGGTATCAACCCAAAGCCAATCCAAATGGTCCTCAAGAGCCAGCTCGCAGCTCTTCCGGATTTTCAGATATCCGCTGCGTCGTTGTATCTTGTTTCTGGCGAGAGCATCCATGTTCGTCAGCGACACCATCTCCGTGTACTGCACCTCGTCCTTCGGAGCGCCCCAACAGTGAGACAGAATGGCATATGCGATCTCCGCAAGTTTGGCGCCACCAAATTCCACAAGGAGCTGAGCTTCTAGCCCCGATTTTCCTGCGTCGAAGTCGAGGAAGGCTTTCACATCGATAAGGCGCATGGTACTCCAACCTATGGGGTGTATTAACAGAGGTACCTGCAAGGATACCGGTGGCTGTACCAATGGTCAATCGATCGTTAGGTCCTGAGGTTATGTGGTCCACTGGGTGACGAATGTAGTCGAAGCTTGGGCGGAGTAATGTGGTGGTCGAAGTGAAAAGGTGGGCACAGGGCACAAGGCAAACGGGCCAACTTGGGTAGGAACATGGAACACGTGCAGTGGAGATGAATTGAAATCACGCTCCCCGCTTCCATAGGCTGGCCCGCCCAATCCCTCAATCAGATATCTAGTTATCCCCAATATATCTAGGACGTTTCATACGAAGGAACAGACTTTTGCAAGCCCTATAAGTATGGATCGTTGCAGCCGTTGCATAAATTGGTATGTGTGGTGGAAGAAGCGAGCGGAACGAGTGTGCTTTGTCGACGACAAGACTAACCCCAATCAAGCGATCCGGTGCTAACCTCGCAAGTGAAGGAGACCGTTGAACCACGCGTTCTGCAGCCTCATTTCGGGTGAGGTAAAGGTGTCTTAATATGTCCACTGCTGGAACTCCTACGTCGTCACGGCGTCATGTCAGTGAACGACAATCCAGATTTCAATGACTTACAACAGCCCCATTCTTATGCGTACAATGCCGAAGTTGACCCTCCTCCGCGGTGTTCGACTGCACGGGATTCAGAATGACCAGAAGCTCGTCCTCGTTGACAAAGGATGGGAGGATAAATGGCAGACTCGTTCTGAAGCCATGTCAAGTACAAGGCCTCTGCAACGTCAAACTGACACGCATATGCATGTACTCCTTTGCGGTATCCGGTACTCATTTTGCATGGCTTCCCGAACGGCAACTTGTCGAGTTGGCTATCCCTGAGTCCTAGAGAGGTTGCCATATGATATTCTTATCTTCCGAGCGTAAAAGATACTGACTGGAGACTCGTCACTTGGCGGTAAAGATGAACTCATGAAAAGTCTTCTGTCAAACCGTGGTGGCCCATTTGGAGTGGGACGACAGAGGCCTTGCCGATTCAACAACTTGATGGGAAAAACATGCCTCAATTACATAGGAGAAAGGTCAACTCGACGGATCTTGGCCCCTGGGTTGCTGTATCAAATGTCTCCACACGTTCCTGAGACCAGAAGATTCGATAATCTAAGGGAGAATGGTCACCATGCTTCCACCTGAGAACGCCAAATCGCAGGAGGTACCGGAACAGCAACGATGGTAGATTTGCTGTTTCCGTTTTCGTTGCTTGTGCACATGCGCGAATAGACTTATTATGTAAGTAATCGGTAGTTGGAGTCTTATCGTAGACTGGGTACAACCATGGTGAGTCCCGTCGGTGCGTCGAGCGACGAGTCGGTGTTCGAACTAGCTGCCACAGAAACATAGAGCATGCCATCGTATTCCAACTAATGTGTAACTGCGCCGATGAGTGGGGAGATATGGTCAAAGGACGCGAAGGTAGATATAGTAAAGCATGGGTACAGCACCGGGGACCGTAAAAGATATCATACAGGAATGAGATAGTGAGAACATACAGGGGCAGATGTGGTAAGAAGAGAGGGAGATGGATAATTCCATAAACGCGGGGACATGCTGGTGCGCCTTTCACTTCAACGGTTCGTCGATGACTGCCTCGATATGTTCGTGAATGCTCAGCTGTGTCAGTTGCACAGGTGAACAGCGGTGCCAACCCACGTAACAATCTGCTCACGAGGTCTGCTGACCAGTTGCATAAGTCAGTGTCCAATCCCGTGCCGTCTTGTCAAAGCTGTCCTTGTTTCTCACATAGTGCTGCGAAGCTGCAGTGTCCAGGGAGTCACTTGACTCCGGAGAAGATAGAAGTGACTGCACTGATATCAAGGCAGTCCTGATAGTTAGGGTAGGAGACCAATGATCTTGTAGAATGTCAAGGCAGATAGCACCAGACTCGGGTGATATGTTCGGATGGTACACCTTGGTGATGAACTCTATTTGCGGGGGTTGGAAGGGGTACGATTCCGAGAAGACTATATCCTGTGGACAGATTTCATTAGCAAAATGCTAAACTAGCTCATGCGTGACTCTCGCCCGCGTACAACTTCGAAAACGCCACCCTCGTACGGCGTGCCCCTAGGACCAGGGAATGATCCTTTCAGATGGAAGGGAGATGAATCAAACGGCTCGACTTTGATACCGGAGTGTACATCCTCGTTGCAGGCTAAGAAAGGACCATCAGTTCACTCAGACGCCCAGCCGCAGTGATTCATATCTTTCCATACCCCTGATTTCCTTGGTAGCTCGACGGAAGCGTGCGTCCATGCTACGGGCTGACAGGTAGCAGCTGGGTCTAAAATGGGAGGGAGGACGTAGATGTGTCAGGATTGGTACCAGCAGGCAAGGCCTGATAGTGCACACTGCACACCGGGCGAGGGGCAATATTGCAACATTGCTGTACATGCCAAGTTTGGAGTCCATGCAGGGCCGCAAGGGGATTGCCCAGAAAGTAAGATGCCTTGGCAGGAGAAATCGACCTTACAAGGCAACGCTTGTTTATAACTTACCGTAGTCTGGCCTGTGAGGTGAGGTGAATTTCGTCCGTCATAGATAGGCAAATATCCAGATTATGCTTATCCCCGGCTTGTGCTGCCCTCACCAAGCCCAGTGCGTGGTAATCAGCATAACTGGCACGAGAAAGCCGATGTTGACATTGAGCGTTGAGAGGACAACAGGGAAGCTCGTTCCGCGATCCCCTGACGTCTCCTGACTTTATCACCAGCCAGCGTGCTTGCGATGGATTCGTGCTCCGAAGTTATCTACTGGGAGTGTGAGATGCAAGGGATGATAGAGGTGTCTCCTCGACTGCGTTGAGTGGGGATCCATTGAGTACTAGTAGTACTGTCTGGGTGTAGTGGCGATGCAAAGCTAGTTACTTGCAACGAGACGACACTAAGGAGCTTTCTCAAGGCTACTCGGTTTCCAGACAACACAGTCCTTATTCACATAAGGTACTTACTTCGTACTGCATACTACGGGTAGACGAAATTGGCAATCAGCCGTGGTGGCTCACTTCTTTACGTCTCATACCGAGACGACACTGTTTGATAGTTTCGAGGCGATTACCCTGCATACCCTGAATCCCTCGGCTGCGTTTTTTTTTGGCAGTGGAATATCGAGGCCAGGGTAGATCACGACAGTAGATTGAACCTCGGGGAATCCAGGGGATGGGGGGGGGAGGGCTCGATCGAACATAACCTTCGTGACGCAGCGATAGAGAGCTTGGGTTTGGGTTTGGGTGACAACGTAATCGAGAACTCCAGGTGTCATCGTTCTAGTTTATGCCCATCTTAATAATTCGATAAATTTCTATGGTAAGCAGAAGTTGACGTACTAAACTGGGGTTTGAAGTCGCAAGGACCAGCCGTGCCTGTCAAGACCCACGGCGGATGTTTGTTGAAATCCTATGTCAAGTACAAGTCGACGTACCAAGGGTCATATCGGTTGATGTCATCAAAATTACACCAGCCCTGCCCGTCGAATATAAGTTGAGAGGCCGACCGATCCGAATATTTGGCAACCTCACTGGCGAAACAGCTGTCGCTCAGTAGACATAGTATAGCTGGCGAAGGACTGCGGTGTTAGTCCCACGTCCTCGAAGTCGAGAGTGCACATGTTCTCTTCCGTATCGACGAAGAAGTTGCTCTCGTCCATATCGGACTGGGCGAATACCAACTGCTCGGCGCTAAATCTGATATCCTTTGACCTACTTCTCGATGGAATCTAACCGAAAGCCTAGTTCAAGTCATGGTTAACGGGAGGAGCTGACGACAACGAAGCCGCTGAGAGCCTCTGCAACCTTTTCGGGGGCGTCCCGGGCTGGGATGAATTTAGCCTTGATGTACTCCATGATAAGGTACGCCGTTTTGTGTTCGGGGGTGAAGTAGTCGTAAGTCTTGAGAACGCTTGGAGCATCCGTGTCACCATCTGCGAGTTTGGAGATGTACTGCTGCGTCTTGTACCGGGGGTACAGGAATGTATGGCTGTCATATTTGATGAAATACCCCGCGAAGACCACATAGCATCTGAAGTCGTGCTTCGAGCTTTCTAGTCTCGTGTTCTTCATAGCGCACAATGATCGCTGGTCGAAGCTGTTGAAGAGCGGATAGTGGCATTGTGAGGTGACCTACATGGGGTTTCCGAATGTCCCCAGACTTCTGGAGAACCCAAAGTGAAGACCAAAACACCCTGGAACCGAGGCAGCCACGCTAGACGTCCCATATATAAAACGTTGCCACAAGCCATCTCGGTAAGCGCCTTCACTGGTTGCACTGTACTCATATTCCACTCAACGAAAATGGTCGTGGCGCCGGTTTGCAAAGGGATTCTTACTTTGGCGGCCTTAGCCATTCTGCAATCTGTCTTGTCACCTCCTCACAAGCCGCAGACCAAAGAGCGGTATGAGCCCTCTCTGCTAGTAACCCGCGGGCTTCCAATTTTTCTGCTACTATCCAAAGTATACGCTTCTCGAATCAACAAATGTAGTCTATTACTGATTGACTGATTTGCCTAGATCATAAGCTGCTCGTGGGGAGTCATAGAAGCTGCTGCCGCATTGGCGGGGAGCGATCTATGCCCATCTCCCATACGTAAATGGTTCGTGACCCTACTGGTGCATTCCCCCTCTCCAAGACAGTCCATCACACAAGCCGGCACACTTTCTCCTGCATTTCTATCCGGAATATGTTTGACGATCGCTGGGTCGTTGCTCCGACGGCGCTGTTACCACGTCCTCGGCCGGCTGTTCACTTTCGAACTAAGTATTCGGGAAGGTCATAAGCTCATCACCTCCGGCCCTTACTCGATTGTGCGACACCCCAGCTATACGGGGTGCGTATTCATCCATGTTGGTCAGATCCTGGTTTTGTTCGATGACCACTCGTGGCTTGTTGCTTGCTCGGGGTTACTACCGGTTGATGGGGACACTATGATGAGGATACTATGGGCGACGAGAGTCCTTCTGTTGTCGGCGGGATACGTATGGACCATACGCATAAATAATGAGGATGCGATGCTTGAGAAAAGCTTCGGGAAGGAGTGGACGAAGTGGACGGAGAAGGTGCCTTATCGGTTGTTTCCTGGGATATATTAAGAGACAGGGACGATAGAAAAAACGTATCTATGAAACTTGCTATATGAACCCTACAGTGGATCCTCAACCCGGAGATTTTTCTCCGGGAAATTTGCAGGAGTGCGGGTGAACGTTCAAGGCGAGACGCTAGGGAAATGATATTGCATGGACGCCTTGGGGTGGCGGCCGAATAAAAAATGCCGGCTGTTCCATATGGTCTTGGAGCCTGTGAGAAGTTCTTCATGGGCCGTGTGTGGCTACGAAAAGACGGACGTTATCATGGCGAGGCTAATACCGCCCAACGATGCAGAGAAGGCTCCAGCTGCTGGTAGAGAGGCCGAGTCAGGACGCGTTGAAATCGACGACGTCGTGCAGTGCACCGCTGCTGGCGAGATATCTGAATACGCCGTCGTCGCGGAGGGCGAAGAGCGCACGACGTGGTTCGTATGGCTCCTGGTATGCTGCTGCGCGATATCCGGATTGCTGTTCGGTCAGTGCAGCGTTGGGCGCTAGCAATGTGGTTATAGTGCTGACGCCAGGTCGCTGTAGGGTACGATACTGGTGTCATCTCAGGCGCACTTGTAACTATCAATGGGGACTTGGGCCCGCCCGAGCTCTCCAACGGGCAAAAAGTTGGTTTTCATGCCCTTTTTTCTTCCCGTTCTCCTTACCAGCCCAACCCTTAGGAATTCATTACCTCCGCCACCACGCTCGGTGCGCTCCTAGGGGGTTTGGCCGCGGGAGCCATGTCAGACTGGACAGGTCGACGTCCCGTTCTCGGGATTGCGGACATTACCTTTATGGGGGGTGCCATAGGCCAAGCTGTAAGCCATACCGTGTGGAACATGGTACGCCTCAGCTCTTCCCAGTCTTTTTCTCGTTCTCTCTCCTCTGACCCACCGTGCTACCAGATTGGTTGCAGATTCTTGATCGGTATCGGTGTAGGCCTTGCATCGTGTATCGCTCCGCTCTACATACAGGAACTATCACCCACCCGGCTGCGTGGGAGTATGGTTGTCTTGAATGTGGTCATGATCACTCTCGGGCAGGTCATCGCGTACGGTATCGATGCAGGTTTTGCGAATGTGAATGCCGGATGGCGGTGGATGGTTGGACTCGGATGCGTCCCTGCTGCGTTACAGCTTGCGTTGTTGGTGTACCTACCAGAGTCGCGTACGTTTCTTTTCTTTTTTTCCTTCAAGTTACTTGGAGCGATAATGTACGGTGTTGCGTTCAGCTCGTGTGCTCGTGAGGCGCGGAAATATGGAGGCTGCTAGGAAGGTGCTGTCTCGTGTTTATGCACTCGCATCTTCAGAACAAGTTGATCTCAAGGTACATCCACCTCCGCCCTTACCTCCCAAATGGTAGCGTTGACATCAAGCACATGGTGCAGCTCAAAGTTCTCCATGCAACCGTGAAGCAAAGCATCGAGATAAGCAACTCGACGACATTCTGGCAGCGGTTCGGTTCCGTGCTCTCCAACCCCATCAACCGACGCGCTCTCGGTAGGGGCCTTGTACTTGCGTCTTGAAGCGCGTTGCTGACGCGGAAAGTATGGCCAGTGATTGGCTGTGGCATGCAAGCCTTTCAACAGTTGTGTGGATTCAACACACTCATGTATTACTCCGCGTCTCTCTTCCAGGAGATAGGATTTAATCAGCCGACTGCTGTCGGACTTATCATTTCTGGGACCAACTTCCTGTTCACGCTGTTTGCTCTCAAGTGCGTATATCCGACCTGAGTCCCGATGCTGCCTTACGGGCAGGGGCATTGATATCGCATTTGTGGGATGTAGGTATATTGACGTTGTTGGGCGGCGACGCATCATGGTTTTCTCTGCACCGGGTATGGTGTTTGGACTTACCCTGGCCAGTATCGCATTCTATTGTGCGTGTCGCCGCGATGTCCATTCCCACTCACTCGCTTACCCAGCTATTATCTCACAGACATGACGATCCACAGCGGCGGTAACCTTGTCACAGGTGTACATTATTCACAAGGATGGGCAGGTATTGTATTGCTCTCGATGATCATCTTTGTTGCGTCATATGCGACCGGACTCGGGAATGTGCCGTGGCAACAAGGAGAGCTATTCTCCCTCGACGGTCAGTCCTCGCATTACTTGGATGATCTCATTCTCCTGATATATTTTATTCGTAACTCTCGTGACGCAACATGTACCACACACCCCATAGTCCGCGGGATCGGTACTTCACTCTGCACAGCGACAAATTGGGCAGCGAACCTCCTCATCGGATCGACCTACCTCTCCCTCATGTCCGCTATCACACCCTCAGGCGCATTCGGATTCTATGCGGGGTTGTGTTTACTGGGATGGTTGTTCTGCGTATTTTTTTTCCCGGATGTGTCGGGGTTGAGTTTGGAAGAGGTACAGAGCGTGTTTAAGGCCGGATACGGGATTAGGGAGAGCGAGAGATTGAAGAGGGTGAAGAGAGAAATTTTGGAGAGGGAGAAAGCGAAGATGAGGGGGTGATGTTTTTTTTTCTCGTAATGGATCGTGGAAGATGATTTGACGAGACGTGATGTCAACGACGTACGACAAAAGACACGAAGACGAAGATGCGATAATGCACACAGAGGTGTACCAAAATGTTGGTAATCAACTAGTAGACCCTGCTACACTTGTGATCAAAAGTGCAGACACTACTACAGTTGTGGTAATGAAACATGTAGACACCACTAACAGCATACTGCAATACTAGTAAAATAGTGAACACTAATAAATTGTTGGTAATCAACTAGTGGACCCTGCTACACTTTTGGTAATAAAAAGGGTGCATGCTGGTAATCAAACTGTGGACAGTGCAGCATGCTCTGGCACATGTGCTGCAGTTTGCTCTGGAGTGTCAGCATGGTACAGAATGCTCCCAAACATATGCTGCAGTTTACTCCAGAGGGCCATGGCCTGCTCCAGAGTACTCTGGAATGCTATGGTATTCTCTGGCACATGTGCCACAGTTTGCTCTTGAATTTGCTCCAGAGTGTCTGCCATGCCACACTTTGGTTTAGAACATTTGCCAAAGCTTACCCCAGAGGGCCATGGCCTGCTCTGGAGTGCTCCAGAATGTGATGGTATTCTCCAGCACATGTGCCACAGTGTGCTGTGGAATTTGCTCTGGAGTGGCTGGCATGCCACAGCTTATCCCAGAGGGCCATGGCATGCTCTGGAGTGGCTGGCATGCTGCAGTTTGTTTTGGAACATATGCTGAAGCTTACCCCAGAGGGCCATGGCATGCTCTGGAGTGCCCACATGGGCCACAGTTTTTTCTGGCATTTGCTCCAGAATTTGCTCCAGAGTGGCTGGCATGCCACAGTTTGCTTTGGAACATATGCCACAGCTTATTCTGGAGGGCCATGGCCTGCTCTGGAGTGCTCTGGAATGCTATGGTATGCTCTGGCACATGTGCTGCTGTTTACTCTAGAATTTGCTCTGGAGTGGCTGGCATGCCACAGCTTATCCCAGAGGGCCATGGCATGCTCCAGCACATGTGCTGTAGTTTATTCTGGAATTTGCTCTGGAGTGGCTGGCATGCCACACTTTGGTTCAGAACATATGCTGCAGCTTACCTCAGAGGGCCATGGCCTGCTCCAGAGTGCTCTGGAATGCCATGGCATGCTCTGGCACATGTGCCACAGTTTACTCCAGAATTTGCTCTGGAGTGGCTGGCATGCCACAGTTTGCTTCAGAACAAATGCCAATGCTTACCCTGGAGGGCCATGGCATGCTCTGGCACATGTGCTGCAGTTCACTCTGGCATTTGCTCTGGAGTGGCTGGCATGCTGCAGTTTGCTTTGGAACATATGCTGCAGCTCACCCCAGAGGGCCATGGCATGCTCCAGAGTGCTCTGAAATGCTATGGTATGCTCTGGCATATGTGCCACAGTTTGCTCTGGAATTTGCTCAGGAGTGTCTGCCACAGCTTACTCCAGAACCAGACATACTGTGTAGTCATGTTGGGCTGCATTATGTACAGGATGCTGATCTGACCTGGGCTATGCCATATATGTCCCTATCACATGGTGATATTCTATTTGAAGCCTCTCTCTTGTGACCATCACACAGGAAGCAGGAGTTCCTGGGGTTCTTGTAGCATTGGACCTTGCATCTGCAGCATGACTCACAGGAATTGGGGTCAGGGGAAGGTGTCCTTCTGGCAGCTATGGCAGCATGACCATATAGTCTGTCTGACAGTGGACAAGGCTTGCATTTCAATTGGCCTTGAGCAGGAATGTCATCATCATTGTCAGTTTCCACTGTTGCCTTCCTAGAGTGGGATTGATGTCTGGATTGATGGGATGTCATTTTCATTGCAGCTTTGCACTTCTGCCTGCCTTGTGCTGGTTCTTCCTTGCTGTCCACTTCTCTGGCACCTCATCTTCACTCTCATCATCCACCTCCATCCTGTGCAAGCTATCTGCTATCATTTGCTCCACCTCTGCCTTGGTCACTTTCCATTTTCCTTTGTTGCTCATAGGCATTTTGGTTTCTTGAGCAGGTGGTGTTGATGTTGGCACCACATGGGGCATAGGGAGGCCCAACCAGTGGTAGTCATATCAACACTTGATGATGTTGAGCCACTTGTGGTTGGCAATGTTGGTTTTGGAAGGGGATAGGGCAGTCTTCCACTCAGGCCACAGGTGCTCAATCAAGCTGAGGTCTTCATGCCACTTTAGAACATGTCAACACCAATGAGGGTCATTGGAATCTCATCTGTCCTAGCAATGAGGTTGCATACAGCATCCTGAATGCATCAGTTAGTGAAAAAAATGTGATGGCACTATGATGCACTAGTTCATTGTTTATTGCCTTGATGGCACCTCTCCACTTCACAATCTTGTCTGCCTTTCCCAGCTTGCTGCTTTCCATGATGTCCTTGAAGTAAATTTGAAGGATGCAGTTGGCTGCAGCATTGAGCTCAGGTGATTTCTTGAAGAGCTTGTGAGACAATGATGACAATGACATGTTTCTGATGACAAGACAATGGAGTAGTTTGATGGTGAGAGTGGTGATGGTGATTGGAGAGTGGAAGAGTCAGAGGTTAAAGATGGACAATGAGATATGCAGATGTTGCATTTTTTATCCTGCCTATAAAAGATTCCCATGACATGATGGCAATACCAGTACAAGTCAATAATCCTGAATGTAAAGTCTGGGCCTACTCCAACCAACTCCAATGCTGGATGAGGTCTGGGGAGAGGTTCAGAAGCAAGTCCAACAGAAAGAGCAGGACTCTGACTGGCAGAGTGTTGGCAAGAACAAAGTCCACCAAGGTAAGGGTGGAGTGAAGTGAGGGTGTCAGATTTAGCTCATGCACTACCCCCTTGCATGATCTCAGCCCTTGTATTTCAGAGGGGGAGTACAGATGGACAGTCAGAGGTAACTCTGACAGGCAGAAGACAGAGACAGAGGGAGTAGGAACTAAGTCGATATTCATACTGAGGAACAGTGGAGTATGATACATGCTTTTATACTACTATGGAGGTACAGTAACCAGAATTGGAACTGACATACAGAGACCCAGAAATTTTCAAGTAAAACTTCCTAGATGATGAATGAAGGGTAGATGGAGGACATACAAACAGGTAACATAGAACATCCAGAAAAGGAAACAGTCCAGGCACTGGACCATGTGGTGCATGTGCTGCAGAGTACCTGACTGCAAGCTGTCAGGGAGGAGTCTGAAGGTAGTCACATGACCCCTCAGAGAATGGTCCATTCAGTCCAGTAGGAGAGCAGTACAAGTCTGACAACAGTCAGAGTGGAGACAACTCATAAACATCAGGGGGTGGGCAGAGTTGGTGCAGAGTGAGTGAATGACCAGTGAAAAGGGGTGTGGAGTGAGTGAGGACTTAGGATGAATGCACAATCATGACAGTGCCCCATGTACAAGATGAGATCAACATGAGTCAATCATTTGAAACCATTTTGATGCCTCAAGGATAATGGCTTTAGCCACAGTGGAGCTCTGTCAGAGTCTGAAGAACTGCTTAAAAACACATGTTAGGGTACCAAACCTTCATCCTTTCTCCCCATCATCATGTCCTCCCAGCACCAGAGCAAAACCCCCCAGCCAACCCCTGGTCATGTCTGTGACTACTCCCAAGTCATGGATGATGAACTGGTTGTCCTTACTGACAACTCCACCAACACCAAGCAGGAGAAGTTCACAGAGAAGGCATGCCAACAAGAGGAGACTGAGCAGAGAGAGAGAGAGCATGAGGCAGAGTGCAAGGCCAAGTGTGAGGAGGCCAAAAGGCAGAAGGCAGAGGAGGAGAGGTTGGAGGCAGAGCAGAGGAAGAGAGCAGAGGAGGAAGAGGAGGCCCGAAGGAAGAAGGTGGCTGAGGAGGAGGCAGAAAGGCAGAGGCAGAGGGCCTCTGAGGAGAGGGCCCAGGCCAGATGGGATGAGGCTGCACAAAGGTGAGTGGTGGAGTACTATGAGTCAGGCAGAGCTGACTTGCAGCTTTACTTTTCTTAGACTATGTGGCATGGTGTATGATGTCAATACTGCCCAGAGGGTCCCTGGGACCTCTGTGGTGGTCACCACAACCAGGCAGCCCCCCTGTACTTGCTGTGTAGCAAGTCTGACAGCAGGGCAGTGTGAGCTGGGACAAGGCAAGACCAGGGCCTGCATGTCCTGCCAAAACAGGAAAATGGTGTGTAGTTGGATGAAGGAGGACATGGTGGCAGGGCCCTTGCAGAAGAGAGTGGGGACAGGAAGTTCCCAAGGGGAGAAGCAGAAGAGGTCACAAGGGAAGGGGAAGGAGAGAGCAACAGAGATGGAGGAAGCAGACAACAAGCAGGAGGTAGGCAGTGTAGATGAGGAGGAGCCAGAGACACCACACAAGGGACCCTCAGGAGCAGGAGCCTCTTCCTGGTGGGCAGAGTGGGAGTGGGAGCAGCAGCTGCAGGCTGTGGAGAGGTACACAGAGGCACATGAGAAGGCTGTGACAGCCTTCAAGAGGATGGCAAGAGCAGCAGAGCAGATGGCAGAGGCCACAGAGTGGACAGCCAATGAGTGGGGGCTGTACCGTGAGTGGGCAGAATGGGCAGAGATGAGGAGGAGGGAGGATGAACACAAGGCCAAGATGGCTGAGTTTGAGCACACAGGAGGAGGATGGAAGAGGCCTCAGTTGGAGGTGCCAGAGGACAGGGATGAGGAAGTGGATGAGGGTGTGGAGGGGGATAACAAGGAAGAGGAAGAAGCCAGAAGAGAGCCAGAAGGTGGAGAAGGACAGGAGGGTGGTGGAGAGCAAGTGATGGAAGAGTAGAGTAGATTTCTTTTTCTGTTTTTTTTTGTCTTTTGTTTTTTGTTTGTATATTTTGTACTACTACGAAATAGACTTGTGACCTTGTTTGTGATTCTGGGAAGTGAAACAGATGAGCAGAGAAAACTCTAAAGTACTTAAGGTAGTTTGGTAAGGGGTGGAGTTGGCCTGTGGAGGAAGGTTGTATGGGCAGAGTACTATGGCAGAGGTTGATACAGGCCAGGTTTGTGCAGATATCATTTGTGGAAAGCAGAGACTATGTTGGAAGTGTGACCTAGCTCAGTTGCAAGCAACCAAGAGGTTTCTTCATCAGTGTTCTCATAACCAGCCCAGCAGACTAGGTACAAGAGTTGACAGTGGTGGTGATGGTGGTCCACCTTAGAGTCAAGTATCTCTGATACTTCATACTCAAGGTCACCATTGACATCCACTGGCAGAGGCAGAGGTTG